GCGACGAGGCTCTGCCCAGGTCGGGGGCAGATCGCAGCCTCAAAGTCGTACGCAAACTCCGCATAATCACAGTGCTGCCCACGCACATGCTATACCGCCTGCGCAACCCCAGCAGGCACCCGTGGAGGCTCCCCCGAGACCATGGACACCTACCGAGGAACCGGGAAGCCATCCGTACGGTGCGTCGGTTATATGGCAAGGCACCGGAGGACAGGAACAAGGCGCGCCCCAACAGCAAGAACGATCCAATGGGGAACCAGAACGTCGTGATAACACCCCATCTGTGAACAGCACGGCGCAACAAGCATTGGAGAGCGAGTTCCAGCGCATGAATATGAACGCTAGCCCTCCACCATCGTACGCAAGCTTGAGCCATGCTGCGCCAGCGGCAACAACCGCACAAGGCTATCCTAACGAGAAGCATACAGTTGTGGTTGGTGCTGCAGCGCCGAACAATCATACGAATCACCCAGCTTTTCATAATGATCCTCCTCCTCAACAACAACAACAACAACAACAACAACAACAGCAGCAGCAGCCGCAGCCGCTTCGACAACTTACTCCGGCCCAGCGGGAGCTACAGCAACAGCACCAACAGCAGCAGCAGCAGCAACTTGCTCAAGAACAACAAGCCCAGGCTCAAGCTCGGGCCGAGGTCGAAGCTCAGGCGCAAGCCCAGGCACAAGCACAAGCTCAGGCTGCTCAAGCACAAGCACAAGCGCAAGCTCAAGCTCAGGCCCAGGCCCAAGCTGCTCAAGCCCAAGCCCAGGCCCAAGCTGCTCAAGCCCAAGCCCAGGCCCAGGCCGAAGCTCAGGCTCAGGCTCAAGCTCAAGCCCAAGCTCAAGCCCAACAGCAACAGCAACAGCATTATGCTCAGCAGCAACAATCACCTCATCCTCAAGATACCACTCAATACCAGCAACAATATGTCCAGCAAGAGCAATACATGAATACCCCACCACCAGGCTCCGGCCCTTCTGCGCCTCCTCCACTCCCTGAAGGGTGGATGGCCCATTTAGATCAAAGTTCCGGATCATACTACTACATCCACATTCCAACATCTCGAACCCAATGGGAATTCCCAGCTCCGGAACCAACTTCAGCCTCTCCACAGTTAGCAACCTCTAGCTACGCAAGTATTCCGCCTCTCGGCTCCCCAGGGTTCGGTCAACAGCCAATGACTTTCCCGGACCCTATGACTACATACAACTCAGACCCCGGAATGATGGGGATGAGCCCATCACCGTTGATGCATACCAACAGTTTTGGCATGCATCCCCCACTCCCGCTTGCTGGTGTAGTCCTCTTTAACCCTGCGCCAAGCAACCAGGAGTACTTCGGTCCCTACCTCAGGTACACTAATATGGATATTGAACGTGGCATCTGGCTTGGCTCAATTATGATTGTCACCTCTTCTCCACAACCCCCAACAATCCATCTTCATCGTAGCGTAGATCTCTCCCCTAACCCTAGACAATTAAAGGCGAACCCAATTTTCACCCACCGAGCGTGGACCTTTTACCGCTATGATATCGATATCCAGATGTCAGATATCGGAGAGAAGTGGACATATGCGGTCACATCGTTATTGGGGATCTTGAGATACGAATTCCTTGTAGCTGCAAGAATGGACAGGAACTGGAGATTCATTGCGCACAGTTGCAATGGTTTCTCGTTGAGTGTGAAGGAGGAGGAGAGACAGCGATTAGGTGGTACAGGGTATATGTGGAAGGATGTTTTGCAGAAGCATATGGAGATTGGGTTCCATGCGCAATTGGGCGGAGGAGATCAGATTTATGCGGATAGGTTGTGGAGAGAAGTTCCATTATTGAAGGTTTGAGCCTTTCCTTTTCGATCTATGATTTGCAAGTTTTGACTTGGATCTAGGAATGGTTGGCGATCAAAGGAAAGGAAAATAGGAAGGCGGCGCCATGGACAGCTACTCACGAGGAGGAGGTCCAGCATGCGTACTTTCATTACTACTCTTCACATTTTGATCAGCCGCATTTGAAAGAAGCGTGGGCCCAGATCCCACATCTCTTGCAAATTGATGATCATGATATGTAAGCGCATTGACTTACACTCTTCTCTTGGGTGTGATACTGATTGGGGGATAGTTTTGATGGCTTTGGGTCCTACCCTGAATACATGCAGTTCTCGCACATGTTCAAAAATATCGGTCGTATCGCCGTTCATTGGTACTTGCTCTTCCAACACCACACAACCCTTGACATGCTCCACGGAGCGCCCAACGAACGGGATCTCTTCACCGTAACCGGCACTGGTTGGCATTTTATCAAATACCTCGGCCCCGCGATTGCGGTAGTTGGAATCGACACCCGTTCAGAGCGGAATCCACAGCAGGTCATGGCAGGACCAACGTACCAGGGGCTATTCCCGAAGATTGCGACGCTGCCGCCTAGTGTGCAACACTGTATTTTGATGCTGGCTGTGCCTATTATCTATCCACGGATGGAAACGGCAGAGCATGTGGTGCAGACAGTAGCAACGGGGAAAAAGGCAATCACTGGCACGTACAATCTGCTAGGAAAGGTTGTGGGGTCGGCGGCGGGAGTCGTTGGCGCGAAGGAGGTGGTTGGGAGTGGTTTCCAGGGGGTCAAGAAGGCTTTTGGAAAGAGCGGGTTGATGAGTGGTGTGGTTAGTATATTTGGTGAAGTGGACTTGTTGGATGATTTGAGGGATCATTGGACCCATGAATCGAAGGTATGTTTGAGAATTCGAAGGAATGATTTTTTGGTTTTTTTTCTAATTTCTATCTAGGACCTTGAGCGAACATACCTTATCAGAATTCTTCAAGGAATTGCAAAACAACGGAGTCTCCGCATGACTTTCCTCAGTGGAGACGTCCACTGTTGTGGAGCGGGTCTAGTACACGACCCTACAAAGCCTGGCGACCATAAAACAATGTAAGTCCCTACTCCCCTTTACTAATGTTTATTCCCTAATAACCTTTTCTCCTCAAAGGTATCAAATCATCTCCTCCGCAATTGTCAACGTCCCGCCTCCAAACATGGTTATCAAAATGTTACACAACAACAAGCAGCTCTTCATCCCACAAAACGGCATGCGATCTACAGGCGCCCCCAGCGACACAAAAGAAGACATGCTCGAGCTATTCCAAACCGATGTCGGCGGCCAATACCGCGAACTAAAACGCCTCATGGGCCGAAGAAACTACTCAATCTTCTGCGGATACGATCCGCTAAATCCACACGGACTGCCAGTCGCCACCGATTCAAAGCCAAGCGCGCTGAGTATCGCGGTAGACTTCATCGTCCAGGGCGAGGGAAACTACTCGGGGACTGTCAAGTACGGGCCGGTGGTTATTCCGAGAGTGGAGCCTGGGTATTAGTTGGCTGGGAGGTGCTTTCCCGTTATTTATTAATTTCTCTGCTTTTATGATTGATGGGTTCCATTGCATTGGTATGGCGTGGGGGGTGTGGCATGGGTGATGAGATGAATACACTTTTCCTTTCTTTTTTCTTTTTTTTGGTGGGGTTAAAGAACTTTTCTTTTCACTATCTTTTTTTATTTTTATTCTTATATTGGCTGCGTGCAGAGGGAGCTTCATGTATTTTTTATATTTATGTAGTTAGTTGGATGAAGTGACTTCTTTGGCATAGGTATTTATCTTATCACTCATGCTTTAAAGATTATTTCTTACACCCTCATCTTTTCTATGTGTAATATGTTCTGTGTAGATCATGAGTTATCACTCGGACATTTGAGTTTTGAGGCTGGGATTCGGACTCGAAGTCTGTGCTTTACCTGGTCGATACAGAGGATCAGATTCCAGCAGAAACATATATCCCCTGGATTATCTTGCCTTCTGTGGTATATAAGTGGTTACTCATTGACCAGGGGTGTAGTTATGTAGAAGCACATCAATATTAATAAAAAGTACCCGATGTGATCCAACCCTCCTGTGCCAGCCCTGCTGCTATAGAAATAAAAAGACGAACCCATCTTTTTATATACCTTACTTCAGCCATTACTAGAGGGTTGATATGTGCGGGTCAAGTAAAGAAGTCGAGTGATCTTTCATGACGCAGATTGCAAGGTTAATCAGGTTTTGCAAATCTAATAAGTATATAGATATACCGATATGCAATGTGTTATTTAAAGGTTTTGATTGGCCAGGTTTGAGGGGTTTTTTTTTTCTCTATCAAATATGTTTGTCAGTAAGTAGATATTCTATCAAATATGTTTGAGTCAGCCAGTAGATATTGGTTCCAACATACCTTGAGTCAACCAAATAGTATATCAGATATGTGCACAGGGCATCTTGGGGTTTCAGTGATCTTAAGCGTTGGTAAACTGATATTGTTTAAGCCATAACAGTTCCTACTCCGGCCAAAGGCCGGAAAATTCTTGTAACACCTATGCCTGTACCTGTCCTGAGCAAAATAGACAATATTTTCCCTGTGGTATTGTGTTGGTTTAGATAGATGTGGGCTCACTCAGACTAAGTATATACGTTTCTATTGGAAGAGGGTGTTGAGTACGCATACAGGTGTCGATCTGATGAAAGCATCCTGTGTGGCAGCGCAACAAAGTCTACTGCACTCTGCAGCCTCCAATTGATGAGATAGACGGCCGAAAAATTAACTTTGGGCCCTCACCAAAGTTATCTGAACTTTAGGAAGATTTGAAGTTTATCGGTTGCATGGTCTTCGGATAAGGATTTGACTTGTACGGACGGTTTCACCAGATCGACACCTATATATATAAATCTAGGCTAAGGAGTAGGGCTGGTATATACGGACTCTTGACGGCTGTCATGACCTGGCCTAAGTCTCCAAGATTTACCCATGAATGAAATGGCACTGTACTACATCACCAAGATTATGTTATGCGTGGTGTCTCCCATATTTAACGTTTTGCCTTTTTAATTTATGTTGCTGTAAACTAGTAACTCCATTTTTTTTTTTTTTCCTCGGCGTGCCGGATTCTTCTATCTCTACTATGTCTTAAACGGACTAACGAATATCGACGACGTCGTTGACATTACTCTGCAAGAGATTTGCAATCTCAAAATGCTCACCGTAATTAGCTGCCATCAGGGCCGTTCTCCAAACACTGTGGCCTATATGGACTTTGGCACCGCTCTGCAAGAGCAGGCTCACAACATTGATATGTCCACCCCCAGCAGCAGCCTCTAACGCTGTCCCGCGGGAGTTAGCTAGGAGACTAAATCCCATGGGTGATGCATTCACATCGGCTCCGCATTCAATGAGTCGAGATACAGTGGCCAAGTGCCCTCGTCCAGCAGCAAATTGCAACGCAGTTCGTGCTACATGGTGAGGCCCATCCTTTTCCCTAATCGCCGCCTTAAGCCACCGGTGGTTCACGTGCAGCGCCATTTCGGGCGCGATGTACGGTTGATCGAGTTGAGCCCCGAGTTCTGGCAGATGTGGAACAACGGATTCCTTTCCCTCTATACTAGCCAGTAAAAGCGCTCCCTGTACCAGATAGGTTCTAGTTTTTGTGGATGTATTGCTCAGCCTGTCAAACGCCATCCTAAGTACAGCCGGATTATCTGTTTCCACCGCCCAGAAAAAAACCTCCTCGCGATATGACTCGTTCTGAGAGTGGTCTTGTTGATCCCATGGCAAATGATTGAATGGTAATTTGCGGCGAAATACTAAACTATCGAATAAACGCCAGTTCTCATGGTCTTCCTTCGAAAGCCCGCGGCAGTGGTGAATCCAATTTTGCCTAATATATTCTAATAAATGAAACTTGGCATTCAAAATATCTGTAACCGGATCTTTGTCGCCTAATATACGGGCGCTGGATACGTGTGCGTTTTGACCGCGATGGAGGAATAATATCCCAGGGTGTACTTTCGATAAAAGTCCCATGTGTGGGTTATGTACCGTTGTCGATTTTCCCCATTCAATGACTGAGGGTAGTGGAGTGCCCTTTGTAGGTTTGGTGATAGTGGTTTCAAAATCTGGAAAACTCAAATATGTAAGGCAAATTAAGCCTACATATAAGTTTGCTTCTTGCTCATCAACGAAAAAGTCACCCATAGACTGAGCCGCTCGTGTTGATTTTTTAGGAACTCCAGGACAGTATAATGAGCGAACTGAATTGTGTCATCACTATGAACATGGATGATTGGATTCCCACCATTTCCCAACATGTTAAGTGCATCATTTTGATGGCTCCCTTGACCCCAGTGAGAACACCCTGGCTCAAAAGCAACAGCCTCGTTTAACTCCTTCAAATGGATAGGACGTCTGGCCACGGCAAGCCACGTGAAAACCTTTTTGGCAATATCTGGCTTGTGGTTATCAACGATTCGTTTGAGAATCCGGAGGTAAGTTTCGTCAAGGCCTTTTGGTAACGATTGCAATACCCGGCGAATATCGTCATTATTTTCCCTACAAATTTCAATGATTTGAAACTTGACCCAAAGAAACCTTTAAAAATATGTTAGTACTTAACCTAAACATTATATACTAGCAAGAGAAACATACATTCCATCAGACCCTTTGATAAGTGCATCATTGATCTCTTTGACCATTCCCGGGCCGACCATCAGATCGACGTCTTTCAACTTCTCCTCAATGGTTTCCCGGATATAAATCTCGATATCAGAATGATTCATCGCCGCACACAAGGAAATCTTTTTAAAGTCCGCCAAAGATCTCGATATATCAATCTTCTCACGGCTGGAGACAATGATCTTTATTTTACTTTTGCTATCCCTCATAAGTTGGTTCATGTAGGTCAGGAAGCGTTTCCGATCGTTCGCTCTACATTCATCTAACCCATCGATAACAATATATGACGTATGTGGAATCTGTGTGATATCCAACAACATTGTATACAAATCCTCTATTCCTGGCTCTCGGTGACTACTCAAGAATATTTTCTCAAGGTTTCGCTCCATCTCCGGAGGGATCTTTTCGAAAACGCTAAGAATTTGTTTTATCAGACTTTTCAAGATCGCGGAAGCCTTCAAAGACTCTTCGACTGAGAAGTCGCAGAAGAAGTAGCTGATTGATGTTGTCATGTTTTTTTTGATTTACAAAGAGATGATCGATTACCCCAGCCGTAAGTATGGTTTTTCCTGCACCAGCTATCAAAAAACATCGTTAGTTCCGAGATTACATGTATATAGATCTTCAAAATGTCAGCATTATAGCACAATTCATGGGGGCTTACGAATTCCATAACACCAAAGTCCGCTAGATTTCAAGCCCTCGTTCCACTCCTTATACTCCAGGGTCTCAAAATCCACAATCCAGTGTTCTTATGCCGCTTCTCGTACGCATTCGATAAACTCAACCGATGGTCGTATCTTGATATCGCTTCCAGCAGAGACCTTCTTTTTACCACTAAATATAAATCAGAATAAGGAACTAAACCCAACGCATATATCACTTGGAAAGATAGTCACTTTTTTCGCGCATATTTTACTGTAAAGATGAATTCTCGATCCCGTTTAACCTCTTTATGATGGCCGAATTCGTCGACTGATTTTCGGCATGATTTTGTATCATCAGCAGTTGGTGGTTTCTTCCCTCTCTCCTGAATAGACTCATCTCCTGGCGAGCCTTAAACGCCACTTCCTCTCTCGCCAACTCGATTGCGTCCTCGACTAATTTCTGCTGCCGAGCAAGCTCCTCTTCGAGGCCTTGAAAGGTCAATTTGAAGGGTTGCCATATTGATTTGAATATTTGCCCGGTTGCTAAGCACGAGATGTTGTTATCTAGGATAAAGAAGACTCAATAGACATGGTAGGGGAATCACTGGATTTCTTAAGGAATTGGAGCGCCGATGTGCTGAATCTGATTGACACCGCGCAGAAATCTGCGAGCGCCGAGTGAAGCCTAGAGGAGTCGGGGAGGATCTCTAGGAAACGATCGAAGTAGGAAGAGAGGTCTCCCAACTTATTGAATGTTTTTGAGATTTGTTCAAAGTATTCGAGGTAATTTAGAGCTGCCTGTGGGGATATATATACATTAGACATCGAAATGAGCATTGAAGCAGAAAAGATCCGCAACCCACAATAATAACAAACTTACAACTCCCCCATACCAATGCTGCTACTTCTGATTTCGCAGAAACCAGCACATCAATCACTGGCCAAAATCTCAAGACCGATTGAAAAAAAGGCTCAATCTTTGAACTGAATTGCCGAAACCTCCGTTTTGCCTTCTCCTCAGTTGTATCACGACAAATTTCTACGGTAGCAGATACCACAGGCTGATTTGGAGCAGGAGTTTGCGACAATTTTAGAATCTCGTCCGGACTAAGCACTTGGCAGAGGCCAGCAAAAGCTCGAAGAAGGTTATATTGGGCGGGGCTATAAACTTCTGAATTAGTTGTTGATTAATGCGTAAGGACGGCATACAGATATATGTTAGATAACCATACGTGTAAATGTTAGCTACCCCAACAAAGCTAGTAGCTCGTAACCCCTCAGCCAAACTCTTTGAGATTTCTTTCTGAACTCTGGGCATTTCTGTCGTAAGTGATCTTATAGGCAACTAGTATATGTAGTTGTAGCTTCGACAGTGAGTTTAGAAGGGAAAGAAACACTGATCATAATCAAGGCGATGAAATCTTCGTTAACTCAGCCTTCCCTGGTTGGGTGGACCACTTGAGAGGCAGCTTCAGCTGCATGAGTACTTGGCACTTTGAAAAGGTTCGAACCTCTATTGGGAATTCCGGGCTTATCCATCTTTTATTCCATCCACTATCCTAGGGTATCCTTTAATTTGAAGAATATTTATGGATCGAGGTTATTCCCATTGGATAGTCTCAGAGATAGAAACATGGGAGGGTTTACATACGCACCTTCTCGCGTAACCTTAAGCACCAAGGTTAGCTTTCCAAGAACACGATCGGTATTTAGTTGATGTTACTCTATAGATATCATACCAGCACGATCGTGTAGAGCCTAGCTCCATCAACTCAGGACCACTTTATCATTCTAGGCATTGTGTCTTCTCGGAATTCGGTTAGATGCGGGGCCGCCCGCCAAGAGCCCCAACATTCGATACGTCACACCACCCCCACGACCTATGTAAATACCTACATGTACCTTAGAAACAAAGCTGTCCCATTCCCTTGAATTCAGTCGCCGAACAAACCTCTCAAACCCTTAGATATCATATCAATCACGATGCCAGTCCTCTCCACACTTACTAACCCTGGCACATGGCATATCCTCGCCTTCGGGACCCTTTTCGGTGCCGAATTCTACCAAGTCAGTCCTCCCCATCTTCCTCGATAGCGTCAACTAGACTAATCTTCAACCCTTAGACCTTCATCAGTGGTGTTGTGGCCTATAGAGCTCTCCCTAGGCCTATGTTCTCCCAACTCCAGCGGAAGGCCCTTCCTGTCTTCTTCACGCTCCAATCGGTTCTACCAGTAGCCTTACTAGCCACGCATCCCACCGCATCTGCGGTATCTCTCCTCTCAACATCATCGCCATACTTCTACAACACCACGATTCCCATCATGGTTACGCTCACATCTTCGCTGATGAACCTTTTTATTGTCGGCCCCGCGACAACAAAGATAATGAAGGAGAGGGGGGTCCAGGAGACGAAGGAAGGAAAGAAGTACTATGACGAAGGGCCGAAGAGTGAGGCTATGCAAAAGCTGAATAGCAGGTTTGGAAAGGTTCATGGGATTAGCAGTATGTTGGCATTGGTAGGGGTACTAGCAACGGGCGCGTATGGCGGTGTCTTGGGGACAAGCTTGAGGCTATAAGCTATCTGTGATGTTGAGTTGCCCAACAGGCGAATTGCATATGGGCATCTGTTAGGCATCCTCTAAATATTGGCACATGTATACCTACTGCAATAAATATACCAGTACTGTACAGGCTCCTACTCATCATGACACTCAGCAGAAGGTATCGATAATATCAATTTTGAACTGGTTGTGTTTTTTCCTTACACTATCAGCATAGTAAGAGAATTACTGGCGGGTTCAATTGCTGACTGATTAAATTGCAATCACCAATGATCATTGCTAATGGCCAGATGAATATATTTACTTTCTATATCTACTAACCTTATCCCCCCACAAATTATTACACTCGAAACATTACCCATCCAATCACTCAAACAGTTTAACCAACTCTACAAGACATTATACCTCATGTTGATCAAGACGGGTCTCTGTCGATATCTCTCCCTACTACTAACTAATCCCAATGCAATGTGATTTTGACCGGACGAACCTCAACAAGACTGAACGATTTATCATTGTCCCAAATTTTCCTGCCAACCAGGCTGACCACCATATTATAGCTAGACCGGGTGTACTTTTAACGGGAATGTACCCGCGGCGAGTATTTCATCTAAACCGTATAACCAATCAGGGCTGCATTTTGATCTTCAATTTCTAGGAATCATATAAGGTTATCTGCATGGGTACACACGTCGATCTATATAACTAATCATCAAGATCGGACAGCCGCCCCCACTTTTCCCGGTGAATAGACTTCGAGTCATATCATCCGGGAACTTGGTAAATTTAATGGGGAGAGAATTTTCACCCAAAGCTGACCTGGTTAGGGGTGTCTCTGATAGGAGAAAGCGTCGCCTAGCTCCTATAGCTATATATGTAGTCTCGTGAAAACGACTTCTAACAAGCTTTTGACCCTGCAGGGCTTCTTTATTCTGTATAAACACCATTTTCTAAAACTAGGATACTACCTGGCTAGAAGCTTTAGTTTTCACCGTCATGCTCTTATCAGTGGGTCTAAAGGCATCAGCTCCTTCATTTCCATCCTACCACACCTACGAAATCCATATACGTATGCTCCATCTTTCTAGTGATACCCGGACCATCGTAGACGTCAACCCGTTCATGAAATCTAGTCAGCGGTATACAGTACCTAAAGTTAGAATCTTGAGCATGTAGCACCCCCAATTCTCCTATAACGCAGGGATATGAGGTCCATAAACTGGTCAACTGGTACAGATAGACATCCCAGCAACTACATAAGACGTTGACCAGCAGCCTTCACCACTGATAACCTTCCCGCCAAGCATTAGTACTGCACCACCCGGACCCCCTGCGCAGCCAAGCCGCCAACAGCGATCCAATTCCTGCATTAGATGGAATATTCCTGCTGACCAAGGGCGCCGGGCAAAGAGGCCTTGCGAATCGAGTACGGGTATGGGAGTATGCACACCTAGCCCGCACGGCTGTACCTCCAGTACGTACTGTGTCTTCTCAAGAGCCGGAAACAGCAGCATTAGGCTCAGCTCCGCCACGTCGTTGGATCCCCTATGCTCGGCCATTCAACGGGGAAATGCAGTATATCTCGCCGGTATTGATCCTATGGTAGTGCGGTTACAGGCGTAGTTATCAAGAAAACTCCGGGTAACTGCTTTGTGACGACTCTATTTTGACCACATGTTGTCAGACCCGCTCAACCCTGCTGAATTGCTTGGCTCCCCGCCATACCCGACGACACACCGTGGGAGTCCCTTCCCTGTTTGAACAACGAATACGGGAGAAGCACTAAGCCCCGGTACCCCGAAAACAATCGCAGGTTTTTATCCCTAAGAGCGAGATCGAAAAGCCCCGCGTAAACCCGAGTGATAATATATGACTAGATGGAACATTCAAATTTTAAAGATTCATAGTATTGTCACATATAGCTAAACATAGTGCCCGCCTACTTCAGGCTTGCCCATTTTAAGGTTCTACTAGTGCAACATTCGCAGGGTGCATGAACGCCGTTACAAACCGCACTTGCACAGAAAAAAAGCGCCCAGGCCCGTACCCACGCCCACACATCGAGCAAAACACGCACAAGACGTTTTTAAACACAACAATTAATTTGCTCAACAAACATGTAGTTAAAGGAAGGAATCAAACACAGGTAGTAAGCACGCAGAGTTACTCTGAAGGGAATAAAATATGAAAGGTAAGGTGTGAAAAGGGCAAAGGGCATAAGAAGAATAAAGAAAAATGGAAATTACGCATAAACACCATGAACCACATTTTCAAGTTATTCAATCAACTCAACCCATTATGCAATCAATCATCCATCGGGCGATCCGTCAAGCTTACACCAGGTGACCTTCCCTGATCGTCAGCCCCGCTACCGTCAGAGTCATTTCCGTTTGGTGGCGCAGTCACTGAATCCCTCTTCGCGGCCGCCGCTCTCACTAAACCGCCTCCCGCCTTTCTCGGAAACCTTGAGCCGGAGGCACCAGTTCCTGAGGCATGGCCAGATCGGGATAGTGAGTTACTCTTTTCGAGGCCGCCGCTACTGTGAGGGTTTGTAGCACTTTGTGGGGAGTCGTTCCCCGACGAATCGTGGTGCATGCCATCAGGTTCTTGTGTCATTCTCATGGGGGGGTCAGTCTCATATTCCTTAGCTGTTTCGAGGGATGAAGCGCCTCCAGGCACTTCAAGGGACGAAGGCCTGTAGCGTCCGGAATTACGCGGCGAGCTGGAGGTGGGCGAAGTTTGAATGGGAAAACGGTTCCCTCCATCCGTGGAGACATCCCGCCGATGCCGACCCGTCGGCGCGGGTGAGGAGGGGCGGCTGCGGGCTGCGCCGATCACGGCGCGGTTGCGTGCCTCAACATGGGCACGGCGTTGTGACTCATCAGTAGAGATGGCACGAGCTCGTCCACTGGCTAGGGTTGATGCACGCTTCAGTTCACCAAAGACTTGCTCTTTGTGCGCGAACAGGTCGCGGACGAGGCGGTATGAGTGCCGTTCGTGTTGTGTTAGTGGTGACTCGACGCGTGGGCGGAGGATGCAGTAGGAGAGGCTGTGGGCAAGGGCAGTAATGAAGGCTTCATCGGCGGAGGTGAGTTCAATCAGACGAGTAAAGTGGGTTGTGATTGCATCAAGAGTTGCAATGTTTGTCAGTGGAAGACTTCCAAGTGTGTTTTGAACAACTGCTAATCGGGCTTTCTCATCTCCTTCGGAACCGTGAGTTGTATACACTGTTTTAATGATCTCATATTTTTGAGAAGAGACAAGAGAATCCGGAAGCTCAAGGAGATACAGCTTCAAAACACTGGCAACGATAGGAATTTCGTAGTTGGCAAGAATGTCTTTAGGAATCGCTTTCCCATTGTTTACCGCATTTCTTAAGTGATGTGTGGCCGCAAGAGGGACATCCACAAGCCAGATACCTCGTCTAGCCTCATCTCCCTCGAGATCAGGATAATCTATTACACCAAGTAAGCGAGTGATATTTGGTGCTTTTAAAATCAAACGACTTACGATGATCCAGGTATGTAAGGATGCTAGTTATAATGATTGGCACACGCTTACGATCAGCCCTAGCCCGGGCTTCAAGATCGATACCAAAAGTCTGCTCATCGACAGAATTATAGTAACTCTCATAGGTCACGACCTTCGGGATGAATGATCCAGTCCTATAAGACTCGAGCATGTACCGGAGGTCCCCCTGTGGCTGGATAGTCTCCTGGTAAAGAAGCATGTTATCGACGGTAGACTGAATACTAGGTATGACGTTTGAAATCGCTCCGGAGAAATCAAGGATAACTGCGACAAGTTAGGTCCTGCGCGTGCAGTGAAAAAAAGTTTCCGGAATTAACATACCGGCCTTGATAGCCTTCAAACGATCCAGCTCGCATCTTTCCATAAATTTCAGATGCTCCATCATACTCTCCTCCAAGGTGCATCTCATCAAGTCCAGCTTTTTAACACCCAGCTTGTACCTCTCATCCGCTTCATTGGCCTCTCTTCTCAGCTTATCTGAAGACGACTCGTTCGGATGCTGATTAGTCATAAGACCACCCAAAAAGTCGCCAATCGCCGTGGTCGTGATGGGACTGCTAGGGACTACATCTCCATTGATCGTCTCAGCTCTCGTTAAGGCCTTAGTCGGTTGAATTCCTGCGGTTTGAAAGGCCTGGGGACGCCACTGATAGTGCAATTTTGCGCTATTGCTAAATGTGTTCCCAACATTTCCCACCAGTCTCAGAAACCCATGGCCGACAAAATCCTGCCCAATTCTCTCGGCATGGGATACCGACGTTGCGTTAAGGTTCTCCTGAATGAACTTTACAATGTTCTCGCCAGTGGATACATTCTCATAAGTCCCTAGGATGGCTACCTTCACATTAGTAAGTGGGATCGTCTCTAGCATGTGCCTCAAGATCTTTTTGACTTCTGCCGGCTGGTAGAAAAGGTCGCCAATTTCAATCGGCTCCTCATCGTCCTCCAAGTCCTCATCCGTCAACTTGATTTGCGGGGTTCCAGCGGTTGCCGATGCTGGGGTTTCCGGCGCTGCCTGGATAAACTTTGTTTCCTCCTCGAGATCTTCGACTAGACGACATTTATTAAAGTAGTGCGAGCGGAGCTTCTTGACCGCCTCCGCTTGCCTATCGTGAGCTTTGATCCGGGTCTGAAGATCGTCGTGCGAAGAAATGATGCGCTCCTCATGCGCTTCACACCAGCGAGAAAACGGGTCAATGACAAGCTGCCGGATATTACCTGCGACTTTGCGGTGGTTTTTCCCTGCCTGCATAATTGTTTAATTCCGGAAATCTTAAAATAGTAACTTGGCGAAAAAGAGGGAAAAAAAACTCACATCGTCCATTTCCTTCCTCAGTCCATCATAAGCCTGCCCTAATTGTCAGAAGCCGGAATCTTAAATAGCAGCATGTAAACCGTTATCAATCCTCACCTTCCTCACACTAGCACCATCATCTCTCGCAAACCCGCCCGGTCTTTCAGACCCCGCTGAAATGGTCCCAAGCTTCTGTCCGTAAAGGTCTTCCGTATCGGCCCGTAACTTCGCGATTTGAAGAATTTGCTGGTTCTCTATTACACCCTGCTGAAGCTTCCCGAAAAGAACTCCGAGACCTATTTAATACATGAACCCGATACGTCAGCACTACAGTCCTTTGGGCAGCCAGCCAACCCAGTTCCGAAGTGGGGAAAGCGGGGAGGGAGCAGCAGCGGGATTTTTTAGCTTTGTCCCACAGGCTGAAAAAACTAACCTCCGGCATAATCGCCCGACCAGAAGGAATCTGCGAAACCAGGCATCTTGTTGATCAAACTACAAAAAAGTACTAAATGGAAAAATAGGGGGATTGAAGAAGGAGACCGCGCGGTTCTCTAATGTTGTGAGTCCTGGAGTTCGTTCAAAAGTGAGCTCGTTTGTCGTAAAGTGCGTAGTGTCGAGTTGGGTCTCAGCCGGTAACGTTGATAATGGTGTTCCTGGGGTGGGATGTGGAGATAGGTAGAAAGCAGTGTAGTGAAAGTGGGCGCAGCAGGTGGAGTTGATGGGCAGATTGGTAGGTTTATAGCACTTTCAGCCTCTTAGCCCCCTAAAGCGAAAAAAAATTATCAGATACTGTAACACAGTAAGCGCTGCGAGGCAATGTGGTTGATATATGTGATGCAAGTGATGCAAGTGCTAGTGGATGGGAGGGGAGACAGAAGATAGGAGAGAAAGACAGACAAGTCGCTGATAGACAGATAGACGAATAGAGCGGTAACGGGGTAGAGATGGTGTGTCTAAGGAGAGACGTTGCGGAACAAAGAAGTAAACAGGTAGGGAAGCCTGGGAAGGGTAAGAAGAAATAGAAACAGGCATATGTTAATTACCTAGACTAGCAGAGCTGACTTGGGTTATTGTTGTATCGTACCTTGGGGCAGCTGAACTTCCTTCTCACTGCACTTGTCATTAGAATCGCTCTAGCAAACCCCTTGGAACACACTTTACCCTTGCCCTGGGAAAGAAGAACCCTGGATCCAAATTCAAGACAAGAAAATCCCAGAATTGGAAATACCTATGTCAGCCCCGGCAGACCATATTCAGCAAAAACAATCCCACCTGCCCTACCAAGTAATCGATTCGAAGCGAAAAAAACGCTGTCACTTGATATATATATTCTTATTGTCTATAATACTTCGATCACACCCCTCTCAGTGCCTCTGATCATTGATCTCTCGTTCCTAACTTCCCCCCATTCTGCTGCCCCTGTCTCACGCGATGGACCTTACGTAGGGTTGATAGGTCAAGATGCATGGATCTGTCAGATGGGCCTGTCAGCCATTCGATGTCTCTCCAATCCAGCGAGATGCGAGCCTACCTCGAGTACCTACCATCCAGCCGGTGAGCCGCTACCCTAGGCTTCCGTGCGCGCGTGCTGGGGCATACTATTTTTATAAGAAAGAAGAGCATGTAAATAAATACTACCTAGAGTAGGTACATGTACTCTACTTAAATACATGTATATGTACATGTATGCAATATTCCCCCTATCCTCTACCGGCGGCGGGAAACAGAATAGCAGCTCGGAAACGAAGAAATAGAACGAACGTTTGTGTAGCCTGGTCAGATAGGCGACGTTTTTGGGTGCCCAAGCTTTCGGCTCTAATTTGGGTGAAGTCTTGGCTGCCGTTGAATTACGAAGCTGTTCCGTGATGACTCAAGGGCGATGGCTTGGCGGAATCCTTACTACATACATGAAGTCTTGAGGTTGAGGCTCTCCCTCGAGCTCACGATGCACAGCTGATATTTGGATTGGACTAAACCATCCGGGATCCATCTGTGTATGAGTCTCTGATCATCCTCTAGCTCTAAAGACAAAATTTTACAGTTTTCTCTATTTATCTTGGACCTATTCTTCAATATCTTCAATATCAGTTTGGTTCCACGACATCATTTGCTCACCAGCATAAAGCAAACTATAGATATAGCGGAACTGAAGGAATGGCTTCTGCGGGTACGCATACCTATTTGAACGAAAAGAAAAATCCTTTTCAAGAAGTAAATCTCTCTTACTTTTGGGGGTGCTTCTCTCTTTATAACTGGAGTGAAGAATAACTACATGTACACGTAGTACTATGGGATGAATCATAAATACATATAGTCGATCTGTTCCAGTAGCCTAGAACATTCTTTCTACTCGCAACAAAATAAACACTGCCTTTTAGGTACATACATGTAACATCCCAGACAGATATGCGTGTGTCCAGATAAAGAGACGTTTCGGTGACCCAGAAGCAGGCCAAAAAGCGGTTCACAGAACGATTGAATAGGCAACAGCAGCTACCCCAGTGCAGCATCCACAAAAAAGTTTGTACGCAGATCCTTACCCAGTTGCTGTAGCTGAGGGCGGCTGTGTAACAATTCTCCTGTTGACTCGAAAGTTTCGAGGGGTTGATGGAATCCTTTTTGAATGACTTGGTTCCTGCTTGCGATTGAGTTGAGCTACAGAATACACAGCTACAGCCTACCTACAGCATACAGTCAGTCTACAGGAATCTGGAGAGCCAACTCGAACAGTCATACAGCCTAACCTGCATTATCTTTTACTGAGTCTACCAACCCCCAAGACCCTTTTCGACATCACCTGTTCCAAGCACCTGCGATCACTCGAGGTTGTTAGTTTTACCCACAAAGCTATTGCCTTCTCTGCACCCAGCAACCCTCCCCTCTTCCACACTCGCTCAACTCCCTTTACGCGTCTCGGGTATTGCACCCACCGCGTGCCCCCCTTCTTTACGCGAAAATAATTTCTCGCGCCTCACCACAAGTCACCCGAGTCTGCTCCTCACTCTGTGTTAATCTGCCACTACGCTCAGCAGACCTCTTGACTTTGCGCACTTCGACTTCTACTATTGAATATTTACATCTCTCATCTCATATCAATCATGACTCCTCGCAATAATAGAAGCAGCGTGAAGCGCAATATGGTACATCCGCCCCGCCCATCCTCCCTACATGCCATGCCTAGAAGTAGCAGTAGCAGCAGTGGTGCAAGCCCACTAACACTCCTCCCCCCACAGTCCCCCGAGTCCCCAGACGTCAACGCCAAAAAACCCCGTCGCTCGCAACGCAACAAAGGCGGTCCGACCGAGGACAAGAACGAGGAAAAGGTCACTACTCCTGGAGCCTCTAAAGAAGAACTCAAGGAAGAAGCCCTCGCAAATCCCCAGGAGCACGCAACTCATACCCCGGCACCGTCACCCCCAACGCGTACACCGGCATCGTCACCCCCACCACACACACAGGATGCCACGCAGGCTGCCTCGCAATTCTACTATCCCCCGCTCGCTGATGAGGGGCTGGATAAGAAGGAGGTCGATGAGTCTGTGTGGGGCTATTTGTGGCCCCTCTCGGATAAGAGCGACTCAGTCATAAAGTTAAATAAGCAAGCACCCATTCCCGACAAGAAGAAGAAAAAGAAGGGACCGATAACGAAGGGAAAGAAGCTACCACCAAATGGATTCCTGGTGGGAAGGCATGCCGAGTGTGATTTGTTGATTGATGATGCCGTGATCTCAAATAGGCATTGTGTCATCTTCAAAGTATTTCTACTCTATTGGCATACCCGGAAACTAAGATGCTAACGTATATGGCGGAGTCTAGGAAATCAGTGGAAACCAACCCGTGGCAGTTCTGGAAGATCTTTCTTCTAATGGAACATGGGTTGGTGGTGTTATCGTCGGACGTAACAATCGTCGGGTTTTAAACACCGGGGACGAGGTTGAGTTCGCCGGTGGGAAGCAATATATATTTAGGTACCCGATGAACATGCGTTCCAGCGCATTTCATGATACCTATGACCTTAGAGAGCAATTAGGAAGCGGTCATTTTGCGACAGTGCACAAAGCGGTCGAAAGGAAGAGTGGGCAGGAATTTGCTGTCAAGATCTTCAGTAAGAGGCGGAATGATGATTCATGGAGGACCTCGGGGGTCAAACAGGAGATCGCTGTGTTAATGAGCGTGAGCCATCCAAATGTTTTGTGTTTACAGGGCAATTACGATGCGGATGATGGTGTCTATCTGGTGCTTGAGTTGGCATCTGAAGGAGAGCTATTTAATCACATCATCAAGAACGGGAAGTTGAGTGAAGAGGATACAAAGAAGATCTTCATTCAACTCTTAAATGGCCTCAAGTATCTGGTAAGTACTTTGTGACACTGCGAATACCATGCTTTGGGACCCATGCTAACCTACATAATCACTACTGTAGCACGACCGCGGTATTGCCCATAGGGATATAAAGCCCGAGAATATCCTTCTTATGGATAAGGACCTTACCGTAAAACTTGCCGACTTCGGTCTCGCCAAGATCATTGGTGAAGACTCTTTCACAACCTCCCTTTGCGGAACCCCAAGCTGTATGTCATGTTCTATTCCTCCGCTATTATTTCCACATCACTAATCTCTTGGTTACAGACGTCGCCCCAGAAATCCTTCAGAGCAGCAAAAACCGCCGATACGCCCATGCTGTCGATATTTGGTCTCTGGGAGTCGTTCTATATATCTGCCTCTGTGGCTTCCCCCCCTTCTCTGACGAATTACACACCCCACAAAACCCATACACTCTCTCAGATCAGATCAAGGGAGGGAGATTTGACTTTCCTTCGCCGTACTGGGATTCTATCCCAGATCCTGCTTTAGAATTAATTGAACAAATGCTTACTGTGGACCCCGAAAAACGGATTACTGTCGATAAAGCACTAAAACATCCATGGATCACGGGTTCTAGTTTTGACCCTAATGATTCATGCGCTAGCCTGACCGAAACCATGGAGACTCTTCAGTTTACAAGGAGAAGGGTTAACAGAGAGCGGACGTTACTTGCTGATACTCCTGGACTCAAACGAGTTGCTGATGGTGGAAAGTTGAAGGGAAAAGCGCCGGCGGTAGTTGCGATTTCCGAGGAGGGTCCTGTAGAGAACCCAGCCGAGTTGGCGGTTGGTGAAAAAGCATTTATGAAGGTTGGTGGGAAGGGGGGTGATGAGACTCTCTATGGGAGCGACTACGAGGGGAACGGTAATGAAGAGCCTAGTAGGGAAATGTCACCGGAGGTTGTCGCGGAGGTGGAGGCCGCGGCGGGTGCTTAACCTTTATGAGTAGACGCTGTATTGGTGCTACCTATGTATTTCTTCTTTTGGTGCAATGTTTGGAGGTTATCTTGTTCTTATCTTTCCATGTGGGCTTCATCGGTTTTTATACCATATAGGCTGTTGAATATTTTTCTTCTGTTTCTAGGGGTCTATACTCTTCTTTCCTTCTCTTCCCGACAACCGCAACCAACTTTTGTCTTTTGCTGTCACATTATGCCTATATGTGTGAGTGATATGGAGGCCACTGTTTTAAGGGATTGCAGTTTTGTTGTGAGTGAAGGTATGATGGATATCAGGCTCCATCCATCGAATATTTTTTACGTGCTATATGAAGGAGAGGGAACGGGCAAGAGTTCGGTATTTTTAACTGTATATTTATACGCAAGAGGAGCAACTATGGTGGTGCTGTTGGAGGAAAGCCCAAGAGGACGGGCAATAAATAAATAGTTAAACAAATAAACAAATCAAATTTGTGTTATCACCATCTTTCCAAATACCTACCTTACTATAAACAGAAATTCAATCAAGCTACATACTAACTTCAACGCTCATGATCACAAGTGTATACATATCTTTAGTATGCGGCAAATATCTGGAATAAAATTGGGGCAGATTATCACTGGTCGTCCATATATACAGTAACAAAAAAGCGGGTGGATCCAGTACCATATCTGGCAAAATACCGTAGGGTTACGGTATTGTTACGGTATTGCTACGGTATAATAGTTAGGATTCCGATTTAATTCAGAAGTTTTGTATAATTCCGTATTAGTACAGTACCTATTACATCCTCTTTTTTCGTACTGTATGTACTACAATACCGGTATTGTACTTCTCAATTGACAGTCACCGCTGGATACATACACAAACGGATTAATATTCTTCAATACGAAAACGAATTCTTCAAAGGGGCAGGATGACTTTTAACAGTTAGGAAATATATCCTGAGACAATCATAAAGGATTACTTTCTAGCGCTTCACATCCCCCGTTGCTCGATACCATCAATGCGGAGTTTGGTTTCGAATACTTCGTCCCTCAAGTATTTGTATGTATTTCAATACTACATTATACATGTATTGATTACATGCTGCGCCGCTTCATACATTATAAATGTATGTAGATACACGTAACCATGGTCATTGATAGTGTAGCTAAGTAAGCAAGGCAATATATTATGCCGGTTTATTCTAGGTAGAAACGGTGAGTGAGCGGCGGTGAAGCAGGTGTTCTGTATGATTGTATCCACCCTATCTTATTCCGTAAGATGTGCCCCTGAGATACATACCTACATTTCTTTTATGCCGGGTAATATTCGAATTCATGTAATATGGGGCCATAAGCCCGCTGTGTGTGTTGCGTGTTCGTATAGATCTGTACAGTACCCCAGAGTTCATGATAATGATACGAGAGAAAACTCAGACTTCAATTATTACTAGTACGAATTATCCCTTCCCCCATAGGCTGTGATCGAACGACAGCAGACGATTCGTGGGGCGGTAGTCCACCAAGCAACAACAGTAACAGGGTGAGGCTCGTTCGGAGTCGTTCCTGTTTCTTTGCGGACATCCCCATGCAGCTAGGGTAGTGCACACCCGCGTTCCGGGAGCGAATACGAAACTGGCAACATGCCATTGTCCGGCGAAAGGGGCAGCCGAGCAGGATCCAAAGACAACAGAGAAGGGTTGGAGGAAGGAAAAGCTGATCTCATAAATCAATCTGCAGTTTAGGATCCCTGCCGGCTGGCCTTGGGAGGGGGAAAAAAACCTCTCCCTATTTTGTGGTCGGTAGTTAGGCGCGTCTCCTATCTGTACTTATTATCGTGTCCTTCCCTCCCTTCCCTCCTCCCATTCCCTTCATCAATTCCATCAATCTTCTTGGATACCTGAAGGTTTGACGACATAATGGGTTTGTTAGCTACACTTTTGGAGCCCTTAGGGCCCTACTACGCCGAGCTTCAGAAGCTGGGAACCCCCGTTGTCGTGGTCGTGGGTGTGTTGACGTTTATTGTCCTGAGTGTCGTTATCAATGTTTTGAATCAGCTCTTATTCAAAGACCCGACGAAGCCTCCGGTGGTATTCCATTACTTTCCATTCTTTGGAAGCACTGTCCGGTATGGAATGGACCCGTATGCGTTCTTCAACTCTTGCCAGGAACAAGTATGACATCTCAGCTTCTCCATATCCGAATTGAAGACTAATATATAATAGTATGGCGATGTTTTTACCTATGTTATGCTCGGAAGGAAGATGACTGCTTGTTTGGGGCCCAAGGGCAACGACTTTGTGTTTAATGGAAAACTTTCGGAAGTTAGCGCCGAAGAGGCCTACACCCATCTCACCACCCCCGTCTTTGGTGATGGCGTCGTCTACGATGTTCCTAACAACATTCTCATGGAGCAGAAGAGGGTGCGTAGTAATTGTCAATTGAGCTGCAGGATTGTACTGACAGTTTTGTTCTAGTTCATGAAATTCGGTCTTACTGCGGAAACCTTCAAATCATACGTCCCCTTGATTGTGGAACAAGTTGAAGACTACACCAAGAAATCCAAATTCTTCAAAGGTCCTAAGGGAACTGTTTCTCTCTCTGCGATTATTCCGGAACTTACCATCTTCACCGCTGCTCGTTCCCTCCAAGGCAAAGAGGTTCGCGATGCTCTGGATGGCTCCTTCGCCAAGCTGTTCCACGATCTCGACATGGGCTTCACACCAATGAACTTCCTCTTCCCTTGGTTCCCGTTCCCATCAAACAAACGTCGTGACAATGCCCAGCGCACTATGGCTAAATTTTACATGAGCATCATCGAGAAGCGCCGCGAGGAAGAAGCTAGTGGCGTCGACCACTCCGACATGATCTGGAACTTGATGGGACGCACTTACAAGGACGGAACCCCTGTCACTGACCGCAATGTCGCACACATGATGATCGCCCTTCTCATGGCTGGACAGCACACTTCTATGGCTACCATCACTTGGATGCTTCTCCACGTCGCCGATCAGCCTAAGCTCGTCAAGGATCTTTATGATGAACAAGTCCGCGTTTTTGGAAACGGAAAGGGCGGCATTGAGCCTCTCTCATATGAGAAGCTATCTGAATGCACTGTTCTTAACAATACTATCCGCGAGACTCTTCGTACCCACCCCCCACTTCACTCCATCATGCGCAAAGTCAAGGCCCCCATGCACGTTGACGGTACCAACTACGTTATCCCCAAGGGCCACTATATTCTTGGCGCTCCCGGTGTCTCTGCCATGGATGAGAAGTACTTCAAGAACCCCCACGCGTTCGACGTTTCTCGGTGGGAAGGCCAGAAGACCGAGGAGGAAGGTGAAAAGATCGACTTCGGTTTCGGAATGGTTTCAAAGGGAACTGCATCTCCATACCTCCCTTTCGGCGCCGGAAGACACAGGTGTATCGGCGAGCAATTTGCCAACGTCCAACTTTGCTCGATCATGGCCACCTTTATCAGGAATTTTGAATTGGGCTACCCCGAAGGATGTGGTGTTCCCAAGCCGGATTACTCCTCCATGATTGCACTACCTACACCACCGTGTACCATTTCATGGGTCAAGAGGGATCCTTAATTGGATCGTTATGGTTTTGTCTTTTGTTATGGCGCTGTGGCATGTATAGAAAGCAGGGATCGTGAAATGCATGGCAAGGGTTATGACGTTGATGCTTTCGAATTTTAGTATTGGTATATTCTTTTAGATTCTCGGATTGTATTAGACATTACCGAAAAATACTCTAGGGTCGGGGGATGGGGAAATATAATAATTAATATCCAAATACAAAATCATAATTTTGTAGTTAGGTTTTGTGCGAGTGATCTTTTGTGATCGTCTAATTTTCAATATTCCGTGACCGCTAGGATTACTTGGGCTGATACATACTTCATGGAGCTAACAAGTCTTTGCAGAGTAATAGGTGCTTAAGATGTACTATACTAATGTGGAGAATGTACAAGGTGAATATATCTGTTTCCTACTGCTTTGCCAATAGATCCTTTGGGTGGGTGTTGAGTACATGTACTTCATAGTCGGCGTGATCCTCGCACTCCCGAATTATATCTATCATTTCGAGGGGATTAAGATTCTCTTTACTCATCTCCTCTTGCTGATAGCCCTCTTTCAATAGTCACGAGAAGAAATAAATGCTCGTTGAAACTATGTACATGTATGATGTACACCCGCAGGAAAAAAGTGAGGAAACAACGAGTAGCGTGACAACGAGTACGTCTAACTTGACATCCCTGCACCCGCAATACAGCCCCATGAGTATTCCCTAGCCATGCCTTTTGACAAGTCCGGAAAGCGAAGAGAGGCTACTCTGAATGAAAACATAAAAGTTATTGAAGCCCAAGCTAGGGAAGAGTGGGAAAGGCTAGATTGGGAAAATGTATATAAAATCATTGACAGCATACTAAAGAGAATTGCAGCAGTAGTAAAGAACAAGGGAAGTCATAAAAAGTGGTAAATATAGTTCAGAGGCCGTAGTATCTATTCTGTATCTCATTGTGTAGTCATATTACTTCTATTCATTTCCATTTTCACTTTTTCATTGGGGTTCGGATTGGTTGCACTCGTTGTTTCCTCACTTTTTTCCTGCGGGTGTACCGGGGGTTAACATTAAATACCGAGAATCTGGTAAGATAAACACACCTATTCCACAGCAAGATTCTCTTATCAGATTCTTCGTATTTACCGTCAACGCCCGGTACATAGGTATTCCAACGGCTGCTTTCGCCATTATGCGCGTTACCTATTTTGGAATCGATCATCTATCGAGTGACAGCCTATGAGTATAAGCTAGACCCAATTCGAGGAGCTAAATAATCTAGACGGCTCAGGTAAAATTTTAGCTTTTAATACATGTAGTCATAATCCGATGTGGTGTAACGGTTAGCATCGCTCGCTTTCAAATATGAGCCGAGCAGATCGGGGTTCGATTCCCCGCATCGGAGTACTCGGGGCAGGTAAAAAGTACCGGACAATGCAGGTTTTTGGTTCACCAATGGGTGTGCGTGCTAGGCGTGAGCTACTGCAAAAAACCCCAGAGACAAAACTTGCATTGTCCGGTACTTTTTACCTGCCCCGAGTACATGATATCTTGAATGGCTAGAGTTAGAAGATCACTGATCATTGAGAAATATTTTAAATAGATGGTCGGTGGTGGTTTTAAGCCTATGGTTTTGTTCACCTATGTTTTTAATCAGTGCTTGAACAAATTTCCGGTGTTACCATTTCTCGAATCGACAAGTCGATGTATTTATCCATGGTTGAACGTTTACCTACATGTACCGGGCGTGCACGTTAAATACCGAGACGCTTTGGACGATTGGTTGAGGTTGTGAGGCGCAGCGAGTGGCGGGCCAATGGGAGTTGACGCCGAGTGACGCCGAGCGATGCCGAGCCAGAAATTTGTATGGAGGAAAGAAATACGGAGACACCCCTCTGAGGTCGTAGCCACACCTGTTCACGCCCACGAACAGGTGTTCCCGCCCACGAGCACGAACAGGTGTTCACGCCCACGAACACCTTCAATTATATAGCTATTTAATACTTAGTAGCCTGCCCACCAGCAGCAATGACTGCTTCTAGTCTTCTGGGCATGCTTCTAATGAGTCCATCCAGTCTATCTACAGTGATATTATCCCAAGCATTCCTGATCATGATTTTCAAAACCTCGATATCTTGTATCAGCCCAATAGTTTCCCCCAATTCAGTTTCTATATCTGCCCAAAGAGCCTCGATGAGATTGAGATCTGGTGACTGGGGGGGCCATTCAACACTCTCTACCTCATTGATTTCTCTGCAAGCAATAGCCACTCCCTTATGGCCGGGTGCATTGTCCTCCACTACCTGTGTCCACCCATATTCTTCACAGGTACGATGCCAGAATGGTACAAGATGGGGATCCAAAATGTAATCTCTGTAGACTTGTGACTTGATAGTGATGCCAGCGGGAGTGAAAACTAGTTCTGACTTTATCTCTCCACAGAAAGCACCCCATATCATCGTGCTCTTTCTCCCTGACTCCCATGTTTCATCGATGCAGTCAGGATGATACTCCTCCTCTGCTGTACGTGTAACCCAAGGTCGATGGCCAAAGCCTGCTGTGCTGAAAGTAGACTCATCTGTCCAAATAGTTCGAAACCAATCATCGTAGGTCCAGTGTAGCCTAGCTTGACACCATTGCACCCTTTTGATTAGATTGGGTGCTCTAATACCCCATCTACTCACTGATATTAGCTTGAGTTTATAGGAAGGAGCTAGTGATCTTACTTCTTACGAGGTAGACGTTTATGGTAGCCCATAGATGCCATAACATCTCGTAGAGTTCTAACAGAACATGCATATCCCATCTCATGAATTATTGCCTCCCAAGGTAGACGCCTTGTTCTCTTATCCCTTGTAACAAACTCTCGTAGTCTCGCCTTTTCTGCCTCATTAAAAATAGGTGGTCTACCTTGCCTTACTCTGTTGCTTGGAGTTCCATTTGCCTGTGCTCGTCTAAAGATTCCTTGACAGGTCCTGAAATCTATCTCCATTATCCTCCCTATCTCTCTCCAGCTCTTCCCTGTCTCTCTCAGAGTGATAATCCTGAGCCTTTCATCCCTCGTAGTCTCTTTATTCTGGGTGTTTTGATGATGATCAGACCGCCTTCCCTTCTGCCTCATCGTGAACGGGGTCTCAATACGTCGAACGGGGCCTCAACAGCGTCGAACAGGGTGGAACGGGGTGTTCACGGCGTCGAACAGGGTGGAGCGGGGTGTTCAAGGCGTCGAACAGGGTCGAACGGGGTGTTCAGGGCATCGAACGGGTGTCAATGATATTAGCGGGTGGAAAAGTTCACAGCTTGAAAGAACTCACCTACGAGTTCACAACATTAACGACTTCCCCTCCTTGACGTGGCAGTGGCGGTGTCCTGTCTTGGTCCGAATATCAGCCAATCAGGACTTGCAGTACAATCGGCCAATGACTCGAGCGTCTCCAGACTTACCCTTAACGCCCGGTACATGGCAGGGATATTATCTTGAAATCTGCGGACGAAGGTTGATGTTATAGCTCCGAAATAAATCTCGAATGTCACCGGGACTTAGAATGACCATTGTCGGCGTTTAGGCGAGTATAACTGCCATAAGGCTAGTAATTCACATTTACCAGACATAGGAGGGGGCTAAGAGTTATTTGACAAGGTAGTCCGCGACTTCAGGAAGTCGAGAGAGCCTTTGTTAGCGCCCACACTAGATCTATTAGACTTGTCCCCTCTCCTCTTTCTTTTCCCTTTTCCTAAGACATGTTCAAGGATAATATTTTTTGATTAGGGAAGAATCATTATTGTGACATGCATGTACCTGTATCAGATAGGTTTTGAAGAATCTAACACTACGAGAATCAGGGATGGACCATAGAAAAAAAATCGAAGCTCTCACAAGAGGCGCTCATACTAGCATATATGTATACTTGGTGTTTAGGGTCAATGATTGCAATTCGGATGGCTATCTATAGGGTGATATGGTTTGGGCGGCGTATGGTCCATTGCAACCCAGTTGCATATTTGCACCTGCCTTGAAACCACCCCATATCATTGGCATAAGCTAGCTCATTCATAGTTTTGGTTTCGCACATGGTTTCGCGTGGGCCTAGATCCGGAAAATTCGATCTGTCCGATGGGCTATAACTCATTGGACCACGGACAGTCAGATCGGGCAAGAGAGATCCTGCATCTTTGGGGAATACGATAATTTACTGCCCTTTTCCCTGTTGGATTTTTTTTATCTTGTCACTGTTATCAATTGACTAAATTAGGTCTATATGCGATAACCCCCCCCCCCCCCCCCCCCCCCTTTTCTCTCCGTGCATACTACGCATCTTCTAAACCCTTATTCGACTTCTGTTTCCTCCTCTGTATCACCCCCACCATTCAAATCCTTATAGATAATAATCCCATCATCGGTTTCTACAGACCGTGGAATCATTAGCGCAGATTTTGGCGGCACCAATACTGGGCCTGAAGGCCTCATCAGCCTCTCTGCAAGTTGCTCGGGCGTCAAAACTGGGTTGATAGTAGCTTCACAACGGTTCAACATTTCCTGTGATGACTGTTAGCGGTGATTATTCATACATAATGGAGAAGAAGGGAGCGGACTCGAGTTTTCCAGAGAAAGCCCAACAACTCCAGGAGAGACGAGATGTTCTCGACGCTGGTGGGAATTTTGCGTACATCGTCAGTGGAAAGGAGACATATATAGCCCTTTCCATAGACCATGCGAAGGAACTGACATCGCCATCCTATTACGAGTTGATTAGCTAGACTCGCCTACATGTGAGCGGAGGGAAGACTTACCAGCTGTAACCATTCCTACAACATGAAGTCCGCCCAGTCCGTCAGGCGAGTCCGAGTGAATGTGCATTTGTAGATGGTATAACATGTCGTGGAGGACCTTGACAACTTTGAGCGTGTCTGCGACCCATTTCTTTTCCTTCTCGCCTGCAAAGTATCGTGCATGTTCTGCAACGCCAACCTCATGGCCGTTTATTTGAAGAATTCCGTCATAAAGGTGGCCAATACGTTTGCGCTTTTTGTGTTCTGGGTGCATGTTCTTTCGATCGGTTGTGCATAGGGATTTGGACTCTCCGCTGAGGAGAGAGTTAACTAACTGTATTTGGGAAGGAGGAGGTAGAATCGTACCGGCTCATGTAGCTACCTGGGATCGTAGACATGCATTGATCAAAGACGGCCCCCCAGAAGTTACTTATGTACCAGAACTCTCGGTGGTTCTGTTCGAATACGTTGGGAGTTTGACAAAGATCTGACCTTTGTGACCGTTAGCTAGAATCCACCATGGTTCCATATACGGGAAGAATATACCAGCAGCGAAGAACGGTATTGACCCAGCGGCGTCCAAGACGCTCCTCCGGGGTGAAATTTGGTAATTCCTCTGGTTTGAAAGCTGGAGTAATGTCCAAATAGTCACGCAATTGGTCGGCGGTTCTTAACTGTTATAGTTAGCATGTATATGGCGAGGGAAAACGAGAGCACTCACTGTGGCGAACTGCAGCATTGAGCGTACGAAACTCGGATTTGGATCTGGCATTGGTGGTACCGCAGCGCAAATGGCTTCCCAGTCTTCATCAGGGAAGCAGTCCCGTACTGAAGTGTCACGTATATCAATTACCCAAGAGTGCACTGCGCACTCATTGGGAGCGTCTTTGAAGCAGTTATAGAGCTGATCCTCGACATAGATACCGGAGGGGAGAAGCCATTTTCGGGATTTATCCATGCACCTGAATGATTCGGCGAAATGCTTGATAAATCTAATGGAAGAGTTAGCTGACGTAAGAAAATGTTGTGTTTTATGTGTGTATGTACCCTGGAGCTGCGGCAGGTCTTTTACTCTCCCGTTTCCGTTTCCGCTTCCGGGTATTGGATGCTGGTCCTGGTTCGGGGGAGGAGGAAGGTGGCAGTGATGCATTCACAGAGACGGTAGCATTAGTGAACGTATTACTACCCTTAATAACGATATGAGGCTGCCCGCCTTTTTCAATCTTAGCGAGATCATAGGCTACACGGGCTGCACGGTGGTCTTCGCCCTACACAGTTGATTAGTGTAAGTGTTCATTTAGGCTCCGACCTGCTCGGCCTTTCATTTCTCTCCCTGCTCCCACTCCTCTCTCACCAGGTCAGCCAACGTTGCTTGCCTTGACGAGCAAGCAACAGGCCTTGAGCAGCAAACCGACCCGGAAGTCATCTGTGCCCCAGTGAGACTAGCGCCGGATCGGGACGTACCCTTAACATCAAGTTGACTCTGACGAGCCATCTAATGCACCGACAACTAGTGGTAGGGAAGCAAGGAAATCAAAGCAAAGACAAGCAAGCAGGCGAGCCTGGGTTGCTGGTATGAAGCAGAAGGATGAGTTAGGGCGTATACGTCCTAGGGTGATATGTGGCTAATAATCGCAGCATGTGTCGAAGGAGAGACTCACAGCGACTTTATATCTGTTGAGAAGCTTGGTGGCAGCCTTCCGTTTTCGATCTGAGATTGTGGTATCATCTATAACGCGTGCCAATTCTCGGAGCCAAGAATCACAGAGGATTGAGAACCCATTTTTGGTGCCCAAGAGCTCGCGGTTGGCATTTAAATAATTCATGATGGACCATTTACCCACTGGATGAGCTTTGAGGAAGTGACGAGCGGGGTCCTCGGGGTCGGGCGAGTAGCTGGTCTCGGCGTCTGACATCTCGAAACGAATGGCGGTAGTACGGAGTGATACTTGTTTTCCACTGTGTTCGCGTTGTTAATATCGTTGACAGTATGTACTATTCCGGATCGCATTTACCCTCTTATTCTGTCTTCCTATCAGTGATGAAAAAGATAAGATAAATGTATTCAAGAAAATACGGGGTTATCATATGGGCATATTATACACGAAACGAGGAAGATGTTTTGCCAGATGCGGTGTAGTGGAAAGGTTTACTGACTCATCAGCCCTGTTTATTGATCCTGGCACTATTGGTTGGTGGCTGGGAATTGCAGTCCGACACGCGCAGCCCGACATTCAACAGCAGCCCGTCTGGATATGTCCGAAAATTGCTTATAGAGACCATCGCAACCTGGGAAATATATCGCTTGTTATCAAAGCCGGGAGGGTGGCATCGCTCGAACTGCCTCGGCAACACCGACAGCCTTTCTGCTGGTATCGCTAGAGGTCTCGCCTGGCTATGGGCATGATGAAAACAGAAGGAGAGGGCTCATGACGCGTACCCGAGGAAGGCCAAAGACTACTGAGATCATTTAGGGAAGTGGAATAGAAGGCTTCTTCGGTGGTTGGCGGGCGCAGGTACTGTATGTACAATGCATAGGATCCAAGGTGGTTCAATAAGCGGCGATGGGTTGAGGTTGGTGTTGGCGATGAACAGAGCCCACGTGCTGCCAAGGATTGTTTTAAACACTGTTATTGAAAAAATAGAGGCTGTCATAACAATCCGATGTGGTGTAACGGTTAGCATCGCTCGCTTTCAAGTCCTTCTAACAAGAAGAGCTGATCCGAGCAGATCGGGGTTCGATTCCCCGCATCGGAGTGAAGTTTATTTTTTAGTCTGCGTTCTTTTATTAGGTATTCGAGGTAGGCCACAATGCAAGTTTTGTCTCTGGGCTTTTTTTCTGTAGCATTTGACGCCTAGCATGCGCACCCATTGGTGGGACGAAACCTTGACAAATTTCATCCTACCATGGGATAAGAATCGACCCTCTCGTGGTTGAGAAATTACCGAATGTGATCGCTTTCCGGTAAGCTGAATACGTACAAATTGCTTTCTTAAGAATCCATTACTCTTTATTCTTTAACATAGTTACAGTACATGAGTTAGGTATAAATAAAAAGAAACCCGCCTTTTGACCATGCCCTCACTGACCATTTCACAAAACCATCATTTCACAAAACCACCATCATACAAGTACCCAAAACACACCATACAAGCAAAATCCATCACAATCATCGCTGAAAACCATTGAGAAAGAAAAAAAAGAGGAAAAAAATACAGGCCGAACACTACCCAACTCCATATGTGAACCCTCCCAGAACGGCCATAGACCATCCAATCAAACACATACAAAAAGAAAAAAGTTCCCTGGTATACCGTACGAAGTCATGTCACACTTAAGCATCAAAAAGCCTTGTCAGGATAGGCCCCACATCTGCCACTGCTGTCAACAAATCCATCTCTCTCACGCATGCTCCGATCCTGCATTCCTCTGCGATTCCGGCCTTCTTCTTCTTGCTTGGTGTGCCTCCCACGGCACCACCACCGACTGCACTGACAACCCCGGCTACATCCAGCGAGTTTACTACATCCCTAAACTCCGTGTTGGTCAATGGATGCAGCAATCGCTCCCGCTTGCATACGGCCGCATATGCCTCGAATAATTGTCGTACTGTGACACTTCCACGGGTCTTCTCGGCGGTCACAAGGACACATAGAACGGCCTTCTGCTGAAGGTTGAGAGTCTTAACACGGGAGATTGTTGAACCTCCAAAAGAGGCGGCTGAGACTTTGGCGATATGCGAAAGCATGACACGGGGAGCAGTCTGGATGGTAAGGGATGTGAGGGCGGCAGGAGGGGCAGTGGAGGAGAGTTTGCGCGGGGTGTTGAGGCCGAGAGCTTCGACGAGGGGCACACGGAGCCCCCCTGGTAATGTGACGCTATTTCTGTGCTGTTCATCCGGGAGTCGGTTCTCGTTCTCCAATTCACAAACAGTTTCGAGCTGCTTTTGTTGGGTTTCCTTGGCCCGGGTTTCGGACTCGACGAGCTCTACGGCTCGACGGCAGAGGTCAAACGCTTTCCGTAGGTCCCCGGTTGCGGCGGCAACTTTGCGAGAAGCGAGTTGGATAGCGGCGGGGTGCATGAAAGGGACGAAATCGCCTGGGGTGGAGGTACCATTGGGAAGGAGGGAGCGCAGACGATTAGTGATTACTGATGCGATTTGCTCCGCTGTATACGGTAGAAATGGAAGGAGCTGGGGCGTGAGGTTACGAGCTTTCAGACGTGGGAGGAAGCGATCTGTCAGGTCAAGTGCATTTGCAATTCCAAGAAGGATAAGGCGGGAGCTGCGGACGAGAGACCACTCAAAGATGCTGTAGAGGACTTCTTGGTCTTTTGTAAGAAGGTGATCGATCTCATCAAGAACAACCACAAAAACCTCGCCGGGCTGTTTTTTTGAGTTTTTCTTGGGTATGAACAAGGCTTCAAGCTCAGCCATACCGGTGGGCGATGATAGTTCCTCCCCTTTATAAAACTCCTCGAGAAGCTTGACATAGATACCTGTTGGAGACTGCATGGTCATACAGTTCACATATGCTCGCTTCACATTCACCGCTTTGTCGGCACCCAGGTCCCCCATCACCTCTGTTAAAAGCGCAGACTTCCCGCACCCCGGTGGGCCCGATACATACAGACACCCGCCGGAGCATGCCTCCAATCTTGGCCCCAGAAATGCCGCCAACTTCCTCTTCTCCTCATCACGTCCAACTAATCTCCCCGGCTCCCCGCTCCTCGAGAATAATACTTTGGCCGTTGTCATAATCGTTGGTGTCATCGCAGCCTTGGTAGGTGTCCCAAATAATTTTCCAGACCGAGGAGTGAGCGGTTTTCCAATGGCTGAGACTCTGTGGCGTGGAGTGATGGGCTTCTTAACACTATATTTGTGACGGGGCGTACTCGGACACGAAACGTCTGAGTCAATGGACATCGATAATGCCTCCACTCCTTTGAATACCGTGGGCGACAACACTCCTCGTGAAGAAGGCGTAACCTGCGCCTCTAGTAGGCCTCGTCGCAATTTCTTTGGTGTCCTTGGAAGACTATCATCGATCCGAGGGATGGCGACATGGATCGTATCTTCAAAGTCGTTATCATCATCATGGATTATGACTGCTTTTTTCTCTTTTTTTGAGGAAGTATTTTTTCGAGCTGGAAGCTTTGTACGTATGGGTGAATCCACGACGACTAAAAATAAAGTTGTCAGTATAAAAAACGAAAAGGGGATAGTCGAAATATCTTACCGGCAAAGGAAGGAGTGGTGGGCCTTGCACGTTTACCAAGGACAGACATAGTGCCCAGTGTATGATATTTTTTGGTATTAAGGATAGTAAGAACAAGAGCGAGTAGATTATGATTATTATTAACCGATGAAAAGAATGATAAACAATTCTCTAATGAAGGTGGTGGTTGATGAAGATGAAGTCGACAAAGTTGGGGGCTGGTGGTTGAGACGCTAGGGAGAAAAACGCGCTTCGAAAGGAGACTGGTTGCTGGAGAAACGCGTTCCGAAACGGGCAATGGCAAGATATGTCGCGTCAGGTCGCGTAAATTGGAAAATTGGGATACGAAATGATTCTGGAAAGGAATCTACGCGTCTTAATTATACAAGAAGAACGAAATTGAATAGTATGGTATGCACCAACCCCTAGTATCTGAAACCCAAATCCGAAACCTAGATAATATTTTTTCCATGTGAAACCATCTATGATGTGACTTCGTTGCTATCTGCTCTAAATCATTAACGTCGATTACATACAGTCGCCCGCTGTTGTAACGAACGCTCCCATACCAAATATTTGCTGTATCGAACCACTTGGGCTGGCTTTTTGCCCACCCCAGCAAAGAGTTTGGTCTGCTGTACCGAACAATCTGCTATAACGAGCGGAAAGGTGCTCAATATGCACGTTCGTTATAGCGGCGGGCAACTGTACCTTTCCCTTATACGGCCCTACTTAGTACTACCTACATGTATGTATGTACCGGGGGTTGAGGGTAAGTACTGAGAACCCTTTTTTGGGAATTTTAAAAAGTGAGGGTTTGTAAAGGAATCTGATTGGGCTGATATAATTAAAATGACACTTGGCAGCCAAGCAGGTATTTGGACAGTCTGCCCTGCAGCTTTTGCAATGCAACCTCCTCAACCTCTTTTCTACTCCTGTTCTTTTCGAACTTCACCAAAACTTCTTTGATAACTTTGAATCAGTACTCAGGTGAACCTGTGAGCAAGGGCTATTCAGTGGTTATTTTTTTGTATTTTTAGGAAAATATTTGAATTTTTAAGTGAAGATAGATAAAACGTCTCGGTATTTTTTTCCACCATATAAATTTTGAGGCCAAGGCCAAAATTCATTGGCTGCTTTTGGTTACCATGGGCGGTTCCCATACAAAATCAACCAATCCTTCAAGGCGTCTCGGTATTTAACGTGCACACCCGGTACTCATAGACATGTCAAGCGGCCAAATAATTGCGCACTGCTCTATTCTTGGTGCCTAGCCTGAGTAAGGAAAGTATGATATTAAAATCCCGAAATGTTACTTGATGTCACTCTTTTTGGGCCCGACAGTTGACAGAGATTTGCTTGGCCGAACCAGTAAAGGGAAATTCTCACAGGCTCTCATTCGATGGCCGTATGTATATCTACATGGTATTAGAATATTATAATGCCATATACATGCATTTACAACCACCGCCGGCTCCCACAGTACAGCCGTAGGTAATAAGTGATGGAACGCCCTGAGGTACAGTTATACCTGCAAACACCGTATGTTAGTGGCGTTTTACCTAAAACAGGTATCACTGTGTCTCAGGCCGTTCCATCACTTATTACCTACCGCTGTACATGGTGGGAGAAAATCCCTTTGGATTTGTGCCCTCCTCTGGGGCGCATGTAGGGATTTTGTTTTCATATAGTAAAACAGCAGGAATCTCATGGAGAAGCAGGAGGCGAGCGAAGAGCCTTTGTTAATTGTCTGAACAGTGATGGTGATCGATAGTCAATATTAGAATGAACAAAATATTCAAGAACCGTGACTTATACCAGTTAGAGGTCGGGCATGGAAGGAATAAGAGAAACATGGCGGGCCTCCATATTAGTATTATGCACCTTGATTGTGATACTACATAGTATACTACATGTAGCTAGTAATTATATTAGTGACGGTAGTAGTGGTAGTGGTGGTCTATACTCAAAGATACTTGAATCGACCTGGGAGAAATGTTATTAATATATTTTCAAGCCAACATGCAGTACAGCATTTATGACACTGGCTGCGGTATACCGGTACCGCTTTTTCAAAAGATAGGTGGTCAAGTAACAAAATTAGTTGTGGACCTCTAAATTATCGCATTCTGCCATGAACTTCAAGTCCTTGCTTAAGGAGATGGTCTACCTGAAATCACCAGCATCCACGACTTCGTTTTGGGAGGCCTTGCTTATTCTTGATCTTCCGTTCTAGACAGCTGCTGTCCCTTCGGCAAGGCAATCGGCCTCGAACTAGCTCATGTTACCACAGTGCACTGTGATTAATCTGCCATTCCTAAAATTACCAACTCCGAGATATTTTCACTTTAGGTACATGTAGTCCTTAGTGGTCATGTACAGATACCCCTCAACCCCTGGGATCTTGAGAATCCTGTTGACGTCGACTGCAGTGCGCAGCCTTTGGCGACTTGACGCCTGTTTCTGTACTTTTGGGCTGTTTGAAATCAACATTTGAATCCGGTTCTTTTGGTGCCACTAAAATCAGACCTTCTGAAGCACTCTTCCTACTCAATAGTACCGCGGCCGTACATTCTTCCCAATTCTTCAACCCCTAACCCCCCCAATCTTGAAAACTGTGGATAGCATGACGTAAGAACAATTGCTACACGTAGCTAGGCTCTCATATGGATAGATTCAACTTGATATCTCTATACTTAACCGTGTACTAAACTAAAGCTTACCCTTCAGTTATTATAAATCTCAATCATGAAAAAGTGACCCTGGTGTCAGACCGGTATGTACTGACACATCTAGACCCCCTAGATCTTGTAAACGTTTGTTGAGATAAAAAGTATACCTCCCGCCACACACACACTTGATTACACGTCCCCTCAAAACCGTCCATCATGGCCACTAGACACGTATCCTTTAACGGTTCCCCTCGAGTCGTGCACACGAACCAAAGGAAGTTGCTCACTTCTCTACTCCCATTCACTCCACTGAAGACAGCTACGACGCCTGGTGTTCTGGTGTACTGGTGTTCTGGTGTCCCCCCGCGGGGGGGGGGGGGGGGGGGCGGTCAATTTCGCTATCTACCGCCGAAAACCCAAACTACATGTAGTACATGATCTTTGTTACTCACTACTTGTGCTCCCAGAATCATGGAAGCTAGCCTAAGGTGAATTCAGAGCATACGTGTAGCTATATATGCCTATCTCATTATATTCCGTAGAGCCTGAGATCCTCTGGCTTTTAGCAAACGGTTTTAGGACGAGCTCGAGGCTGGTGCCGGGTTATACGATAGCCTCATGGATCACCTCACCATTTGCTATTACCTCGAAGCCTTTCGACCGTGTATCCCAAAACTTTAAACCCAGCTCTCCATTTCTCTTGAAATCCATTGAGGACTACATCTGAAGCCCATTTAGCCCCCATTGTACCGCGGATGTTCGACTAGCGATGCTAATACATACATAAAATTCTCGTCTAGGTTATAAATAGACGAGTCGAAAATTTGAATGATCGTCTCTTTTCAAGTTGCTCTGCGTCCCGAGAATTCAATTGATGTCATGAATGTCAACGCCAGCACTTTACAACCATTCCCAATTCTATGATTTGGGAGAGTAGTCCCACAGGAAAGACCACCCTCCTCTTGGGTATAAAAGTCATCGTCGCTGCCTACCGACCCATAGAAGTTTCATTTCCCCCCATACTTTTTGCCTCAAATCAAGAAAACCTTCGATCTATCCGCCAATTTCTTTTTGATAATATCGATATTACAACCTCCAAACACGCTCAATTTCCTTTAAACATAAACACCTTATCTCGAAATGCCTAAAGCTACAAGAAAAACAAACTCCGGCATAAAAAAGGCAGCTACCACCGTGCCTGCTGTCACGGTAGTGACTAGACGGCAGGCAAGACTCGCTCGTGAGCGTGCGAGGGACGACTCTGGCGCTGAGCTCGAGTCAGTCACCAATGCTTTTGATATGTATCATTACGTTACCATCCTAATCGAAGAGGTTATGAAGGCGCTTGGTGCCGAAAGGGCCAGAAAAACATCGATGGAGCGCCCGTTGTTTTTCGAACGAGGGAAACTTTACCTAGATGTAAAGTCACTCGAAGCTTCGGCTAGCTGTGAAGGGGAGTGGCCGGTGGATGAGCAGCTGCAGAAGGTAGTTCGCAAGACGAGGACGAGATTGGTGAAGCCAGCGCGGCCGGTGAAGGGGATATCGATTCTGAATATCCAGAGGGTGGAATTGACGGCTTGACGTTGGAGTTTATGGTCGGGGCATGATTTCTTTGGCGTTTGGGTACTTTTCATAAACCTGTATAAATGGGTAGACACGGGTCTGGGGTTTCTTGTTTTCTCTCTATTTTCTCTTGGAGGTTAATTTGATTCATTAATTCTTGTATTGACTCTACACTGATGTCCTCTTTAATTTGGCGTTCAAATCGTTTCGGTAATATATATAGTGCGCGGCGCGCGCTCGAAGTTACTTATATGCATTATATAGATGTAATTACATGTATTTCTCTTGTTTAAGTTACATCTCCTTTTTCTTTTCTTTGAAAGGGTCTTCGTTTAATTCAGAGGTTTCATTGATTGCTTTGTCATGTTCGTTTGCAATTGTTCGTCATCGTGACTACATTGATCAAGCACATGTACTTATACTCATTTCGCATAGGTTGTCACTCGTAGGCCAGAGTAGCTGGGAAACTTCGTCAAATACGAGGACAAGGAGTCCAATCATCTACTAATGATATTACATACGGGAGTTCAACGATGAGCAACACAGTATATACGGGTACATGTAGTGAGCTGATATATGCCGGGCTGATCAAGTTCCCGGACACGCCCAGAATCTGGCTACAGTGCATCATGTGAACTTGAAACGAGCAACCGACGTCAAAACCAAGAAATATTCCTTGGAGTAACAGCTTATATGTATGTATTTATAACTCATTTTTTCTTTCCCTTGAAACTCCTCGCCTTCTCGTGAAAATATATTACTGTGACACTCCGAAGATCAGAATAACTATCGTTCTGAAACGCAGGTGGAATTAAATGAACGCATCCATAGAAACAACGAAGGATTCGCCCCAGATACATGGGGGAGACCTCCAGATTTGTGCCCGAGAATTCATCTAAAATCATCGTTCTTTATTAGTTGAGGGCACTGACTGGCTCAGCGGGAATAGGATCGAAGATAAAAAGGATTAATACAGCACGTTACTACAATATTCCATATATACATATCACAAGTATTTGGGCGACGAAATTAGAATTTCTCGGAACCTCGAAAGGCGACAATTCGTTAAATGGTCATTTACTAGTATATATGTGTCTGTTAGAGCAGGCCATTGGTGTTGTGATTGTTTTTGGACTCGAAAGACATATTACGGAGAAACACATAATTAATAAATACTTATTTTCAAACCATGCATATATCGGGAAGCTTAACGAGAACGAGAACTAGAACGAGAATCCCCGTAGATCCCATGTACATGTGTTGAGATGCCACAGAGACCGGTCCTTACTAATTTGATTAGCTCTCTAATATAAGATCCCAGTGAAGCTTTATGGTCACAAGCTGGAGCGTCGAGGAATGGTTTTATCACAATAAATCACTCACACATAAATCGTACTGATGCTTCCTGAGTTATGACTTCCGAGTCCAAATTAAGGTAAAGTGAGTATGCTCAATTACTTCAGAAGCCTTTGAAATTCCTTAAGACCATGATATATTAATTCGTCAGAATACGGCGATGCACAACGTTCCATCAGTTTTGCCCCTCGTTTCTGGTATTTACTGTACCTTTAGATTGTCTAGGACCAGTTATGATCATGCGTAAAAGATAAGTCAGTACGTAGCATAGGGTGAACCATATAGCTAGAATAATGACCAAATATATTATAGAAGCTTTTGATGAAGTCTCTTTTCTTTACTCCCACGTATATAATATCCGATAGAATCCTAGACTAATTATATCTTTGTATTTAGACAAAATCCGCTGTTATCTCTCTCTACCCCTAGTCTCATAGAGACTTTATTTCTGCCCCCCTACAAACTCTTCTTCACAGCGAACTGATCCCTAAGCTTTGACTAACTTTACATCTAGATAAAGTTTCCCTCGCTCGAAAAACAACAGGCGCTCCACCGATGCTTTTATAGTCCTTTCAGAACCAAGCGCCTTTGTAGCCTTCAAAGAAGATCACAACTTACCAATCCCTCTCGGAGACATTGGTTTCCGACTCGAGATCAGCACCAAGGTCATCCCTTTCACGGATGTATTAGTCTCCAGTGTCCGAGACCAGCGCCAAGGCCATTCATCTACTCTCACGAACGAGTCCCACCCGCTGTCTGGTCGCCACCGTGACAGCGGCGCGGTGGTGGCTACCTCTCTTATGCTGGAGTTTGTTTTTCTTGTAGCTGTAGGCATTTCTATAATTCTCATCTCGGGAGGCATCTAAAGAGTGAGTAGGCATTCCCAAAATAAAGGTAAAGAGAAGACCGAACCGTGAAGCTAAGAGCGGGCAAGAAGGTATCACATCAGGTTAGGAGTCTTTGAGCAGCGTCGGTAAGAAGGTGCTTTATCATGTCTGAGAGCATGGAGACACTCGCTAGGCCCTAGATCAGGAGGAGGAGTGGATAGGGTTGTGATAGCATAGCGGCAGCCTACGGAATGATGATGAGAGAAGTAGGAAGAGAGGACATAGATCTGGGTTTATATACTCTTTCATTATTGTGAGTTATCAAAATTATCCGGACGCTCGCGTCACAACCAAGTAAATTGGCTACAATAATCAAATTTTGAAACCACTTCAATTGGCCTCATATTGAAGCCTGAGATAATAGAGGCATAAAGAATCACAAAATGAAATCTCTTGTCTTCTCGCCTCGTGGTTGTAGAGAAAGGTGATGTTGAAGTTGTTTTATTACAACAAGCGTCCGGATAGTTTTGATAACTCGCAATACCTAGTTTTTTGATGAGCTTAGTAGCTGCAGTATCGCTACGCCTTGTGAAGTTAGGCCAAATCACCGAACACGATTGCTTGTCATATGTAGTAGTTTAGGCCCGCACGGAGGTCCGAGAAACGGCCAGAAAGGTCTTGATATTTAGCTGTTTAGACTACGTATAAGTCGATCTTTACCATCAGACATAGATTGCAGTTGTAGCCCCTTACTCGTCGCTTCACCTGCGTTTGTTACAAGCTCTATTTATCAAATCCCACACAAAAATCTGACAGCTACAGCGAGTGATCTTTTATGATACAGTCCCGAGGAATTCGAAGGGAAGTTTTTAAGCGGCCAGTCGTCAGACAAGGCTGCGACACACCGCAGCTATATGTGCAGATCATATAGGGCTGTGGGTGGAGCATATGCAGCATGATTGGCCGGCGTCAGAATAACCATCTGGGCGCTTGAATACGAGGGAGGGGCTTACCTACTTGTCACATGGTTGGTTCGGTTGGTTGGGCGGTGAAATTTAGACTGTACTGTAGTATCAAGATTCATGCGGACGCTTGGTGGGGTTCTATATTGAAGATGATTGTCTTTGTCTTAAAAACCCTCAAAGCCTCTGATATTGATACGGGCTGGGTTGAAAACTCGCCAGAGACAGCTAGATCGAGAAGGCTTTGCAAATTTGTCTGCCCGCACAAAGTCATATGTCTGCCTCATGGTTTTCAAGAAGGCTCTGGGGACCAAGGCACAGCATATTTTTGAGACCCAACGCTAAAGGCGGGTAAAATGCTTATCATAATATTTAAATAATAGTGTATCGCTAGGCTATATTATTCCATGAGGAAATAGTTCTTATCATACCGAATCACCACGATACCTTTTATACCCCCCCGTCCCATGCTATGATATGATTCCAGTAAAAAGGCCCCATCAAACATCAACACGAATACCGGCAAAACCCATATTAACACTCAACCCCGCCTCTGCTCGATCAGCGCTAGCCTAGGGCCAAGAAACAGACACGAGTGATGTCGCATGAAGAGAGCAGACCGGCTGATCTCCCCCCCAAAAAGCAAAACTTATCCTGCGCCATGAGCTTGTCCACGTTCTCCTCTTTCCACACCAAGGCAGACATTGAATAATTGGCAATATCTCATCATCCTTTCCAGTAGTGTTGAGACAAGATGCTCCAGTAAGATCAATCCAGCGAATATAAGAGCATCGATCGGCAATGTCATAATGAAACGGTAATATCAATTCTACTTTCTCTGTGCTCTGATACGACAGGTAAGATGCTTTCGCACGGCGTTATGATAAATACTGAGTGTTGATATAGAGTGACTTCCCTTGGCGTATGGAGACATCCAAGCTCGGATTTGTTGGCCCTAAATCAGACAGCCTGCCAGTCCTATCAGCCCGTGAACTATTTTAGAGCGTTGGATTTATAGTTTGCACTAAGCTCTGAAGTAGATAGGAGTTTGCCTGCATATCTACCTAGATACATGTACGTAGGGCCCTGGCCGACATGGTGGTACAAGGCCATACACAATGCAGGCTAGGTAGGCATATTCGTCCTCGCTTTTTTTTTTTTTTTGCTTTTTTGCTATATTTGAGTAGAGCCTTACGTGGGCAGTGCAAATCATATAGACATAACAGGTTCTATAATATTAATGGATTGAGAATTGGTTGCTTATAAAAGCCTCATTACCCATAACTGAAATCCGTAAAACAGTTCTGTGTCCAAAATCAGCACTCTCAGAATGTCCAAATCTACCGCACCCCAAGAAGCTCTAGACTCCGTAAACCACACTCCTGCTACTGCTCCTATGAATGGAGGTGGTTTTTGGTGCAAATTCCAGCGCTGTCTGGGGTTCAACGCACGCTACAATCTCATCTTATGTCTGTAAATATCCTCTCTTTAGCGGTATGTTCATTTATCTAACGTGTATATAAACACAGGGATATTCTTCGGCAGCGTAATGTTCGGATTCGCTACCGCGAGGTTAGGATTCCTGGATTTAGGGCCTAATGGGATGTTCTGTAAACAGGCTGGGCCCGGTGAATGTTTTTGGCTAGGAGATAAACTTTACAAGAGTATTTCCTCCTATTGATACCAGTATCTAAGTACCGCCTATCTAACAGCTTGAATCAGTCGGAATGTATCTACATCTGGCCTGTATTCTACGTCAGTATACCAACCCATGTACCCACTTCACCAAATAGACGAAGAGCAATGAGCTTATCAGTCTCAAAAACCTTTAGCATGCAGCTTAATCGCCGTATTCCAATTTATGCCAGCCATCCGACATAAAGCTCTCCTCGTACATCGTATCAACGGCTACCTTGTTCTCCTTCTCCTAATCGGCGGCGTCACTGGTGCCCTAATTATCACCCGCCATGCCTTCGGCGGCGAGGTTAGCACCCAGGTTGTCTCCGGAACTGTCTCTGTAGCCACGCTCGTGTCTGCGTTTCTCGCATACTACAACATCAAGAGACTCCAGATTGATCAGCACCGCAAGTGGATGCTGCGTACCATGTTCTACATGGGGAGCATCATCACCACGCGGCTTTTCATGGGGATCGGGTTAGGAATCATCGGAAGTTCTCAGAAATACGACACGGTAAGTGTCATATTGTAGATGTACGGTCTGCTGGAGTTGGGCTAACTCGTGTGCTGTAGGTGTGGGATTGTGACCAGCTGATGTGGACAGCGAAGGCGGAAGATGTGGCCACGTTCTATCCAGAGTGTCTGGGCAATGGAACTGGGAGAGTTGTGGTACCGGCGAGCTTTGATAGGGCGGAGACTGTCGGAAGCATACTGAGGTTGTCTTTCGGGGTCGGTTTTTGGCTGGCGTTCGTGGTACATGCATTTGGAATTGAGGTCTATGTATGTCGTCTCCTTTGTTCCCGGTGCCGAGTTTAAGGCGGAGAAGCTAATGTAGTATGTGCGGGTTGTAGATCAGGTTGACAGCGGGCGAGTCGGAGAGGTTGAGACGCGTGTCGTATGAGAGGCAGGTTGAGGCGGGAATCACGCCAGCTGGGAGCGCAGGGACTACAAGTGACCGGTTGGGAGATCGGAGGAAGTGGACGCCACTCGCTACAGCTGATGGAGACTTTTGAGGGCGGTGCATAAGGGAGCTTTTTATTTTTATTTTTGTTTTGAGGAGAGGAGAGGAGAGGATGACAGGAATCTTTGTACACACGGTAGCACCGTTTTGATTTTAATGTTTATTTTATTCGAGAGGTTTTGGTTTTAGATTGAAGGTAACGTCACTACGGCATGTATGCAGGTACAGACAGGTGCATTTTCCCTAGCCCTGCCGCTTGATAAAGTTAAAACCTACACTCCATGATTTGGGAAAGGATATCCGTACATGTATCTGGCTGGCCCTATCGCTTTCTAACTTACATGTGCACTTCTCGTCAAAGCCAACCATGTGAGAACCGTGCACTACATACAGTAACGTCACAGTCCAACGGTAGATATCACATGCAATATCAGGTTCACCCATCCTCCCCTCTTCAGCAAGCTCTGTGGCTAATGCACGGCGTAAACAACCACCCGAAGTCATAAAATATTTCAGTATCCTCCCTTCTCCCTCAATCCTCCTCATACTTGTCCCAGATTTCATAATAATTTGTACCCCGAAGTTAAACAAAAAAATTTGTATCCCTGCAGGAATACCATCAAAGCGAGTGATAATTCATGAACACACATAATCAGCACTTAACAGCGAGGCCTCGAGGGCCCCCATCACACTCTCCAGCATGGCCAATATAACTTCACCATAAGCCAGTTTCCTCGCCATTACTTACGTGCAAAACCATTTCGGCTTCGAATTCAGGTATAGCTACATCTACATCTTATTCCAATTCTTAATTGGTTTAGAGCTGAGTGGGCGCAGGGGGCTCGAACCACAATTGCTCAAAACCCGCCATTTTACCTCACTCCGTACCGTACCTCTCGCTAGACATATCATCTAAAACATCCACTGCTAATACCGCAAAATCTGAGTTCGTTCGGACGGTTGCCAAGAGCGGTGTTGGCTTTAATCCTGCTGTAAAAGGCTCTGATCTCTTCCTTTAAGGGTGATATTTTTCAGCTCCTCTGCAAAGCTGTCCTCTTGGCAACTGTCCGAACTCAGATTTTGCGGTATCCCACAGAGAACGATTGACACCAAAACCAATGAATACCCACTATTTCGAGTCCCAAACCACCAATTAGACAAGGATGCCTGCCCACTTCGTCCACCCATAAACTGATACTGCAGTGCTCCCTTTATTCCACCGGCACCATGGTTCCCTAGTCCTCTTTAGCTCTGTGAACTCCAAAAATGCCAATATCCCAGTCCGATTTAAAACCAGACCATCAAATTCTAAACTGGCCTGGCCCGACACTTGACTGCAAAAAAATCATTGATCCTGCCTTAGGAAAGCCTTGGTAACTACAGTCACCCTGCAAAAGTGTTCGTGATTCGCCCGCTGGAGTGAGACATGATCGACGTGAGACAGTGGCGTCCATGGACATTGCGGGTGCCGGTGGGCAATATCAAAAATACAGAGGTTTGCGACCCATTCAACATCGTGCCCGTTAAATAGATATAGTAAAATACAATACAAATAGGTAAAAATACAAATAGGTTTCCGGAATCGCCCAGTACTAGTTCATCATCCAGTATCCGCTCAACGCCAGGAAGTCAATACTTCGTATACCAGCCTTTTGCTTGAATAACGGCTTCCACCCTTTGGGGCATCGATGCTGCAAGTTTTTCAAAGAACTCCGGAGGTATAGTTTCCCAAACTAAAGGCAGAACTCGAGCCAGTTCTCTCTTGACAGCAGGTGGTCCCCCTTTGATATCTGCAATTCTAGGGTACTGTTGTTGAAGTCTTTTCTTGAGTTCTACCTGTAACGGCAGCTAGGCGGATTGGCTATGTGGGTTGTCTGGGTACAAGGGAGAAGGATTACTTAGTGTGGTTGGGTTTAGCGAAGCGAGTTTCTATTATGTTCTTTCTGTTTCTGTTACGCGAGGGTATGAGTCAGCATTGGGATAGGGTATGGATATATAAGGGGGGTGTTGTCTCGTGATTTCTTGTTTCTCTTTCTTTCTCTTTTCTCTTTATGTAACCTCTGTACTTTACAGTCACGAATACTATTTGGTTCGCGCTACGTCATAGGGTTTACCCGGTATACTAGACCAGGTACAATTATCCATAGTCCATAGTCCACAGTCCCCGTTCTTGCCTTAGGTGTACCCTTCGGCCCCATAGTCCATAGTCCACGAACTTCCTACGTCCACGTCTTCGCCTCGGTTGTATTCCTTGGCTTCATAGTTCCTACGCCCATAGTCCCCGTTAGACTTAGGTTACATCCTCTACAGTCAACCAATACAACACCACCTTGCTTAGCTTTTTTCATGGATCGACTAGTGAAGGAACGGGGTTACGAAGAGTTGGATTAGTCAGAAAGGTTCTATCGGGTTCTATTGGGTTCTGTTGATCGTTAATGTATGAGTCATGTCGGATTTGTCATCGTTGGGATTTCCCTGAGTATATTAAGGGGGGTTGTTTGTATTTTCTGTTCTTTTCCTTCTTCTTTCTTTACGCAACGTCTTCTGTATCTACGCTGTCTATTGCTATACAATATTATCGTTCTCTTCTTTCTTTAAGAAGACCACCGCCTCGCTTTCCCCTCGTCTCGTCGAACCTTACCAACGCCAGAGCCCCGTAGGACTCCTGTTGCGAGCTCCCACATCGTTCCCTATTGCACTCTTCGTACCCTGCGGAATACTCGCTACTCACCCCCTTGAGATTACGTTGCGTCGTCATCCGCACCGTACGACATGTCCACCCCCGACCCACCTGTATGGGCTGCACCCAACGATGTAGAAGGATTCAGGCGGATGTATGAGGCCGACCCTGTTGAATTATTCAACAACATCGCCACCCTCGTCCAGCGCGTCCGCCTCCAAAGGGACACCCTTCATACACAACTCACCGCCGCCAATGAAACCATCGACAACCTCGAGGAGCAGATCAACCGGCTCAACCTCGACCTCAATGTCGCCCGCGCTGCTCCCGCCCCTACCGTCGCTGCCCCTGTTGCCGCTGCTCCTCCACCTGCTCCTGTCCCCGCCTTCAGGTCCGAAAAGTTTCCAGACCCTGAAAAATTCGATGGCACCCGCACCAAGCTCCCCGGATTCACTACCCAACTTCGAATGAAACTTGAAGTCAACCACGATCGGTTCCGGAACGAGGCAGCAAAGGTCATCTATGCCGTCAGCCGCCTGGAAGGAAGGGCCCTTGACCAGGTCGTTCCACTCGTTAACGCTAACCCCGCCGCCCCCTTCTCCTCTGTCACTGCCTTCGTCGCCCATCTGGAAGCCTCGTTTGGGGACCCAGATCCCCGGGGTACCGCCCGTCGTCAACTCGTTGCCCTGAAGCAAGGCAAAGGGGACTTCGCGACCTATTACTCGCAGTTCCTCCGCATCGTGGCATACCTGGACTACAACGAAGGAGCCAAGATCGATGCCCTGGCCGAAGGACTGTCGGAAGACCTGAAGGACGCCATGACATACTGAACAGACAGGCCCAACACCGTCGAAGCCTATGCCACCATGTTGATGACAATCGATAACCAGGTTCGGGGCCGCAAAGCTGAACAACGGGCCATCCGGAATACGATGGGACAATTCACCGCCCCCGCTGCTGTTGCACACCCATCTCATACCGCCGGAGGCCTCGCCCCAATGGACCTCTCCGCTCTCCAAAGCCGCCCCACTCAACGCCCTGCCATCGAACAACGATACACTTTTGTCAACGGACAACGCAAAACCTCTGCCGCTGAAAAACAATGGCGAAGGGACAACAATCTCTGTATGTACTGCGCCAACCCCGGTCATGTCTTTGCCAACTGCCCCTCTGCCAATCGCCCACGCGGTAACCAACCCGTTATGAGAGGTGCTCTTCTCGCACCCAGCCATACGGCCGTCGACCCCACGGTTCCACCGGTCGCTAGTCCCGCCTCCTCTGAGTCGGGTTTTCAGTAGTCCCGGGCTTGATTAATGGCCCCTGCCCGGGACCTTCCAATGTTTCTCCTTTGTCTGCGTTTTCTATCTCTGGCTTCTCGGTATCGTCTGTGGAGGATAAATTGGATGGGGATCATTTTGTTGCCTTTTGTAAAATTATAAACAATAAAATATCCATTCAAACTCACGCATTGATCGATACCGGTTGCTCCGGATTTGCATTCATTGATGAAACATTTGCGCGCCATAACAACTTTCCATTTCTCCCCCTTAAATCACCCCGCACTCTCGAAGTCATTGACGGGCGGCCCATATCTTCCGGACAAATTACCCACCTCTGCTACCTACCGCTATCAATTGACTGCCACCATGAAACTATCCCCTTCTTCGTTACCAAACTCGGCTCGTACCCACTCGTCCTCGGAATCCCCTGGCTCCAATTGCACGACGTTACATTACGGTTTAAGGACAATAGTATACTGTTCGACTCCGAACACTGCAAACGCAAGTGCAACTCTTCCGCGATACCCGTTCCCATTAGGGGGGTTGCACCACCGCCCCGTTTCCACTTCGTCAGTTCAGCTGCTCTTTGTCGCTTTGCTCGAAGGGACAAACTCCAAATCTTTAGTACAACTATTGAGGAAATAGATCAAACAATGGGCGAGGCCCCTAAGGAAGACTGGAGAACCCGAGTCCCAACCCAGTATAAGAAGTTTTATGAAATGATGGACGAGAAATTCGCTAATGAGATGCCGCCTCGCCGCCCCTACGACCATAAGATACCGCTTAAGGAAGGGAAAGAGCCCCCTTTTGGGCCACTTTATGGTATGTCCCGTGAGGAACTCATTGTGCTTAAACGATACATACAGGACAACCTCCAAAAAGGCTTCATTCAGGCCAGCTCTTCGCCTGCCGGTGCCCCTGTCCTATTTGTTAAAAAGGCGGATGGAACACTCCGTCTCTGTGTCGATTATCGTGGCCTCAATGAACTCACTGTCAAAAACCGCTACCCGCTGCCACTCATCCGGGAAACTCTCGACCGCCTTTCCAAAGCCAAGTGGTACACCAAACTTGACCTTCGCCAAGGGTATAATCAGATCCGAATGGCTGAGGGTGAAGAATGGAAAACAGCCTTCCGAACGCGTTACGGGCATTTCGAATATACGGTAATGCCCTTTGGCCTTACCAATGCACCAGCCACCTTTCAACATTTCATCAATGATTGCGTCCGCGACTACCTCGATATGTTCTGTACAGCCTACCTCGACGATATTCTTATTTACAGCGACACCTTCGAGGAACATCAAATACACGTCGAAAAGATCCTGGAAGCCCTACAAAGGAATGGAGTACTGTTGAGACCGGAGAAATGCGAATTTCATACACAAAGCACCACTTATCTCGGCCTTATTATCGAACCCAATGGTATTAAAATGGACCCGAGAAAAGTGGAGACAGTGAAGAATTGGACCGTCCCCAAAACAGTTAAGGACGTGCAAGCATTTCTAGGTTTTGCTAACTTTTACCGCCGATTTATACGTGGATTCTCGGAACTGGCTTCTCCCCTTACCAGATTGACGCGTAAGGACATATCATTTGGATGGACACCCGAAGCCCAAACCGCCTTCAACGCCCTGAAAGAAGCCTTCACCACGGCTCCCATCCTTACTCATTTTGACCCCGAGAAAGAAATCACCGTGGAAACTGACGCATCTGACTATGTCTCTGCCGGTGTACTCTCTCAATACGATGACAATGGTACCCTTCGACCTGTCGCATACTTCTCAAAAAAGCACTCCCCCGCCGAATGCAACTACGAGATTTATGACAAGGAACTACTGGCAATTATTCGGTCTTTTGAGGAATGGCGACCGGAACTTGAAGGAGCTGCACACCCAATCGCCGTCATATCCGATCATAAGAATCTCGAATACTTTATGAGTACCAAACAACTCAACCGGAGACAAGCACGGTGGGCAGAATATCTGTCACGGTTTAATTTTGTCATTAAGTACCGACCAGGGAAACAAGGAGGGAAACCGGATGCGTTGACAAGAAGATCAGGAGATCTCCCTGGAGAGGGGGATGAAAGACAATTGCACCAGAGTCAAGTGGTATTAAAGAAGGAGAACCTTGATGCAAAGCTAAGTTTGTTGGCGGGTTCTTTCTCAAACGAGCCCGCTGAAAAGAACGCCTCACTGCATGGACTATTCGATGAAGGATATAGCGCTGACCCATTTCCACAAAAAATACTGGATATGCGGAACAAAGGTGAACGACAATCAAAGGACATATCACTCGCCGAATGCACCGAGGTTGAAGGCCGATTACTTTACCGAGGTAGCATATACGTCCCCGATTACGACCCTCTTAAGCTCCGAATCCTCCAACTTTACCATGACGCTGCCTCTGCTGGACACCCGGGACGCGAAAAAACATTCGAACTCGTCAGTCGAGACTATTACTGGCCCCTTATGCGGAATTATATTGCCCGCTACGTTCGGAACTGCCACATCTGTCAACGAAGCAAGCCCAATACCCACGGAAAACTCGGCGTACTTCGACCTTTACCGATTCCCGAACAACCATGGCAGGAAGTATCAATGGACTTCGTTACCGGCCTACCGGAGAGTGAAGGGTACGATGCAATTATGGTAGTTGTTGACCGGTTAACGAAGATGCGACATCTCCTCCCCTGTAATACAACTGTCAACTCCGAAGACGTCGCCCAACTATACCTGCGAAACATATGGAAGCTCCACGGGCTACCTACACACGTCACCTCCGACCGCGGTACGCAATTTACAGCCAAGTTTTGGAAAGCTCTTTGTAAACACCTTGACATCGAAGCAAGGATGTCTACCGCCTTCCACCCGGAGACTGACGGCCAAACCGAAAGGCTGAATGCTGTGATGGAGCAATATCTACGTGGGTATGTTTCTTATCAACAGGACGATTGGGTAAAATGGCTTCCTATGGCAGAATTCTCCGCCAACAACCAGGTCTCCACATCTACTAAAGCTACACCATTCTTCGCGAACTATGGATTCCACCCCCGGTTCACAGTGACGATTAAATCGCTTGATAGGACCCCACCGAGTCTCAATGCTAAAGACTTCGCCTCGAAGATGAAGGAACTCCATGAGTACCTACGTTCCAACATCCGCACGGCGCAAGATCAACAAGAGCAGGCCGTCAACACCAAACGAACGCCGGCCCCACGGTATGATATCGGCGATATGGTGTTTGTTTCAGCAAAAAACATCCGAACCACGCGTAACTCCCGGAAGCTGGACTGGAAGAAGCTGGGACCGTTCCCCGTTAAGGAAATTATATCGCCATATGCGTATCGAGTCGACCTGCCTAGGAGTATGAAGATGCACCCTGTCTTCCATGTATCATTGCTAGACCCCGCTGCAAACGACCCTGTACCGGGGCAAATTCAACCACCACCCCCACCTGTTATCGTCGAGCAGGAGGAGGAATATGCGGTTGAGGAAATCTTGGACTCGCGGGAAATACGGAATGGTGGCCTGCAATATTTTGTTAAATGGACAGGCTATACCGACCCGACCTGGGAACCCGCCGCATACCACGACAATACCGCCGCCGTCGATATCTTCCATACACATTACCCCGATAGACCTGGACCGTTGGAAGGCAAGATTAAGGTTAAGGCTCGCAGGAGCTCGCGTTTGAAGGGAGGGGCTACTTTCATGGATCGACTAGTGAAGGAACGGGGTTACGAAGAGTTGGATTAGTCAGAAAGGTTCTATCGGGTTCTATTGGGTTCTGTTGATCGTTAATGTATGAGTCATGTCGGATTTGTCATCGTTGGGATTTCCCTGAGTATATTAAGGGGGGTTGTTTGTATTTTCTGTTCTTTTCCTTCTTCTTTCTTTACGCAACGTCTTCTGTATCTACGCTGTCTATTGCTATACAATATTATCGTTCTCTTCTTTCTTTAAGAAGACCACCGCCTCGCTTTCCCCTCGTCTCGTCGAACCTTACCAACGCCAGAGCCCCGTAGGACTCCTGTTGCGAGCTCCCACATCGTTCCCTATTGCACTCTTCGTACCCTGCGGAATACTCGCTACTCACCCCCTTGAGAGCTTTGGTCGCGACTATGTCCGACGTTATCCAGGATACGCTGCTACAACGTCTTTCAGAATTTCTGACCACCTATGGTCCCCTCCCAGCCGATATAGACTTCGGCGAAGAACTTACAGAGGCTCATGGTCTTATTGCTGACTGTTTGGAGGCTCTTACCAAGCCTCTTGACACCCCCGCGCCACTAGAACCCGTTATCGATACGGCTCCATCAGCAAAAAATGGGTTTCCCCAAGACGAATTCCGGCACCCAGATGCCCAAATTCGTCTTTTGCCCCCAAGACCTCGTCTTTTGGCTCTGGGATCTCGTCGTATGTCCCGCTATTTTTGGCCGCCCGTCATTCGACCACAAAACGTTGTCCATTCAGAGCTCCAATTACGAAACCGGTCGTGCGACCTCATTAGCTCGTCTTTTGAATCAATCTATCCTACGCTCGTCTTATGCCAAATGTCCCCGTCTTCACTACCCGTCAAAAGACGAAGATGGCTCAATTGGGAAATCCTCGTCATTTGACTCGGACATAATTCTGTCCAAAATCCAAGTCCAATAATCACTTCGTCTAAAATACAAACTCTAATGACCCCCGGGCCCGTCTAATACCTTCCACCTAATATGTACAATACAATCTAGTGCGTCGAATATCCACTGTTTAACATGTCTAAGGACTCCCGCCTAATTCCCGTTTGTCTTCCCCGTTCGTCATAATCCCCCCTGCCCAAAACCTATCGTCAGAAGTCCACCTGTCTAAAGTCTCTTGTCTGGTGTTCATGTCGTCAGTATCATTATAAAAAACTCAGTCCAACGTCCCGTCTTACTTCAGTAAATTGATCCGTATGTCGATAGATCGATCGTACTATTGATAAACCATCTATTGTTCGTAGATGACGTCGTCTCAGGCACCAAATGAGCGGCGCCCAAAATGCTTTTTATGTTTACTACCCATATATCGTCAGGAGAGCTTGAGCAGCGTGATACCCTTATTAGCCCGTGGTCGGCGTTGGGGTTTCCATTGAAGTCCGGCTTCAATGGTTGTATCGCAGCCAGAAGTCTGGCCCCCCTTCGTCTTGGGTCCCTGAGCTTAAAGACCGCAAGCAGCCTTGCTGGGCATAAACCCTGCAAAGCGTCCAGGTCAGCCGGCTTTTGACGAAACCAGACCCAGTCATTGCGCGCGTTTCCCCGTCTATAACCTGACGTTCCCGTCGTACGAAGTGTGTGAATTGTCCTCTCGTCGCCCTCGCCGTGCAAAAGGACGGGTACGTTGAGCTGTTTGAATGTGTTTACCCGCCAGCTATCGATGTCTTCGGGCATATCTTCGTATCCAAGACATAGCTCCCTCCTGAAATACCGCCGGATGTAATACCCCAGTCTCTTTGTAGCACCTGCGATATCTACACTACCGACATTTGTTAATTTGACCGGGCATTTGACCCACCTCTTCTCCACCCTGGTGTCGCTTGGTAAATATACCAATGGCGCGATATCCTGCGCTTGAAACGCCGGGTCGTCCTGAGGGTCTCTAAGATCCCGTCTTGCAGCTTGCATCCTCCTCCTCAGACGTGGCTCTAAGACGTCGAGATTGCCGACAAGCTCAGTGGTCGAAAAACCGTCCCGGGCAATTTGTAGAAGATTTAATTCGCAAATGGAAAACGTATAATCACGGTTAAACGTCCGAAGTATCTGCATTGCGGGATCGACGCGATTGCTCCGACGATACGGTATTTTGATCTGATCCCTGTGGGCTGACTCGCAAGACTCCGTCGAATAGTCCGGAATATTGCCGTATTGACGAATGTGCTCTGCGAAATGGCCCATGAGGTGTATCTTGGGGAAGTTGAAGTGGGATTCTGCTCGCAAGATCTCGTCGGTTTCCGCCTAGAGATTTAGCCTTTAGTCTGCGATAACCCTTCGTCTTTGGCCTAAAGAGTCGTTTAGGCCTGCTAACTCGACGTCGTATTCCCCGCGCAATTCCCTCCGTCGTTCCGCCACAAGTCTGTCAGTCTCTCTAGTCGCGCGATATTTCCTGAAGATATCCTTCGTCCTATGGAAAGCCTTTAGGTAATTATCCAACATGTCTATCGTCAGCTCGTTATGAGAACGATGCTGGGCGACTAGTGCCCAGTCGACCAATGCCCGGACGCATTGAAAGGCTTTCTTGAATGGCTCTGCCTGGGCAGATGACGGATTCCTGAGGGCAGACGCCAGGGCTGGTAAGATTATTTTCTGAAAATTACGCATCTCCTTCCCTTGCCATTGACTGACCGCTTGATAAGGCTTCGTCGGTGGGGTAAATCCAGGGTAAGGTGGCATGCGCGTCCATATGGCGTTGAATTCATCCAAACGACCATGTTCCTTCAGGAAGTCTTCCAGCCACTCCATAAGATGTTTCAGGATTCCCAAGTATACCACGTGCAGCATGTCTGGCTTATGGAGGTCGTAGGCTTGGACGAAGGGGAGATTCCAGAAAGGGTTGTACAGAGGTCGTAAACCACGAGAATCGAACCACTTGGTCAGCGTCTTCAGCTCCCGCCTTTCGTCTCTCGTCGGATTCTCCAGTACCTTCAGCGCCCTGTACTGACGATACATTCTCTTGTATTCGTCCTGATCATGAGGGTAGGTCTTGAGCGGTTCGGCTTCGTATTCGCCCAGTCTATTGACGGGTATCTCGCACTTGGGGCACAAGTTGAACTTGGTATTCAGAATATTGCAGCTCTCCATGTGGTCCGAAAGCCATGCCGTCAGAATCGGCCAACAACGTCTCTCGTACCCGTCTGAGCAGCCCATTAAGACGCCGAGCCTTTGGTCAAAGTGCAGCAGAGGCTCCAGTATAACTGACATGACTCTCCTCAGCGTCTCCGCCGCCCAGGACCGGAGTCTCCCCTTTGACGTCGCGTCGCCAATTATCTTAGGAGGTATTGGCAATAGTGCGAGTAGCAAATGCGCCTTGGTCGACGGCTTGGATCGTACTTTTCCCGGTATATTGCCTATCGTCATATATATCGGCCAGGTCTTCTTGTCTCCGGAGAAGTTTGTCAGATGCGTGACGTCGGAGCTGCAGATAATCGGGACAATCGTGGCCCCGGTAGGAAGTCTTTCCTGCATATTCCACCACCAGTCCGCTGTATGCATCTCGGAATAGAGTTGATATCCGTCCGCGTCGTAAACCCTCTCCGGCCGATAAACCATGCTCGACTTGTAGCAACGTTGACCCAAGAGATACCTCGCGCATTCGACCGGATTCCTGTAATATAAGTCGGTCGTTCTTCCAAAGCCGTCCCCGACGGTCCCGTATTGAAAGTTAGGTGGGGAGCCCGTCATTTTGTCGAGCTGGTTCTGGAAAGTATAAGCGGACTGAAAGGAACGCTCGTTCTTTGTCGTCTTGTGCAACCTCTCATTGAAGTAGGCGTCAATTGATGTAGAGGTCAGCTTGTGCTCGATAAAGAAACGAGCCAATCTCCATTCCGCCGCGTCTTTGAACGGTGCCCAGGGCTTCCAATTCTCTTCCATATAGTCCCGATAGCCCTGGACCCGACCTAGTCTTTGTCCACTGTTGGGTAGGTATGCTGTGGCCCTTTGATTATCGTCAGCTTGCTCTGAGATCGGGGGGGCGATCGCCGCAGGGCCATCGTCGTCGGAGTCAGGGTCAAAGTCGGATTCCGCCTCAGAGTCGGCTTCTGAGTCTGTAGAATCGTCCGAGCCATCAATTACCAGAGTAAGCGTACCAGGCCCGGCGTCTGGCAGCGTAGTTTCGTCTTCTAAACGCTCGTCCTCAGGCGCATCGTCACCGCCATGATGCCGGTAAATATGTCTTGCAAGATGTCCCGCGCGACGGTAATACCTTGGGCACAGGGGGCAAGGTGTGGATGACATCCGCTTTCTTGATCAGTCGTGATGGTCTTTTGGCTTGTCGTGCGCGTCTTTTGCTTCGTCGTATGCCTCATTCTCGCGTTCACTGGCACTGGTATCGAGTGAGTTTATACTGCTGGAATTCTGACTGAGCAAAATGACCACTGTAGCACAGACCGACGATCGTTTCCCCGGGGTCGTCAGCCGCGAGCCAAGCTTTGCCAAGCACATGCGACCTGACATCATTCATAACAACGTCGTCTGACCTCACCACCAACAGTTGCAAACCTCCGTCAAAGCACTCGTGTTGGTTCATTCATTAACCTAATCCGGCGACGATGAGCCTTTGTTTGTCGTCCCCTGCCTTGTGTATATGGTTAGGCGTTACGAGTTGCCGATTCCAGCACACCCTCACGATGGTAATTCGCACAGTCTTTGTTCTATATAAGGGTCTAAATACCCCGTTGTTTCCCCGGAGTCTATCCTCCTGAAGGCATCCACCAACGGTCAACCGTCTTTTGACCACCTTCCTAACGCAACTGACTACAATGGTGGGAACTCGGTCGGGTAAGAACAAGTCGGCATTAGCCCAAGCGGGAAGGTCATCTCCGAAGAAAAGAATGGAATGGGCCGATAAGGAGGGCCCCTGGGTTTTGTCGATTAGCAGAGCAGCGTGCATAGCAGAGGTAAGATTTCTATCAAGTCCTATATCTCTCGCCCTCTGACGCCCGCCAGGGGTATGCGAAAAAGAGCAAATTTACTGGCGCCGAAGTTAAGTCCTTGCTCGGCATTACGCCGGCCCAATGGAGGAACATGTTCGAAGCTGTGCACGACTACTTTGTCGAGAATGCGATTGCCAGTAGAACTATGGCAACAGACGAGCAATGGGACGAGGCCGTGAGACTCCTACTCAGTTATCCGCCCTGGAATAAATTCAGACGCCTGCTTCAACAGCCGGAGGAAGATTGCACCTTACAAGGGGCCTTGATCAAAGTCTGTGTGAGCAGTACACTCCAAGATCTTGCCAAACGTAAGTCTGCTGAGGATAGAGAGAAGTTCTCTGAGGCACTCAAAGAGAAGGAGCGTGCGGCGAAGTCAGCGAAGGCGAAAGCAGCGAAGAAGAAGGAGACCAAGGGGAAGGCGACCGACACAAAAGGCAAGGGCAAGCAGCGCGAGACGGCGCCAACTCGCAGTTCGACAAAGTGGAGCAAGCAGGCCCAGGCGCCTCTGCCCGACGACGAGGACGAGGTCTACCCTGACATTGACGAATTTGCCTCGTCGGAAGACGAAGCGGAGAAGCCGAGGGACAAGGCAGACGTCGGAGATGAGACGGACGACGAAGAGACACCCGAGGAAGCCGACGAGCCCTTCTCGGCGAAGACCCGGAAGGTCGAAAGGGCACCATATCTTACTGATCGGCCTATCGGCATTTCGCATTGTTTCCCCTCCAAATACCGCTTTGAGCGACTCGGAGGGGCGAAGTTGGGACTACGTCAGAAGCCTTGGGAAATGCCTAATTGGACTCCAAGAACCTTTGGTGGGCATCCCTACCTGACGTTTAGTTCACTTCCCGGTCCGTATCTATCGGAGGTCGTGAGGATGGTCAGGGGGGTACAACTAGACCCTGAAACCCGCGGCGGTGCTTCTGACTTGCCACACCCCGCGATACGCCATTTGGTCGGGTCTCTTGTCCTCGACGAGGAGTTTTCCAAGACCGCGTCGGGTCAATATCGTGTTTACCGGCCGTTACCTGAACAGGTCATCTTCCTACAGTCGGACAAAGATGTCAGAGTATGGCTCAATGCTTGTAAAGTTGCACCGCGACTGAGACTATTGGTGGTTTATAATGAGCGCGATAAAAACGCCAGGCAGACTCCACCGCCGCTGTCATTCCCCTACTTTCACGTTGACTGGGAGGTGCTGATGGACAATCAGTTGCGGATTGACCGGAGAGCGTCGGGCATCAAGGCCGAGGAGACAGAAACTCGTTGGGGGAAACCGACGAAGAGGAAGAGAAGTGAGATTGTGGAGGTGAGCGACGACGACGACGACGACGACGCTGACGACGACGCCGACGACGACGCCGACGACGACGCCGACGACGACAACGAAGGCGAGGGTGAAGGTGGAGGGTCGAGTTCCCGTAAAAAGCCCAGAGGAGAGAACGCCGGAGAGGGCAGCTCGAGCAAGGCGGGCCCTAAAGGCAAGGCAGGGGGTAGCTCGAGCAAGGCGGCCCAGAAAGACGACGATGACGTCGACGACGAGGAAGAAGAAGAGGAGGAGGACGAGGAAGAAGAGGAGGAAGAAGAGGAGGAGGAGGCCCCAAGGAGAAAGAAGACAAAGACACCCGGGCTCAAGACGCCGGCCAAGACGCCGCCATCAAAGACACCCGGGCCCAAGACGCCGGCCAAGACGCCGCCATCAAAGACACCCGGCCCGAAGACCCCGGCCAAAACACCTGCTCAGACTACTGCTGCCGAGCGAGGAGGGAAAAGGTCGAGAGCGTAAGTTGGACTAAATTCCGTACCAGTAGTATAGTTTCTCCTAATGCGGCTAATGCGGTCAATACGTTAGACACCATCTGTTCGATGAGCCTGCTGAGAGCCCGCCCTATGAGGGTGAGCAGGGGGAAGAGCAAGGGGACTTAATACCAGAGTACGAAAGCCGGGCCACTGGTTCACAAGCTGACAGCGCTCTGGAGTCTGAAAGAACTACGCAAGATGAGATGCCCGGCGAAGAGCCTGCCGGGGAAGGTAGTTACGTTGATGGTGGCCCTGATGGGGGTATTCCTCCCGGCGGGCGCGGGGACGAGTCAATCGATATGGAAGTGGGTTACCTTACCGATGCATCGACCAGTTCGATTGAAGTGGCTAAGCTCCAAACAATTCCCCGTCTTCCCCAGTCCCCCCACCCCCAAATCTCCCCTCCCCCCACTATCATCAACCTCCCCGACATCCCTGCGAAGGGCTGGACTTCCGTCTCTCGTCCTGCGACTCGAAAGAAACTTCGTTTCGAGTAGCACTGGTTGATAGTAGGTTGCACGCTCCAGTCACCTGCTCGTGAGTTTTCTGACCCTAGTCGCAACCTTTAGCTTTTGACGGTTGTGGTTCTCGTCTTTTTGTCGGCCTATCTTTTATGGCGTTATTTTTTAGCCTCTTTGGCGGTTGTTGCGATATGTTTGGTCTATCTGTTTTGGGTGGTTTGACAGTTGTCCTGGTCATCTTTTGGGATTAGTCTTATCTATTTTGGTCTTTTGGGGTTAGTCTTATCTTTATTGGGTCTTTTGGGGGTTAGTCTTATCTATTTTGGGTCTTTTGGGGTTAGTCTTATCTTTATTGGGTCTTTTGGGGGTTAGTCTTATCTCTTTCGGGTTATTTGACGGGGGTCCTTTTGGTTTAGGGTTAGTGATATCTGTTAGGGTCTTTTGGCGCAGCATGTGAGGTGAGTTAGGTCTTTCGATGCTGGTTGGGGTCGTTATAGATTCGTCTGATCATTAGTAGTATACTGTTATTAGGAGCGTCACTCGACCGAATACAATACAGTGATGAGTATGTTGAGCAAAAAGACGTAGCCGACGCCAAGCAAGTGCTTAGTCATCTGACAATCCAAGTCGCGTCCGACCTCATCTCCTCTTCTCTATCCAATCTGAAGGCGAGTACACAATCTCTGTTGCTCGCTTGGCCTATGACGACTCTAGTAAACGGACTGGATCGACGGAACACAAATAGCAGTAAAGCCCGGACAGGAAGGGTGCGGAATCGAAGCCTTTTTCGTCTCCTGCCATTGCCCACCCTCCGGGAACGCGAGCTTGCTGGGGACGCCAACTCGGACTTGAGAGGGTTTTGACTTGACCGCCCTCGACTACCCGCACACGATTTAGTGGAACGGCGTGAATCTGTATTATGGTGGACATATTTAGGCTAAACCTTGGATTCCAGGAGCTCGGAACAAATCGCGGGACATATCTCCTAGCGTCGTTTGCCTCTAGCTATTGGTCCATGTACGGATCAATGACATCACGGCAGAAGTTGCCCTCCGAGTCATCTCCCCACTCCCCCTTCCCAAAACTCTCTTATAAAGTTGGTACGTTGCACTGCCCATCCTACCGACAGACATCCTTGACAATGCCTCAGCGAGAGAGTCAGTTTCATTTGTCTAACTCCTCCCGTCCCTCGCAAAACACCTACAGAGAAACTTCCTCCCGTCGGAACACCAGGTCGTTTAGCAGGGACAGACGACCGACCACCCAAAGACATGTACGATCTTCACAAGAGATTCCAAGCACCTTTCCACATGACTCAGCCAGACGATTGCCTACGAGATCGTCACAGGCGCGAGGACAAGAAACGGAGTCTGAAGACGATGTCTCCGAATACGGGGACCCATCAGAAAGAGCTTCACAGATTGATTTACAGCTTCATGGCGAGATGTATTTGACAAAAGACGGGAGAGTCAATGCCCGACAACCTACGAGCCCGCCACTCTCAAGCCTACCACCCCAGGAGTCTCAATTTCAGCAATCCTCGTCGAGGGATACGTTACCGTCGGCCGCACGAAATAGAGAATCTGACGCGAACCAGCCGCATGACACTTTTTATGCCTCCCCCGGGCGTGGTAATAGGTCTCCTACCCGTCGAAACGCCCTAACTAGTCAGACACATACTCACTCTGGTCATCAAGATTCTGAGTCTATTAGAACATCGTCGGGGGGGACCCGCCCCGAAGCCCGTCGTCAACTTTCTGAGCTTTCTAGACCGGCGTCGATAAGAGCCCCTTCCGAAGTCGTCAGGAGTACAGATTATGCTAGTGGCAGCGGCGGTGGGTATTCTGGAGAGTCGTCGTCACAAAATCTACTAGCGCCGGTAGACCCTACCGATCCCAACAAAACCAGAGCTCTCCGACATCGTAGCTTAGGGCAATTCGACATTGAGCTGAGGACTCTAATCGAAAAAGCTGGGTGGCATCTCACCAAAGAGACACTATTCAAAAACCCGATGCCCTCGGTATTGGAATTGGCGTCCATGGTCAGAAATTCATGGGATTTTGCCAGGGCGGGAACCGACTTTCCAGCGGAGTTGTCGACCGGCGTGTCTGGGCAGGTGAGGTTTTATCATCAACGGACTCGTTCACACATGATGGAGAAGGCAAAGGCGGTAATCGCGTTATATTACGGCCTAGCCGGCATGACCGGTGAGCAAGCAAAAGCCCGTGTCGATTACCTCCTGACAGATGACCGTTTCAATTGTGATCCCACTCATTACGAGGTATATCCACTGTTCGTCCAGCGGCACAGATTTGGTACTAACGTCTTTAGCCCGCGCAATGGCATTTCGCCGCACCTCAAATACCGCGTTTTATCGTCTACGCCTACTATAAGACCAATCGTGGGATTGCCGTCAACCATCCGGAATTTGAGAGTTGTATCAACCCGTCTTTTATCTGCCTGGTTTCTACTGTACTTTACCATGCGCTGAGAGTCCACGTAATTGGAGGCAGCAACTGGAAGAATGGTGTCTTCAATAAGGACTATTGCGGCGGTGAGCACCCCGTCTTTCATCTGGTCAGGTTATCGACGGGCATCATTATTGACGGTGGTGCTAGTAATTTTCGAGAGGCACATGCGCACATGGAAGAGGTCCTTCCCCGACGATGAGACGTCAAATCTAGTACTGAAGGGGATTCGACACGAGATATTGAAACGGATTAAGAGGACAAACTGCTGCAGGATTACCGCTACGGAGAGCAGGGAGGCAATTATTGACCCTGGAGTAGGCAGCTTTTTGGAGGGTCTCCGATCCAAGCTCAGTACGGAGACTGACGACGACGATATGGGGTCCGACGAGGCAGGCGACCCGCCGTTTGACGATGACGACGGGGAGGAGGGCAATGTCACTCCACCTACAGTCGGGGACTACGTAGTCGATGCAGAAAGCCAGATAGATGGGACTATTGGAACAATTACCGGGATTAATGTAAATATTGAAAACGACGTAGAGAGAGATGTCAGTATGACGCAGGGCGGAGAAGAGCGCTCGGGAGAAGTGGTCAGAAGACGGAGAGGGAGACCGCGCAGGAGCAAAGTACAAAGGGTCAGATAGCTCTCACCTAAATAGACGAACTAGCTAGAGCGAGGGGCGTCAAAAGACAATGAATCAATAGACAGTATCACCTAAAGAAAATTCAAACGTAGAATCAAGGGACGGAAAGACGAAGAGTTTAGACCAAAAGACGAGATATAGTTGCCGTAAGACGAGATGTGCGAATGAAAGGACGAAGAGTGTGAACCAAAAGACGGGATAGCTGTCGGAAGGCGCAGATTAGTGAAAAAGGACGATATAAACTGTCAAGAGACAGAGAGTGCGAGCGGAAAGACGATATGTAGTGGTCGAGATAGGCAGGTTGAGTACATAAGTCGGCCAATATGACGTAGGTAATTAGACTAAAGGCGAGGTGACGAGGGCGTAGGATGACTTCCATAGACCAAGATGCGAGCATAATGGTAGAGGGGCTACCTCCTATGTCCAGAAGACGAGCTCGTCTTTAGACGTCGTGACGACGTCTTTGAGGGATAGGAGAAGGTTTTCGTCTTTAGCCTTCGCGACGTTGTCGGTTGCCCAAGAGACGCAGGGCTCTCGTCGCGGGGCACCCAGGTGTCGGTATGCAGGTAAGAAATCGCTTTGTGTCGTCTGGAGCGTCTAGGGCGTCTGGGGCGCCCAGGCGTCACAAGACGAGACTTCATTTTTTGCTGATGTCAGGAAGAGGTCATTGCCGGCCTCACTACAGAACTAGAAGCAGCCAACGAAAAGGCTGCCGATTTTTGGCAAACATTGTGCGATAACCAGGAAGATTCCACCGAGATTATCCGAGATCGCGACGAGGTTATCGTTGCTTTGAAGATTGAGCTGGAGGAATCAAAGGCCGAAGAAGAAGAACTTCGGTATCGTCTCGCCCTACACCAGGAAAGTCTCGCCATTGCCGACGAGAACCTCGCCGATGCTGAAGACGAAATTCTTCACATCATCTCTGCTGCAAAAGCCTGGGAAGCCCAAGCCAATGCCACTATTGCCGGTCTTCGTTCTCGTATCTCTGTCTCCGCCGCTACAGTTAAACCTCGTCATGTCTCCAAGCCTCGCTATCTGTCCCCTCGCTCTCAGGATCCCCGTACCGTTAGTAATTGGCGAGAAAGGCCAATTGAAAATGTGTCCCCAAAGCCGGCGCTAAAAGGTCAGCCCCTTTGGTAAAAAATGGCAAACCAAAGGGGCCAACCCCGCCACTAGTCTCTGTTCTCCCTGCTGTCACCGTGCCCGAAGACAAGATGTCTGAAGACTCTCTTGTCGTCACCTGCTCTGTCTCCCAGAACCCCGATTCCTTCGTCCCTACCTATGCTCTTATCGATACAGGAGCATCAGGTTATGCGTTCATTGATCAAGACTTTATGAAAAAACATGGACTCTCCCCAGTACTCCTGAAAAAACCACGCCTACTCGAGGTAATCGACGGTAGGCTAGTTGAATCAGGAAAAATTACTCATATCGTCCACCTCTTGTTAAACATCCATGGTCATCAGGAAACCGCTCAGTTTTTCGTTACCCAATTGGGTCACTATCCGATTGTGATGGGGATGCCTTGGATGCGACAACATGATGTTACCATCCGACCAAAAGAAAATCTGCTTGTTTTTGATTCTCGGAACTGTCGTCAACACTGTTCACTCAGTGGAACGGCAGTTACTGTCCATGGCATTTCGATTCCCTTACCGGAACACCATACGGTTGTCGCTTCAGGAACGAATAAGCCTAATGTCAATGTCGAACAGTTAGTACCAAAGGAATTTCATCACCGTCTCCATATGTTTGAAGAGTATGATGCCTCAGTCCTACCACCGCACCGGCCATCCCACGATATCGAAATTGTTTTAGAAGAAGGAAAACGACCACCGTATGGACCAATATATGGCCTTTCCCAGGTGGAACTAAAAGCGCTACGGGAATACCTCGATGAAAATCTACTCAAGGGATTTATTCGAGCCAGTGAATCACCAGCGGGAGCACCCATACTATTTGTAAAGAAAAGTGATGGGACTCTTCGGCTCTGCGTGGATTATCGGGGCCTCAATGCAATTACGGTTAAAAATCGGTATCCGTTACCACTTTTGAAGGAAACTCTGGCTAAACTGTCAAAGGCACAGTATTATACCAAGTTGGATTTGCGATGGGGATACAATCAAATCAGGGTAGCAGAGGGGGATGAATGGAAAACAGCGTTTAGGACTCGTTATGGACATTTCGAGTATACCGTAATGCCATTTGGATTAGCGAATGCCCCTGCCACATTTCAACATTGGATTAATGATATTCTACGCCCCTACCTCGACCAATTTATAACGGCGTATTTGGACGATATCCTGATTTATTCCGAAACCCTATCGGAACACAAGGAACACATTCAAAGGGTTTTGAAGGTACTTGATGAGAATCATGTCCACCTTAAACCTGAGAAGTGTGAGTTTATGGTTCAAGAAACGAAGTATCTTGGTTTGATTCTCACCCCGGATGGGAATCGAATGGATCCGAAGAAAGTTGTCGATGTTTTGGAGTGGTCTATACCAAGGAACCTTCATGATGTTCAAGTATTTTTGGGATTTGCGAATTTCTATCGACGGTTTATTTTAGGATATTCAAGAATTGTTGCTCCGCTTACGGCTTTGACCAAGAAAAATATTAAATTCGAATGGATGGATGAGAGGGAGGAGGCATTCCAGATATTGAAAAAGATGTTCATAACGGCACCTATACTAATGCATTTTGATCCGGATCGGAAAATCGTGGTAGAAACCGATGCATCCGACTATGTTTCTGCTGGAATCCTGTCCCAACGTGACGACGAAGGAATTCTACATCCAGTCGCTTTCTTCTCTAAGAAACATTCCCCTGCGGAATGTAACTATGAGATCTATGACAAAGAACTCCTGGCGATCGTACGATGTTTTGAGGAATGGCGACATCATTTAGAGGGGGCACAATTCCCAATTGAAGTTCTTAGCGACCATCGGAACCTTGAATATTTTATGTCAACAAAGTTATTAAACCGTCGACAAGCCCGTTGGTCGGAATTTCTTTCAAGTTTCGATTTCGTCATTCAATTTAGACCAGGGAAACAAGGGGCAAAGCCGGATGCATTGACTAGGAGGTCGGCTGACCTACCTAAGGAGGGGGATGAATGGTTGACGCATCAAAGCCAGGTGGTTTTGAAGCGAAAAAATTTGGATTTAAAGCTAAGTTTGTTCGCGGGTTCTTTTTCAAATGAATCCGCTGAAGGAATGTCCACTGTAGAAGAGTTGTTTTTAAATGCTTACCAAGTTGACAGTTTCCCGAACAAAGTACTCGCGATGCTTCGGAATGGCGTCCGTCACTCGAATAAGATCTCGCTTGCCGAATGCACGGAAGATAACAACGGTCGGCTACTTTACCGTGGCGCACTCTATGTACCGGATGACAATGACCTTCGACTAAGACTTCTACAAGAGCACCATGACAAACCATCGGCAGGACATCCAGGCAGAGCAAAGACTTTGGAACTCCTGAATCGAGAGTATTACTGGCCACAAATGCGAAAGTATGTCGATCAGTATGTTCGAAATTGCAATGTGTGTGCCCGTAGCAAGGCACCACGTAATGCACCCTATGGAGTACTCCGCCCCATGCCAATACCAGAGGGACCATGGACGGATGTGTCAATGGATTTTGTTACCGATCTTCCTGAAAGCAATGGGTACAATGCAATCCTGGTTGTGGTAGATAGGCTGACCAAAATGCGACATCTGATACCAATGACTAAGGAGGCGGATGCAAGAGAAGTAGCGAGGCTGTATATCGACAATGTTTGGAAGTTACATGGATTACCTAATACCACTGTATCCGATCGAGGGACTCAGTTTGTTGCAGAATTCTGGAGGTCACTTTGCGATCGTCTAGAAATATCACCAAAGTTCTCTACCGCATTTCATCCTCAGACGGATGGACAGACGGAACGGATCAATGCTATCATGGAACAATACCTTCGGAGTTATGTTTCCTATCAACAGGATGATTGGGCTCGATGGCTACCGATGGCCGAATTTGCAACAAACAATCATGCTTCGGAAACAACCAAAATCTCTCCTTTCTATGCCAATTCGGGAAGAAATCCAAGAATGACTTTTGGTCCCCTAGAACATGGACGGACAACAGCGGAGGATCAAGCTAATGGTATTGTACAAGAAATGAAGGAGATATTAGGTTTCTTAAAGGATGAGATGTTTCGAGCGCAACGAATACAAGAGGAATCAGCCAATGTAAATCGGACTCCAGCCCCCCACTATCGGGTAGGAGACAAAGTTTTCTTGTCGACACGTTATGTCCTTACGAAACGACCATCCAAGAAACTCGATTGGAAACGCCTCGGACCCTATGCGATCAAACGAGTTGTCAGCCCCTATGCCTATGAATTAGCACTTCCTCGATCTATAAAAGTTCATCCCGTATTCCACGTCTCCTTACTATCGTCTGCAGCAAATGATCCTTTACCAGGACAACAACAGTTACTGCCACCGCCGGTCGAAGTTGAAGGACAAGAGGAGTGGGAAGTCGAGAATATTTTGGATTCCAGGGATCGTCGAGGAAGATTTGAATATTTGGTTAAGTATGCCGGTTATGACGAAGCTTCGTGGCAGCCATTGTCGGATGTCGAACATTCGCCCGATATTGTCAAACGGTTTCACGAATGATATCCACGGAAGCCTAAGCCTACCAGGAGGTAGGCCGTAGAGGGGGGAGTGGTCTGTAACGGCAGCTAGGCGGATTGGCTATGTGGGTTGTCTGGGTACAAGGGAGAAGGATTACGTAGTGTGGTTGGGTTTAGCGAAGCGAGTTTCTATTATGTTCTTTCTGTTTCTGTTACGCGAGGGTATGAGTCAGCATTGGGATAAGGTATGGATATATAAGGGGGGTGTTGTCTCGTGATTTCTTGTTTCTCTTTCTTTCTCTTTTCTCTTTATGTAACCTCTGTACTTTACAGTCACGAATACTATTTGGTTCACGCTACGTCATAGGGTTTACCCGGTATACTAGACCAGGTACAACTATCCATAGTCCATAGTCCACAGTCCCCGTTCTTGCCTTAGGTGTACCCTTCGGCCCCATAGTCCATAGTCCACGAACTTCCTACGTCCACGTCTTCGCCTCGGTTGTATTCCTTGGCTTCATAGTTCCTACGCCCATAGTCCCCGTTAGACTACCTATACATGCTCGATAGGATTAAGATCTGGAGAGTAAGGTGGATGGGCTTCCACCTCAATATTGTTATGATCGAACCATTCAGTGATTATTCTAGCTGTATGAACTGGTGCATTATCATGTTGAAAAGTGACATAGGGATAGATCATCAGAGCATTTCTGAGAACTGACGGGAGATAGCGCTTGATAATTATAAGGTAGCGGATGCCAGTCATACTCTCGGGTACTGGAATCAAAGGGCCTTTATTTCTCCCATAGAAACAACCCCAAACCATCAGAGAAATACCACGATCTTTTGGCTTTGGATAGATGCAGTCGGCGAGCCATTTCTCGTCAGGTTCTCTGAAGACCCAAATTTGACGAGGGTCTTTAGATCTCTCAACTGCACACTCATCGCTCCAAATAACACTCATAAACTCTTCAATACCCCAGTCTTTCCGTTGCATTGCCCAATCTAGCCGCTTTTTGACATGCTCAGGCTTCAAAAGTGGGCGGTGTTTGGCAAGCCATTTCTTCACATTTCCCTGTCGTAAGACTCGATCGACCGTAGCAAGGGAGACCCCAGGTGCATATTTATCTCTAAATTCATTCTTTGTCATCCTCCGATTATTTTTTGCTGCTTTAATAAGTGCTTTCTTTTGCCGGTTGCTAAGCAAGCATGGTCGACCAGAACGGGGAAGGTTGTCCTTATTTCCATCTCGTAGGATAGTACGCTGAATAAAGCTCTTGATTGTCGACCAAGGTCTAATAGTAGTAGTCATGGTTATTAGCTAGTTCAGATATATGTAGCCACTGACACTGATAGTCGGATAGTGAACACACCTGCCAATGATTGCTGACACTGTCTGTATGCAGCCAAAGCAGAAGAAGAAAGCGATAATCATTCCCTTTTCAGCAGACGACATCTGCCTCCTTGCAGTCTTTGCTTTAGGAGCCTTTTCTAACTTTAAATGAGCTAGACTCTTTTCCAAAAGCTGCACTTCGACAGCTTTATTGGCTTGCCCATGGCTGCGTCGACGCCGTACCATATATGCTGCTTCACGGATCCGTTGAGACTTCACAAGTATATTGCGGCTTCACTGGTTGCGGCTTCACTGGTTGCGGCTTCACTGGTTGCGGCTTCACTGGTTACGGCTTAATAGAATGCGGCTTCACAGGTTGAGGGCTTCAAAATCTTCACGGGTTGCGGGCTCCTCAAATTTTCACGGGTTGCGGGCTCCTCAAATTTTCACAACCTGGGCACAGCGATTAGTCAATTGAAACATGTTGGATGTCTCACTTGAACGGGCGAATCACGAACACTTTTGCAGGGTGGCTGTACATGTCCTGTAGGCACACATCTGTAAAGAAAGCCTTTGACAAAAAGCTACCTAGTTACCGGTGAGCTTAGCTATCTAAGTTCCTATCCAGTCTATCTCGATTTTGAAAGGGGCCTGCGTACTAGGAGTCAACACCCCCACTGAGCCTAACCTATTGTTGTCCTGGACTCATAAAAACCTATTTCAAGCTAACTCAAAGGCCCAAACCCCACGCAGCAGCCCGGATGCATAGCAAACATTACCACGACCCATCCCACGCAAGCCAATAACGCCATCATGCCAACCCAGCAAGCCCATATAAGCACCGGTCTATTACATCCTCTGCACCGGCAAGTAGCGGCGGTGTCCATACTTGATGTCTAGGGCAGATTTTCAAGCTTGTGATATGTATTTAAAGCGACCGATGAGAAGTAGAGCAAAGATAAGGCCGTAATTAAGCGTTTATCTACTTAGATCTCTGAAATCCGAGCCCGGCGCCCTCTTGAAAGTTTGAATACCTAGCCGGGCGAGATCTTGAATCCAAAACATATCAAAATTGGTCCTACTCGAGACAAGGAGCTACTGGTTGTATTTGACTGATAGAGCTTTCTTTATGATTTCAATAGACCGGATGAAGTCGCACCCATGGTGTTGAGACAAAGGCTTGGCAAACACCGCATCTCAAGAGCTAAAGTTTCTCTGATTTTTCAAGCAATGAAACTGTGCAAGTATCCCCAGCCCAAACCGCATCCCAATCCGAAGGGGCAGTTCTTTGTTAACTGTACCCCAACCCCTCCAAAATTCTCCTCAGGAACCCCAACGTCAGTGCCCCAGTCCCTAAAAAAAAACCCACGCCCGACGTCAACGTCGACGCCGACCCCAGTCCAGGACCCTTAATAATCCCACCCAGCTCTTCCGCTCGCCCACACCCCAAGCCCTAAATCCGCCAAGCTCAAAAAAAATTTCACCGCCGCAGCGCGTATAAAAGGCCCATTTCTCCCACACCCTTCTTTCGCCCGGTATCAAAAAGTATTACGAGGACAGCCACGTCTAGCACTAGCAGCTCTCCGCAGTGTAAAAGATGCCAGGAACCACGCGTTCTAAGCTCCTCCAGATTATAGTGGATCTATCCTCCCGGATAGGAAGTTTACTTTCCGTTGGGTCCTATTCGATTAGGGCGATGGATTGTGAATGTCGATAGATGGGAGACATGCCTTTTCTTTCCCCTTTCCCCTTTTTTTTTCTTTGTAAATAGTTTTTGTATTTAAATAGTATAAATTGAACCGTTTTTTTAAGTAAATTTTTATAGTAATTTTGAAATCTTTCAGTGAATCTTTAACAAAACATGTAGCGGCCATAATGCTATCTTCCTCCGCTTCCGTTTATGCTCGGTCGGCTTTACTTGACAGACCAGCAAACTTATCTCTGCCAATGAAAACAGTGACCTCGCGCCCAATATGTAGTCTAACATCCCTTCATCGTAAAATTCGTAGCCCAAACACCATAATCACTGAAAGTTTCAATAGAAGGAGCCGGCTTTACTCACCCCGAAAAAAGATAATTCGTGACATGCGCAAAAACTCGACATCTCACCCGCGGCACAAGCGATTACAACAGTGAACAATCTTCAATTCATACTGCTGCTATGCTAAAGATACATGCTCAGTGATATACTGTATCTAATATTAACTACACATAAGGAACTATAGTTTCTCTGCTGAGCAGTAGTTGTTCTTTTTCAACCATGCCTTCACATCTTCAGCATCCCTCTTAACCCATGATGCCTTAGCCCTGATTCCATCCAAGCTCTGAGCCAAGCTCATATCGAAACCTGTTAGACTTTTGTTCTTGAAGAATTCGTTGATATCCTCGATAGCCTTATCAGAGGTAAACCCTCCTGTGCAGGTAACGACAATGCTTCCGAGCATTGACAAGCCCGGAGGAAGCTTCTTGACGAGAAGGTCCCAGTTTTGTTGGGTCCATTCCCAAAGAGCCTCAGTACCTGCGGCATGAGAACGGAGGCCACCGATGGGTTGGTAGATCTAGAGCCATGTCAATTGAGGTCTTGTATTTAGGTGGTAGGTCCAAATTACGTCTTGCTCTTTCACTTCACCGTTGATAGCGATTTCAAGTGACTTCTTGATGTTCGCTGGGTTCTCTGAGCGACCCAAGCAGCGGAGTGCAACGTTGCGCTCGTCACTGGTACGCCCATTCTTGTAAGCCTCGAAGACTTGATCCCACTAAATATTTGTAAGCAACGGTTCCCATAAAGTTAGAAGGATAGTCAGCCATACCTCCTTTTCGCCATTGTTTTCGCCATATTGGAGAACAATGTTGTAGACAGGCCCACGAATGTTGGGGTTGATAGCATCAAGGTCTCCCTCAACAAACTTCTTGAACATTTCCTTCGCCGCAGCAACGACCTTCTCATCGCCGCTGTATCCAGCCTGCGAGAAAGCAAGTGCCTTGAGCTGTTGAAGGATATCATCATCCGTTGACTTGAATTCCCAACCGACCTTGTGGGCAAGCGGTGAGAACAATTCTCGCTGGAACTGCTTAAGTCCTTCATTCTGGTCCTTGGGCTCAAAGAGCCAAGCCGCCTTGATGTTTCCAATTCTTGCCGCAATTTCGGACCAGACAATATATTCAGTCTCATCCTTGAATCCGGCAAGCAGGTCCAACAGACCGGAGGTTTTCTGGTAGCCACTGGTAGCAAGAGCACCAGCATCTCCGAGCAACCCAGCTCTGTCCTGTACAGTAAGAAGCTTTGACTCCTTCCCAAGTGTTGCAAGACGCTCAGGAGAGTACAATGTTCGGTAAACACCAGTTTGATCAGCATTAAGCTTGAAGAAATCGGTGTCGGGAATCTTGATTGTGGTTTCACGTGTGTTGAATGTGAGTTTTGAATCAACGCCATCTTTAGTGCGGAGGCCAATGAAAATAGGCCACAATGTCTCATCCTCCTCTGGCTTCACATCAGCTGTCCTGAGATAGCGGTTTTGTGTGAGGTGTAGTTCGTTTCCGTTTTCCTTGACAGTAATCACAGGGTAACCAGTCTTCTTAGTCCATGTAGCCATGTCCTTCTCGACATCCTTCCCACTGGCATCGCTGAGAGCAGCCCAAAGATCACCGGTCTTTACACATTAGCCTTCAATCAACAAGATTCAAAGGAAGCTCGCTTACATGAGTGTTGCCATAGGCGTGCTTCTTCAAGTACCGTCTGATACCCTCGAGGAAGACGTCCTCGCCAAGATATACTGAAATCATACGCAAGATCGAACTTCCCTTCAGGTATGAGATGCTGTCGAAAATCTGGTTGATCTCAGAAACCTTCTTAACTGGCACCTCAATAGGATGACTGCTCCTCAATCCATCCAAGCTGAGGGCACCAGCATAGCTGTCGGTTACATATGATTCCCACACTTTCCATTGTGGGTAGAAAACGTTTGAGGAGTACCAGGACATCCAAGTAGCAAAACCTTCGTTGAGCCACAGACCTTCCCAGAAATCCATCGTAACCAAGTTACCAAACCATTGATGAGCAAGCTCATGCTGGACAACCTCCGCAATCCTTTGCTTTCGGTCAAGGGAAGCAGTCTTCTCATCGTAAAGCAAATCGACGACTCTGTATGTGACCAAACCCCAGTTCTCCATAGCACCGGCCGAAAAATCCGGAATGGCAACCATGTCCATCTTCGGCAAAGGATATTCGGAACCAAATGTTTCCTCATAAAACTTGAGAGTCTTTGCGGCAAGATCCGCGGAGAATTGACCCTGGTGCTCATTTCCGGGGGTGGCGTAGACTCGAATAGGCACACGGAAATCATTGTTCTCAATATATTTGAAATCACCAACAATGAATGCCAAGAGCTATAGATTTCTTGTTAACTCCACCTTGTAGCAAATATAATAGATGGTGACTTACGTATGTTGACATCTTTGGCGACTTGTTGAATGATACTGCCTTCTTTCCATTGCCTAAACTCTTGGTGTCCTTGACGTCCATGTTGGACAAACAAGTCAACTTCTCGTCGGCAATCAAAGTCACCTCCCAAGTGGCCTTAAGGTCCGGCTGGTCAAAGCAGGGAAGAGCCTAAATTGTAAAGCAGTTTGTCAATTGATGCCCTCATTCATATACCGACAAGATCCCATACCCTACGAGCGTCAGTAGGCTCCATTTGTGTAGTTGCCATGTACTTGGTTGATCCATCCTGGTCCTTGTAGGACGAACGGTAGAACCCTAACGATATCAGTCAATGCCGCATGAGTAAACCAGGGCAAGAAACATACCAGCCATGTTGTTGTTAAGGATACCGGTGTAGTTGATGGTCAAGGTTGCCTTGGTCCCAGCTGGAATGACATCCTTGAAGGTCCATGTAGTAGTCTGGATATCTTCAGTGTGTCTAAAAGGATCATTATAAGCATCAAGACTCCCCATTGAGGGCTGCCATTGGGGAACCCATACTCAACATTGACAGGAGTGTACTCCTGTCCATTGTACTCGAGCTTTGCAGACTGAATCTCGATCTCGACATCGTTAACAGCAATTGTGGTGCTATCCTTAACTACATCGAGCCTATACCACATGATTCATCAGCTTTCAATCCCTTCAAAGGAAGCAGTGGCACTGACAAAATTGCTACAGTTCCCTTGAAAGTAAACTTCTCGAGGTCAGGCTCGAGCTCCAACGCATAATTGATTGGCTTTACGTTATCAGGGAGCACCTCTCTACCCTGGTTGATAGTGCTCCCAGACGCGTCGAGATCATGGCGACGACACATTCTTTGGCAGGAGCAATTTCTTGCGAAATCCTTGGATCTAAGTTTTAGGGAAGCTGGGGCTGTAGCTGGTCTAAACCGTGATGATAGTAAAGATGGCTTATCAAGATTGGGGATGATAGAAGAAGAGGTGGTAGTGGTTGAGGATGATGGGGGATGGGAGAAGGCCGAGATGGTGTAGGGTCTAGGTCGAAGCTTAGATGGGATAGTGCGGGGTTGCTGAGATATAGACAACAGGACACGGTTGGATCGCGTGATCTGCGGCCTGCGAGCGAAGGTCCTCATGGAGCTGGGAGAGTTGGGATTTGTCTGTGCTGAGGGGCAGCTACCGTGCGGCGAATCTCTTAGAGCGGGGAAGAACTTTTTATCACCGAAAAAGGTGGGATATACGTAGGTTATCCGAACGATATGTAGATTACGCTATGTCCGAGTACGGAAAGAGTAAGCGACGGGCATCTCCGGCATTGATTTACGTCCATTGAAATAAAAGTTTCGATTTCAGAGGCTTCTGTCAGTAATGGATATTGGAAAGAGGATGATGTTCGGGTTCTGCAAAAGGCGCCATGCACCGAATACGTCGGTTATATCCAACCAACTTTCATCCAACTGCAGTAAACATTATCAACTTTCTGCAGGTAACCGGTTATCGTCGGATTGATATCCAATATGTACCTATATCATGTAGTACATGTAGAGTATCTTGATTTAGATGGTAGTACAAGGCCGGTTCAAAACGAAATTGTGAAAATTAGAACGAAATTGTGAAAATTAGAGCGCAATCATTTTACAAAGGTGTGTGTTTATTGTAGCCCAAACGTCTCTTATTCCGTACTACCGACCCAAAGCTCATCAGAAGTTCTAACGCATGAGTAGGGTGATTTTTCTATTACGGGGGATCGAGAGGGTTGTGCGGTTGGCTATGGCGGACACTTGAAGTAATCGCTGTTATTCACGGAACCACTTGCACCTAGCTCCCGAATAAATTCCTCTAACGAAAGTTCATACTTCAATAGCTTTATATGATGGAGAGTTTGAGGAGTTTGGTACAAGTCGTGGACATGGCTCATGCCAAATGATGTCTATCAAACCCGAGGGATGGTATGAGAGGTTAGGGTTAGGGGAATGTAGCTTCATAGATTATCACTCGTCTGTATTCTCACCGCCACCCTGCATTTTTTCATAATAACAGCACCCTTTCCAACCGGTGAACCAGATGTGGCTAATTTAGTATATTGTAATTAAATGCAGACACCGAGGAAGTGTGCCTCTAGAGAAATCAAACATCAAAATAGCGTTCCTAATCATTATTCCACCACAAGAAACGAACAAAAGAAAGAACAAAAGGTTCCATCTACAAAACTACAAAAGGTACTGCAAGCGGCTTATTAATGAATTTGCGCTTGCTACCCCCACCCCTGGTTTGAACCCAGGACCTTATGTGTGTGTTGGTTGTATCCTGGGTACGCTCGGTGTCGAACCTGACGAGCAGTCTAGATCCACTAGACCACCCGCCCATAGTGGATGCTGCGCTGGAAGTGATACTTAAGCTTGGCACACTTCCAAGATGAAGCAGAACCCCTAACCCTTCGATGTCATTGCTCAGCCATCTGTATAGCATCGTGTGTTATTGTAGCGCACGTCTACTGAATTCAAAACTGTGTCATTTTAGACCTTTTCCGTAATAAATAACGAAGGGTACCTTCGTAATGACGGACCGACCAAACATCATTCCCTCAGAAAACCATCTAACTCAATTTTCACCCATTAAGCACACAAAACAGCCGCCACGAAGATCTAGAGCGTGCTTTATCCCGCCCACAATGCTTCTGCACGTGCTAAACTCAAACAAAGTGCGTAGACACACTACAAAGCCCCCAAAAAACAGAGTAAAAAGAAACCCCGCCGTTTCAAGCTCCAGAGCAGCAAAAGGAGGCTTCTCCCTTTTGCCCAGTCACACCAAGCCTGGGAGGTGATTTAGATCGACCATCAACCTCGGCGACACCATAGCTATTAATTAAGCTACAGCGGTAGATGGTATGGTGCCTTTCTAACGCCTTAAAGGCTCCTTAGTGATTATGTGTCAGTCTATAAATTTCTAGATCTAGATCTGTCCCCCGACCCAAAGCCACAAATACACCGACCGGCGGAAAACACCACCCAGCCCACATTCAATTGAGCTGCGCCAAATTAAGGTGTCAATGATCAGATCACGCCTGCCAAGCCGCCCCCACCGGTTCTGCTTCAAGCTCTTCTCTGCCAGCGCCAAGACACACAGGCAGAATCCTTAACCCTGTCAATATCGATCGGTATATACAAAAGCGAGTATCCCATAGTAGGATGAAAGTTGTCAAACTTGCGACCTGGACCGTGCACCACTTAATGAGGGAATTGTCTTGCTTTTTACGGAATAGAGCCAATCAAGAATTTCCAACAATTACCACACTAGGCTAGTGATAGCTGGAAAAGGGAGGTCGCAAGTTTGACAAGTTTCATCCTACCATGGGATAATGCAGAGACATTACTACTGTGCTCTGATGTGTTACGCGGTGTAGAGTGCGCATATAGTTTAAGAGCCCCGGTTCCTTTGCAGATGAAAAGGTTGGTCCTCAGGCAATGCAAACCCATCTTCAGCATCTCAATGAAAGCTTCGACTATAATGATCTCCTACTTGGTTAGTTGCTAGCACTACGAGTAAGATATTCGGGGCGCTATTATCTACCACGGGCTTTCTCTACTACAAAGCAAACCCCCATTCCCCCTCCTCTTCCCGCCCCGAATCATCAAAGCGACTATTACACCATGCCGCATCATAGAATATCACTCGCACTCGCACCCTCACCCCTCCTACCCATCAGCCGCCTCTTCCACTCCCAAGAATAAGTACGTTAAATCTATATATTTTGATTTTCTCCCCATGAATGCACGCAAAGTCGAATAAACCTACAGAACGGTATTTATAGCCCGCTACAAAAAAAAAAGAAAAAAAGAAAAATCCCTTTTAAAGACGACAAAGAAAAGGAAAGAAAAAAGACAAAAACAAAAGCGAGAGAAACAAAAAGAAGAACGCCAACTCCACACGCCACCCACCCACCCACCCAACCACCGCTCTCTACTGCGGCCCGGGCACACCCCCATCCGCGGCCCCCGCCCCCCCACCCAAATCCACCACCGGCCCACCTCCCAAACCCAAATCCACCACGGGCCCCCCCACCATCACCGCCCCATCCGCCCTCGCCCTCCCCCCCCTCCTCTCCGCCTCCGGCACCTCCGCACAACAATGCTGCAACTTCTGCGCATGCGCCGGATTATGAAACTGCGTTCTGCACCGCCACCCATACCAGCACCTCTGCCTCGCATCCACATACAACCGCACCCTCTCCGCACACCACCACGCCATAAACCGCTCCTGCAGCACGGGCGCCACACACCCCCTACACACATACGCATCCGTGCCCACGCTCCTCCTCAGCGCCCTGAACTCCCCGCCGTTGCCAGCCACAAGCCACTCGTAGATCATCTGCGCAATCTGCAGATACGACGTGCCCGTCGCCCCGCGCCAGCTCTCGAAGTGGTGCAGCTCCGCAAGGTTGTTGAGGAAAGCCAGGTTCGGGGGCGTGATGGGCTGCACTTGGGCGGCCGGCGGGGCGAGCACGCCTGGTATAGCGCACCCGAAGAGCGCCCCGCAGTTGAGGATGCCGCAGGACTCGCATTTGTACCCGGCCTTCCAGGTGGTGGGAATGGTGTTGGGGCAGTGCTGGCAGTGCACGTGGTTGCGGTAGCTGTATGTGTCTACGCGGTGCGGGGGGTCCGTGGCGGGGATGGCGTCCGGGCAGGTGTGGCCGTGGGGGTTGTCGGGGGCGCAGCAGGGGCAGGGCGGCCAGGCGATGTGGCCCTCCTCGTCGTCGTCGCCGTCGGAGTCTGAGCGGTGGTCGTCGTCGTCGTCGTCGTCGGGGGAGGCGTCTTCGATGTAGACTTTCTGCCCGGGCTTGTACACTTTCTCGAGCTCCTTGAGCTCGGCGGCGTCGCGGCGCTTGTCGGGGAAGCGGGCCAGGAGGGTTTCGATGAGGGTTGCGGTGCTGTGGTTGTCACCGATCTTTTTGACGACCCGCCGGCAGGTCGGGCAGGTGTTTGTGCGCTCGAGCCAGGGGACTAGGCAGGATCCTGCGCAGCACAGCGGCCGCTGTTAGCTTCTATCCTATCCCCATATCCCGGCAGGGCAAGAAGGGGGGGAAGGAAGAAAAGAAAGCTCACCACAAAAGTTATGCAAACAATCAAAACACGCCACAGGATTGTTGAGCACCTCCGAGCAGATGGCACAACTCAGATCCCGCTCCAGCGTGTCCGCAATATCGTCAGCATCCGATTTCCGGACTGGCTGGGCGTACCGGGAGGCCTTTGCCTTGCGTACGAGCTCCGAGATGTCGTCTTCGGGGGCGGGGCGTTTGGTGGATGAGCCGGCTGAGGAGGGCCGTGAAGAGGAGGAGGAGGCGACGGGGTGCTCTATGGGCTGATGCTGCTGCTGCTGGGAGCTGCTGCTGGAGGGGAGCGGGAGCTGGGGCTCGTCGTCGGGGTGGGGGAGCTGTTGCTGCTGCAGTGATTGAGACATTGGTACTGATTGGTATTGGTATATATAGCTAGGGTGGGGTCTTTTCTCTCTCTCTCTCTCTCTCTCTCTCTCTCTCTCTCTCTCTCTCTCTCTCTCTATTTATTTATTTTCTTGAGAAGAGAAAAGAGGGACTTTACACGGTCGCGGTGGGGGGCTGCGGGGGTGTCGCGTTGGGAAGACGCGAACACAGGTGACTCGGGGCCAGCTTAAGTAGTCGTGTTCTATGTTCGAGATAAAAGCCGATAGTCGTTCACGATAAGGATAAGATATGTAGCGAGACGGGGATGTTGGCTGTGTTGGGCGTGGTCGGTGTTGGTGGGGTGAGTCACGCCCGTTGATTTGGCTGCACAGGGCACAGGCAGAGGCAGGGGGGAGGAAGCAGAAGCGAGGGAGGAGTCATGCAGCAGTGGTGACTCTTTGTGTAACGCGGGAGCCGCATGACTGACTCTGCTCTAACTAAGCGTAAGATGAACATGAACTTGTCTCTATCCATCCAGTGCTCTAGATACGGAGAGGAGCAGGCGCGCGCGGTGCTGGGTATAACGCGCAGAGGGGGATGACATATAAAGACGTGGTGGTTGAGCACTGGGACGTCCGCGGTGGTGATGGTGTGCGTAGCAATTGTCTTGTTTAAGCCCGTTCGGAGGGTAATGCGCAGCCGAGTGATAGTCTGTGAATCAGGCTGCTTGCAAGGCGAGCAATCATGTCCTGTGCTCGACGCTAGCTGTTATTTTCTACCAGCACTGTCCGTGGCGTGGTCAGAGAACACACAAGAAGACATGTAACTATCGAATAAGATAGCTATAGAGAACAACATGACAGAAGAACCTCAGTATATATATAGTGATGGAGTAGGCGATCACTCGAATACAATCATCATCTTCCTTTCGATACAAAATCCATCCATTACCTTGATCCACTCGGGCACCGTTCCATCATTCCTCCGCCTTCTAACCATTCCCACAACGACTGTGTTTGCAAGGAAACGCCCGATATTTGGGGTGCTGTTTTCATCAATTGCATCCACATACTCTAATAGTCAACTGGCTGCGGCCGGGCTTGGTTACCAACGACATCAATCTGCCAATCTGAACTGCATGGCTTGAGATGGCATCACACTCTACAACTGCCTACCAACGATTAGCACCACCAAACGATTCTTCAAGCGGAATAGCCGCACGCAGCATAATTCAAAGCCTGGTCGATAAATATATGGATGAGGTCAGTTTCCGCTCCCACACGGCATATCAGAATCTTGAACTAACGTATCACACATTATCACTCGGACAAAATCACCACCATTCCTCTTGTGTCCAAGATCGCTATCATGGTCTGGAGGAGCTCAGGTTCTTGAATGATCCCAACCTCGACCTGTCAAACATAAGTACAGGGTGTCTGGATAGGGTATCCTGGCAAGCAAGAAAGCAGAAGAGAAGCCCCCAAGAAATTCAGAATCAATTACAACAGGAAAACCTCCAAGGCAAGAAACGATCAGAAAAGGTAGCTAACTAGAGAGCCACCTAAAAAGCTAGGAGAGTAAAAAAACACATAAAAAAAAAAGACATAAAACACCATCCCTCAAAACAAAAAAGCAGGAAACAGAAAAAAAAAAACCCATCATACGGCCACCCCAACGACCTCTACCCCCATCCCCATCTCCACATCCTCCACTACCTGATCCACCGCTTCATTCCCCAACCACTCCACGCCTTTCACACACCTCCCCACCACACTACTCACACCATCGCCATTCTCCTCATCGCGCTGCCCGGGCGCCAGTCTCGGCCCCCACCCCACAGGCAGCACCATCCTCCTCAACGAGTCCCGATCCAGCACCACAATCGCGTCCAGCGCCTGCCGCCCCCCGCCCAGCGGATGCAGCAGCCCCAGCGCCATCGTCAGCGCCCTCGTCACATCATGAATAATCGGCAGCGTCGACGTGCCCGGCGGCGGCGCACTCAGCGAAACACCAAACACGTCCGCCCCACCACTCGCCAGTAGCGCCGCGACATGCCTATTCTCGCCCCCATTAGCCCACCATCCCAAACACCAACAAGAAAGGAAGTACTCACCCAAGCCCCACCAAATGCTCCAGCGTACACCCCAAAAATGCCAACACCGTAACCCCCCCTCTCCCTCTCAACCCCCCTATCCTCCTCCCCACGTCCATCTGGTCTGTCCCGGGCCATAGCACGTCAACTAATACATCCCCCATGCGCTCCGCCAGCCCAATGCTGCCCTCCTTCTCCGTGACCCATGGGGGCCGCTCGACCGCGCGCTTGGCGCGCACCCGCCGCGCTGTGTGCGACCGCGACGGCGGACGGGAGGACGGCGGGGAGGCGCCGGCGAAGGCGAGGCTCGGGGACCGTTTCCGTGACGCTGCTGGGGGAGGCGGAGGTGTCGGGGATTGCGACTGCTGCTCAGGGTGTTTTGGGAATTGGCTATGGTCTTGATTCATCCTTGTGGTGGTGGTGGTTGCGGCGGTGTGTTTGAGCGCGAGGAAGAGCGATTCAGGACAAGGCACGATGGGCAGGTTACTGCTGCTGCTGCGGAGGAGGGGGATGTTCTTTTTAGGGACGGGGTGGTGCAGGACTGGGTGTGAGTGTGAGTGCGAAGGGGAGAGGAGGCCCGGGGGAGGTTGTTGTTGCGCAAAGCTTAGATTGAGACCCCCCATGTTTGATTTCTTACGTTTTTTTTTCTTGCTCTTTTTTTTTTTGGTAGATTTAGATTGACCCTACTTTAGACTCGTAGAGAGTGTCTGAGCTCCTTGCGTAAATTTTGCGGGGGGACAGGGACAAGGACAAGGGGGGTGAAGAGTCGATCTGCGACACACGGACGGAAGGGATGTGTAGTTGTTCCGGACGGTGCCAGCAAAGAGTACGAGAGCTGATCCGACCAGCCTTTAGTAAGGGAGGGGTGAGTGAATAGGTGAGGAGAAAATTAAAAAGAGGGTGGCAACCCCGATTTTGATATAAGAGTTCAAAAGGTTTTGGGGTTGGGGTTTGGGGGGGTGACCGATATTTGTTTTACTCGGGACCTTTTCTTTTGTTCTGCCACTGCTGTATATAGCTACCTCGATCCTTCCTCCGCTCCATACTACGTAGACAGCACTCTATGTACCTCCTCTACCTCCTCTTGTCTTCTGCAGTGCGTGCAGCGCATTCCCCGCTGCTGATGTTCGATGTCCTCACCGTGCAGCACGCATAAAATAGGTTTGTTTACACATCTGGCGGTAAACGGCCTCGGAAGAGACCCGAGAAACCGTAGCGCGGTGCGGGGTATGGGTGCGCTTGGCTCGTTAGGGATGGAGCGAGGGACAGACAGAACCGCTTTGTCAGGTCGGGCTTTCGGGTACATGGATTCGCACTCGATTGCAGGAGCGCTGCTAGACTTGTAGTGAAGCTCGCTGCTTTACTTGGACTACATGTACCTACATAACTACATGTAATCTAAAGCGGTGGAGGATGGGGGAGGGGGGTGTTCGCTTGGATAAGACTTCTGTCTTCAATGCACAATTATCTATCAATTATCCGATATTGCGGTTGTGACAGATATTGTCAGTGCGCAGATGATGGACACGACTGACGAAGATTGGCACCGTGGGACAATGTGACATGGGTACGGGATTATTTAGCTGTGTGCAAGTCCAGCCTGGAAATGGGACCCCAGTTCAGCAACCGGTAAAGAAACTCAATCACATGAAACTTCGCGGAATCCGAATCTCAACATTACTACCAATATCGTCTCTACCCTCTGTCTGCGAAACGAAACTTTATATTTCTATCCGCGCTGCAAGTGTAGTAGGTATAGCCTCTAGCCTCTACAGTGATCTATGCCATGACCAATCTGCAAATCTACCTATCCTCCATCTCCTCATCACTATCATCATCATCGTCGTCGTCATCATCATCGTCATCATCATCGTCATCATCATCGTCGTCCTCCTCCTTCTCGTCGTCGTCCTCTTCGCCTTCCGCGAGGCCGTACTTGAGCCCATAGTCGTCCTGGAAGAACTTCAACGGGTGCACTGTGACGTTGAAATGCTCTTTTTCAAGAGCCGCTTTGATCGACTACATGGCGGGGGTTTCATTAGTCAATGGAAGTAGCTTTTTTTTTTTTGGGGGGGGGGGGGGGGTGCAAAACTCACATCAGTCTTCACCGGCGCCGTCACTACCACGGTATTACTCCTCTCGGGATCAAACACGGGCAACAACACGTCCCTCAGAACGTCCTTCAAGTCCTGCACCGTCACAGCACGGATCTTCTTCAGCAGCTGCATATTGTAGTCCTTGCTCTGCCCGTGGATGACCTGGTTGATGAAGGACACTGACGCGGCGGACGCCATGGATGACTCCTCGTCCGCGAACTGGACAACGATGGACGAGAGCGCGCCCTCGAGCGAGAGGTGGTCGAACTCGACGATGCTATCCATGTGGTCACGCAGGACCTTGCGGGAGGCTTCCCAGGCTTTGTAGGCGTCGGGGGAGCGGTAGACGGTGAACTGGACGTGGCCCGAGTCGATGTTCTTGGAGAAGCCGGTGCCGTAGGCGAGACCTGTGCCGCGGACGGCACGCCAGAGGGGGCCCTCGACGGCGTCGAGGTAGGAGATTGCTAGGAGCATGGCGGGTAGTTTAGGGTGAGTAGGGCTGTCCGGACCGAGGGCAACATGGACGGAGAAAGAGGAGTCGATTGTTGGAAGTGGGACCAAATGGGCCACGCCTCCGGGCTTCTGTCCTTGGGGAGTGAGGCGTTGGATCCGCTTGTCGATGGGTGCTAGTTGGCCGGTGAAGGAGTGGCCAGTGACGAAGTTCTTCCATGCTGATACGGGGTTTTTGAGCTTCGTTATGTCCGCGATGACAAGGATGCGGAAGTTCTCGAGTTTGCAGAAGGTTTTGCGGAGCTCCTCGAACTGGGCGATGACTTCGTCGGGCTTCTCTTCCAGTTGCTTGCTGATTCGTTTCAGGTAAAGGGCCTTAACGAGGGTATCTTGTGCGCGCCCAATTGATTCGCGGGAATATGAAATCATGCTGTTGACCGACATACTCATCTAAACAGGCATGGCGTTAAAATCTTGGATTGGAAACAAGGTTGGAGTTTACTTACCGTTTTACCGCCTCTCTTCTCATCGGGAATATCACTCCTCATCTTGGTGATCGTGGTAGCAAGGCGCGAGGCATCAAAGATGCTGCTCCACATGAACTCTTTGATCCATTTGATTGAGACCTCATACTTCTCGGGTTCAACTTGGAACCTGATCCTGAGACTCTCAGGTGTGTCCATATATGTTCCGGATCCGATATTGTAGTTGACGGTATCCTTCTCCAACTTTGCTACAACCTGTTCGTACTCTAGACGTACTCCATCTTGCATGATAGGTGTGTTGAAGAAATTTTCAAGGTATATTGGGATCAGGGGCCGTCTTTCAACTGGAATAGACGCAGTTGAGACAAGAATCGTTATTCGCACAAAGTTTGATGGGATGTGCTCATAATGGAGATAAAGCGGTAGGTCGACATGGTCTTTATCAATGATATCCTGTATTTCCTTATCACTATGGAAAGTCAGCAGCTTGCAAGGGTGCGATCATGAAAATTCACTCACCCCTTTCCATCTTTCACTGCCAATCCGGCCCTTGCGGTCTCAGTCTTGATGAAATGAATGCTCTCAACCCCTGGAACTGGAAACTTTCCGAGCTCCTCTTTCGGGATCTCTCTGTCGTTGTCCGCTTTAGCCTTCTCGAGCTTTTCCTGGAGTTTCTTAAGGCCTTCTTCCCCGAATTTAGCTTTCTGGGCAGCCACACGTTTCTTCTCGTCCTCTTCAATCTTCTTAGCAAGCTTTGCAGAAGGCTTTCCGAGGATAGAGACGTGCTCGTTGTCCGCGACCCATTTGCGGAGGAAGTCTCGCCAGTCAGTCTCGGTCCACTTCTCGAGCTCATCAAATGCGCTCAGGGTCTCAAACGACTTGAGAGTGCTGCCATCCCTCTCCCCAAAGATAAAATCAGTAATGAGAGGGTTAGAGAAGTAGTATCCAGAGCTCTCCACCGAGAATTTACGCTGCCTCTTTGTGCGTCGGAGACATTCCTGGACGTACGCGAGGTCAATTGGCTCACTGACGGTCTTTTTCAGCACCTCGAAGAGACGCTTCTCGACTTCGGCAAGCTTCTTGGTGGGCACACTGGTTAATTGAAGCCAGATGAGTGAATTGGGGCGCTCCTCGACGTAAAACTGGACAGAAGATGCGAGTGGCTCTTTGATTTCCACGAGCTGGTTCTCCAGGATCGACACTGAGGAACCGGCAAGGAAGGTACCGAGAGTTTCGAGAGCTGCCATTGCCTTTGCGTCATTGCAATTGGGACCAAGGAAGCCGATTGAGATCTCGCCCATGGATTCATCCTTTTCGGGGAACTCGACGGTATCAATTGTAGACTCCTTCAATAGCGGGACGGGTTTAGAATCGATCCAAGGCCTATAAAATTAGTCAAAATCGGTATTACCAAAATAACATTAGGACTTACCTTTTCGTGGGCAAGCTCGGATCAGGAATGTCTTTCAAGATGCTCCCTTCAAAATCGTCCAAGATTTTCAAGAGGTTGTCATGGTCCACTTCGCCAATGATCACCAAGCACAGATTTTTTGGCTGGTACATGTCCCTGTGAAACTGCCTAATCCTCTCCGCCGTGAGAACTCTCAAAGCTTCCATCATACCGCCAGTCTCGTATCTGAAGCCGACACCCTCGGGGTAGAGTTTCTGGACTGCTTTCATGTTCATGATTGTGCTTGGGGTGTTCTGAACACCTTGCATCTCGGAGTATACAACACCTGCATCTTGCCCCTCTCCATCAATGTGGTGGACCTCAGTGTAGCAACCACTGTCGGTAAGGGTAGGAAGTAGGATGTGTTCGAGGTATACAGGAAGAATCTGAGCGAATCCCTCCCAACCGGCGGTATCGAGGGTGTATGCGGTATGATCGGTAGCTGTCCATGCGTTCGTACCAGAGTAGGCTCTGCATTTAGTCAGTTATCTCTGAGATCATTTTTACAGCTTAATCAAATGGAATTCTACCTGTTTGCCATCCGATCTAACACGCCCTTGTACTGGTAGTTCTTACTGCCCATGAAGCATAAATGCTCTAGAGTGTGGGGGCTGCCCGAATCATCCAGAATCTCCGTGGCAAGGGCAAAGAATCCCAAGACCTTAGGTCCCTCGCGGTCTACCACCACCGCCGACATTCCCGTGCGTTTAGATTCATATTTCGTGATGGTGCTCGGTGAATAGTCAGTTTTGAACTGTATCTCCTTCTTGAAATAGCTTGTCCCCGTCATCGTGAGGATGGTGCGATACTGGGGGATTCTGGGATTTGTTAGAGCGAGAAGCGTAATAACCACACTCCTCCGAATCGACGACGAAAAGAGTATATTGTGGAGCGGAGCGGTGCGAAGTAGGCGCACCTGAGCCAGAATGATATTCTTCGGTGGGGGGAAAAGTATCAATAGGTAGATGGAGAAAAATGACGGGGGTATGTGGATATTGCGGGGTCACAATGCAGGCAAGACAAGGCTTGCGGCGAGGTTTTATGTACCAGCGGAAGACCTAAGGATCTACAGGCTCCTGGTGCTGACGCATGAAAAAGAGCCGCAGGGATCCCTGCATAAGAGTTCTTCATAGGTCAACTGATTGTACTTATCTTTCTTATTAAGCTTAGCCTTGTAGCTATCGATGTGTCCTCACGAGGTGCCTGGACTATCAATATGTTAGAATTCAACTTGAAAGCCATTGTAGAGGTACGTATTGAGGGCTTGGAGCTTGAGCTTGCTGTTACCTTTTATCTTGGCACTCTTGGCGTATGTCCACTCTTCGTGAATGCCCTGAAATGTCGGTGACAGTTTATTCAGTACTGGCTGAGGATTATATGAATCATGTGATCCCATATTAGCATGAGTATCCAGCACGTAGCTTTCAGAATTACAGGTGAAATGGCCATAGGAATATTGTCGAAATTACCAGTAATTCATCGATTCTGATTTACCACTTCATAGAATGGAGCGTGGTTCGGTTAGAAAGTAGAAGTATTATCTTAATTAACAATAGAGATATTTGGGGCCTGGCGAGATACCTAGTATATGTGTGTCTCTACAGCAATGGCCTAAAGTGGGCATAAATCCCATTTTATAACGGGCCAAGTTGCCAGCCGTAAGCTTGCAGAGCATTTCCCTTTCAAAGAATTTCAAAGATATTCTTTAACATAGGAGGCGGCCTAAGTAGAAGGGCTGCATGCGCTTAATAAATGAATCCATCAATCAGAATATGGCCAAGTAAAGCTCGAGTGATTTTCCATGACTCTGCTGGGAGCATAAAGTATCCATATAGTTATAACGCAAACCTCATTGGTGATGAAGCCTCAGAGAAGCAAAGTTAATTCAGGATCAAGACATACATAGTATAGGGCATAATCAAAGGAGGGACTTGAGTTTATTGCGGCAGCTTTGTTATTCAGATGGTCTATATATGCATCGAGTGTGGGTGCGATAATCGGCAATGGCCTCGCTGAATTATATTACATACAATAATACCACAAAGAAAATTCGTTTATTACATATAAGCGAAGGAATCTCTGTCGAGGGATAGTTATATACAAATGAAATGTTTTCTAAAATTGAAATAGTGAAGGAAACAATAAAATAACAACATCACTACAGGTATTTATCGTAAGACTTGATCATAATACTGTCCAAAGAAATCACATTCACTGTGTTCAAATATGCGGCCAATAGTTGTTCCAAGTGGGGGTTGAATAGGATCCTTTAGGAAGACTGCGCATACTGATGATAGACTCCACCAAAATGAACGTGAAACCAAGGAGGTTAAGCGCGACCATAACTCCCGCAAGAGCAATGATAAATATTCCCAATGAATACCCATGAGCCATCCGCTTACTGGACCTCTCGGCAACTTCCTCGACAGCCGTGGAATACCGACGAAAGAACTTAGCAAGGTGTCTGAAGATTGTTGTATCCTTATCTTCAAAGCTCATTCCCAAAGCTCACGCAAGACTTCCTCGTCGAACCCAAGAAATTTGACCAATGCCAAGCACGCGGGCATAGCAAACACTGATACAATAGATGAGATTCGCCAGAGCCAACATTCGGAAACGGTTGGAAACTGGGAATTCCACGCAAGCATGTGGAGGCCACCGTTGGCAGCTGCCGATATTGATCCCGCGAGAGAACCCATCTCAGTCCGGAGAATACATTCTGCAATATCATACCAGGCCTTTATAGCCAGGCATATATGGTGTGACCGTGGAGATTCAGTAAGGAAGCGGGCGTCGGCTTGATATTTTGTACTGTCTTCATCAGGAAAATCCGAAGAATGAGAGAATCCCATTAGAGTTGAGGCTGCCGTATATTGAGATGAAGATATTTCAAGGCTCTTGTCCTCCCATGAGCTTCCTCGGTCGCGGCGTATATCAATTCGTAAGGGTTCATCGATATCCAAGGGTTTGTACCACCAAAATGCATAAGTTGTCAGGGCAAAGAAAACTTGGATGACAACATGAATCTCAATCAAAGTAAGTGGTAAGCCAGCTATCTTCCGCCCAATGCACTGGAAAATCATCCAAGCCGCCTGAGTGAAGACCAACATTTTGGTAATGGTAGAGGCATTTCCTTGTCAATGATGAATTTCTTATCAAAAGCGTCCTCAGGTATTTTGTCTGATAGTGTATATTCCTTGAATCCCAAAGGTGTCAAGGTAGTCATACGGCCGGTGTCCTTGTTTTCGCGTATGACGATCCCTCCCATAACCACGAAGAATCCTCCCTCCATTCCCATACGATCCCGATCGCTCCCTGGTATGATCCCAAAGTGCTCGCACCACATGTCATAAACCGATTTTTCCTGACGCATCTGTACATATGCATAGAATGCGATGGCCTCAGGAAAGAATGCGCAAATAAGCATAATTGTTATCTTGTATGTGTACTTCCTCCAACCCACTTTGTTTGTGGCAATATCTGGATGTACTGCAGTCCAAACACAGAGAATGAAGGTGGTAAGACAACTCCAGAAAAATCTGATCGTGCTGCGCTGAGAAGTTTCTGATACCCATCCGGGATCAATATTTGTGCTATTCGAAACGTTTATTGCCGATGCAGGGAGAATCATGGATGCAAGAAGCACCATAAATACGAAGGATATATGTGATATACACAAAAGTACCATCTTTGTGATTTTAAATTAGTGTAAGATGATAAGGGCTTCACTAATTATGTCAGCACCACTAAGATTTAGTCTTGTGCAATCTCTCGTGGCTCACATGTAGTTTTGCTAAGGACGGCTATATATAAAAGTTGAAGAGATTGATAATAAATGTCATATATAACTCTGTGACTAGAAAAAATATCAGCTTTTAACTCTTAATAATATAATAAATATTTAAAATCTATGATAAGCTTCACATGGCCAGTTCGCTAGAGTTTGTGAAACTGCACAAAAGTTTCCGTGCAGTGATAGATGGATATAATATAGGGATAGTACTCACTGCTTGAAGGTGAAGGAGCAGCTGAAGCTTTACAAATACAGTTGAATCGATGCTGATTGAAGCAAATGCCGTACCCTATCTTAGCTAATCAGTACAGGATTATACATCAGAACACTGTTATGAAAATATTTACGTACCTTCCTCTCGTAGAGAATCTCTACCTACACAGTCAAGGTAGTTTCCACAACATGTTACAGCGCGGGGCAGTGCATCTTATGAGGAGGGACTTCGAATTGTTAGTCCGTCCGAAACTCATGTAGTCCTCGTGCCACTTATCTTCGTGATGATTTACATGCATACCACAATATTTTTATTGGTTCATGTTAGCGGACGGAGGTTTAGCTGGATTAACTAATGCAAACCGAGCGCTTAACTAAGCTGAAATTTTATTGACAGATTCGAACTTTGACGCACTAATGGAAAATGCCGCGATCCCTGCATATTCAGACGACCATTTGAGCTGAAAAGTTTTTGTTTCTTTTTATGTGTCCTTAAGAGGGTACATACATGTACTCTTGATGGACTTCCGTAGCTTCCGCTACGTCTTAGCTACCAATGAGACGTTTGGAGGCCCGAAAGATGCGAACATCTAAATCGACATTTAACAGTTCAAGCCTATTTCAGAACTAACTGTGAGCTCTATCCGACTACATGAGTATGTGCATAGTGAGGACATGCTTACGTTATGAGCTTCCCATAGGCCACATGCTTGGATCTTTCACCCATCTCCCAACACAAGGACTAATTGCGGATCCATATTTTCTTTGCTTGCCAGATAGCCTCCCACGATCTCGAGAGGTTGCTCGAGGTCATGATCGAATCTTCTAGAATCCTAGACCTCGCAGAAGCTGATTCTGGCTAGAGGGAGGAAGCATGTGGGTTCTACAGACCTGCGCGTGTTCTTAGAATCGATCGATATGATACACGAAACGAATACTGAGATAAATGCCGACAGAAACACCAGCCAGTATAACAGGTCTTCAAGATTCAACATACACAATGTTGTGCATGAGATTGACCCATACTCCTCCAAAGCTCGAAAGCTAAAATGGATTGCTTAGAAATTCTCGCTATAAGAGATGGTGACAGGGATATTTGATCTCCCCAAGGGTGGAGAGGTGGAATGAAATATTTGGAGCCAAGCGCGATCTTATCGATCAGGCAAAGTCGGAATCACTCGCTATCACTCGAAGGTTTCACTGGTAAGCTGCACATCCCTGCTACAACCACCAGTTTCAGTTTTGCAAGATACTTTTGCGGATAAGGTTTTCGATAGTCCATCTAAAAAAGTTATTTTCGCGACCACTCATAATGCAGGGTTATATAGGACACCGAAATTACCCAACGAGGGCTCGGTAAAATGTTTCGAGACGAAGAATCGAGATCCCCGAAGCGATATCTACCCAGATACTATTATCAGTAGATATAACCCCTCTCTACTTTCTGCGCAAACAAAAGATACTGAGAATTTCAAGATGATCCACTTTTCGGGCCGGTTCTATGGCGTAAAATAGTGCAGAAAAACACAATTCAGATCTATTACAAGAGAGTATCAAGGGTGCGTGCAGTACAATCCTGCGTGGACAATATACGGCATTGTGAATGCATGGCTCCAAGCTCACCACATCGATAACTCCAATCCTCTCAACTCCCTAGAAGACGTTCCAAAGATAAAAGTTCTGGTAACTTACTTTACCGTCTAGCATAAAGACTCAATTCCTACTTAGGATGGGGATACTTCCCTCAGAAATATTTCTGCGGTAGCGGAAGGGAATTTGGTACAGTGTGTGGACTTTCCTTGGCTTTGTCTAGAGGTCTCGAGGTATGTGTACTTCAAGGGGAAACAGGAGGCACCTCTGCTTCGTTTGTGAACTTCTTGGCACTTCTTGGTATATCGATCTCTACATAGGCTACACAGAACTATCTGGCACCAGATAATTCCAGACCCCCACATATATGTATACAAAGCTTCTAGGTCAGATTTATACCACTTGAAGGAACATGTAAGTACCCCGGTTCTGAATAAATGGTGAGTTGATAAGAATCATGAAATCTCACTCGACCAAGGTATAGCAGTTGACAGCATGGTGAATCCGTCCGGCTACCGTCGGCACCCACCCTCCTTACTTATCAAAACACAACTTCCAAACTTGGATCCAACTGTTCATCAACCTCTGGGCAATCATTGTCAGCTTCCCTTTCTACTACTAGTTACTTGGCAGTATTAGTTGTGTAACCACTTGGCATACCAGGCGGCCAGGTCCGCAGAGTCCGTATTGTTAATGCCAACGGCGCCCGCGACTGCTTATCGTGTGTAGAGTACAATTATAATCCTGCCCGAACAACACGCTGGAGATCGATTTAAAGTTAAACTCTAAAACCCAGCACTATGGGTACACTAGGTTCGGAGATACCGCCGCAGCACGGGATGATACCCTTATTAAGAAGGCACATCTCCAGCGTGAGGAAGGTCGCGATGCTGGTACCCGCAATAGTAAGTGATGAGCGAAGAGCGGATTCATGATAGGCTTTCACCTGCCTGCAGTTTTTCGATGCTTCGTTCCGCGCGATGCCGCACTCTCTGATAAACAAGCAGCACAGAGTCGCAACGGCCATCTGATCCCCACAGAGTGATAGCAAAAACATTTAAATACCCCCCCTCAAGCCAAACATGCAGCAGAACGCTCATCTCCAGCCAGCGCTTCAAGTCCACGATGAAGCTCCTCCCCTCTCTCCTCCTCCTTGCCCCCGCCTGCCTTGCGCGCGAGAAGTCTGTCGATGAGGCCGCCCATGCCCGCTATGCCTCCGGCGATGTAATGGCTGAAATAATGGCCCAGAAGGAGGCGACCTGGCAGCACTACCGCGACGAGGGCTACTTTAAGCCTGGCCGTTACAGGTCCAGCAATGGTTTTTACCCCTGCGTTGACGGCTCCGTCACCGTCGGTGACGGTGCGAACAGCACTTTCCAGTGTCTGAACCTCGATGTGACGGGATACCTGACGCATGAGGATCTTGGGTCAACGAATGCTACAGAGCGGATTGGTATGTAGTTTTGTACGCTGGTTGGTAGCTTGCCTTGCTAAGAATGTCTGGTTTGGCTGATAGGTAGTTCGATCTGGGGGATCACGCTCGAGGGGCGTGAGTTTGCGATTATTGGACAGGCGGACGGAACGGCGTTTGCGGAGGTTGTGGGGAAGGGGTGGTGGAACTATGTCCCATATATTGGGAAGAAGGAGGGGACGTTGGATTATATTGGGAGGCTGCCGCAACATAGTGTTCCCATCATCTGGCGCGAGATTAAGACTTATAAGCACTATGCCATCATTGGCTCTGAGGCTGTTGGACATGGTATTCAGATTTTTGATTTGAGAAATGTGGGTATCCGGTCAGTGTTTGATGTCTGCTTTGACATATAAATTCTCATATAGTTGGTATAGCTCCTCGAGGTTAGGACTTGGTGGAACCGGCTGTCGACGGCAACAAAGACATTCGATATCGTGAAAGATGTTGTTGGCCACTTTGATAAACTCCCCGTCGGCCGCTCCCACAACGTTGTCATTGCCGAAGCCAGTCAACACATCATCGCCGTCGGCGCCCAGTAAGTCCCTCGAGCTCTTTAATATAATCCTTTCCTTACATCCACATCCTAACACCCCCACAGACCCCGCGACGATACCTGCCGATCCGGCCTCATCTTCATCGACGTCTCCGACCCCAGCAATCCTACGCAAACCGGCTGCGCCGCATCCGACGGCTACGTCCACGACGCCCAATGCCTGATCTACCGCGGCCCCGACACGCGCTACAATGGTGTTGAGATCTGCTACGGCTATAACGAAGACTCGCTCACCATCTACAACATCACCGACAAAGCCGACGCGCAGATCATCTCGCGCATCTCGTACGAGGGCGCATCATACACGCATCAGGGGTGGGTGCTGGACCCGGAGAACCAGGAGTTCTTGCTGATGGACGACGAGCTGGATGAGCAGAAGAAGGCCGGGGCGGCGGCGGACCAGAGGGCGACGACGTATATTTGGAATATTGCGAATCTAGAGAAGCCGATTTTAACGGGCACGTATAAGTCGGATGTGGTGTCGATCGATCATAATCAGTATGTGCATAAGGGGTTCTCGTATCAGAGTAATTATGGGGCGGGTATGCGTATTCTGGATGTGCAGGGGATTCCGAGTGATCCGACGGGGGGAAACATAAAAGAAGTGGCATTTATCGACAGTAAGTACTCTATCCCTCTTTAAACGAAAATACGTCGGGGTGGTAGTTGACTGATGATGAACACAGTTTTCCCGGACGACGACGCGGCGCCGGCAGCGACATTTATGGGTACGTGGGGCTCGTACGGATTCTTCGAGTCGGGCCATATTATTATTAATACGTATGACCGGGGCGTGTTTGTCGTAAAGAGGAGTAAGGAAGTTGTGGGCGGGTTCCGGGCGGAGTTTTGAGAGTGTCCGTTTGTATTTTCGCCTAATGATGTGGCTTGCATTCACCGAGTGACCGGGTATGATAGACTTGATCATGGGTGATCACTCGACTCTGAGATGTGACGGTCAGGGGGATGGTTTGTTATTTGCTCATGTCCCAGATATAATTCTGATAAGATAGGATGTACAAAATCAATAAATGTGGATCGGGTTTGTCTGTCTAGTCTCTGTCATGAAAATTACGAAGTGATTTATAACGCGGACTTATGTATTGGTCAGTTGAGGCGCTTATTGATGCGCACGCTAGATTCCTTACCCCATGTGAAAGCTGGGTCATCTCCTTGAGGATTGCATCTCACTATTGAAAGTGACCTTGTAATCATTAATGGAGTGTTGTTGACGAGATGGTACATACCAAAAACAGGGCAGTAGAAGCGAGTGATAAAATATGATCCACTGCACGTAAGCTCAAAATGCCACGTACCTCGCCCAAATTATTCACATCTAGGGCTACAAATCTCACAACCCCAAGGTCGACGAAAAAGCCACCGCCCAGTCTTGACGCTATCCGCCACCAGCTATACAAACCCCACACCCTTCCTTCTCCACAGAAATACTATCCGCTACTGATCCTCCATTCTTCCTCCCCCACTCGCGTACGGAGGCGGTTGATGATCTGTTCACCTTCTTGCGACTCGCGTAAAGCTTGTGACGCAAGAAGGTGGCCAGACCAACACTCGCCTGCGGGACGACTTGAGTGGGCGGGGGAGAACGTCCATTTTGGCCCTCCGAGCGGAGTGGGGGTACTGGGCTAGAGCGGGTTTGTTCCTCCTCGCTCTCCTGCCTCCCCCTCCCCTCCCCTCCCCTCCTCAGATGGGAGATATTGGAGCGGGCTCGCCCCCCTCCCCTTCCCCCTCCCAGTGCCTCGCTCCTTTGCCCCCCTCCCCTATCGGACCTTGGGCGCAGCCGAGGGTTCGAGAGGGGTTTCTCCTCCCGCTCCCATCCCCCGCTCCCATCCCCCGCTCCCATCCCCCTATCAGGCTCTGGGCGCCGCCGAGGGTCCGAGAGGGGTTTTGTCTTCCCCCCTCCCCAACCCTTATGGATTCTGGGCGGCGCTCAGAATCCAAAGAGATTTACCTGCCGCTCCTCCCTCCCCTCCCCCCCCCCCCTTACTACTCACCGACAAGGTGGGTTAGAGTTACTTTCTCCGGCCCCGTCCTCCCAGCCCTCCTCCCTCCTCCTCCCCACCCCTATTAGACCTTGGGCGCCGCTAAGGGTCTAAGAGGGTTTTTTATCTCTCCCTAGTTCCCCAATCCCTCAGCACCCAGTCCTCCAAGCTCCCCAGACCCCTCCCAAACCCGATTTGTCGGGGAGGGGCCAAGGGATGGCCGGAAAACCGAGTGATATTTGATGACTCAAATAAATGTAGTTTAGAAATGTAGGTAAAAGTTACTAATATAGTACTAATGAGAGTATCGTAGTAGTGAAATTCCCACAGTTGTATATTGTAGTTGTAATTTTCGGGGGAATGTATCGAGCGAGTTGTTTCTCAGGGTCTTTATTAGTCTCGTTGAGGGTTTGATAGTAGGTTTCTTCGATAAAATACTCCACAAATACCAACAACTCCGTCTCCGCACTTCTGATGGTCAGTTATTCTTAACTTTCAACTTGATCGAGTACTATGGGACTAATAAATCGATTGCATTTCTTCTCCATAGCAGCCCAATTTTTCTATCACTATACTCACGTGTTCACTAAATCAGATGCGGGAGTGAGTGTAGGCCTTTCGATGGTATCCGAGTCTTCAATAGTATAGTAACCCTATGGTACAAGATCGGGGCCCGAGGGGGGGGGGAGAGGGTTAATATAAACACAAAAATTAGCTTTGTGATAAACATTAACAGTTTTTGCGGTAAACTGCAGAATTATTTACCATAAACATTATCCCTTAAACCGTCAGGCGAAATTGAAATCAGCGGCACTCAAACCCTTTACGGTAATCGTGATAAAATCTACTCATCCAGTGTGGGAGTTGTAGTCTTCGGCATGTGGCTGCATTCGTTATGGGTCGTGATACATAGAAGTTTGTTTCCCGCGTTTCTTATATCACGGTTACCATAAAGGGTTTGAGTGCCGATTTTGATTTTGCCTGACGGTTTAAGGGATAAGCTCGTGGACCACACTAAGCATGTAGTAGAGCCGAGCACGTTGACGCACGTTTACTTTCTTCTTCCTCCCCCACCGTTGTTCTCCGTTGCTGGTCGTCGCCGCAGACATAACATCTCCGTTCCCCTACTGCGCCCATTGCCTAACGAGAACCTCCTATTCCTGATATACATATTTTATTTACATATTAAGATAACAAAAATATTTTAACACGATAAAAAGATCATCTGCATGGCCTGTACACAAAAAGAACAAAAGGTTGCATTGATAGTCAGAGCCATAGCTACAACCCCCACCCCTGGATTGAACCCTTAGCCTTCTGTAATCGAAGGGGGTCCAATCTCACGGTGTCCGTCCGGGGGCGAGTGTTAACCGTTAGGCCACACTCGCCATGTGTGTTTTTCGTCCCAGGTGCTATTTGAATGCCAAGGATACGGTTATTGCCATACCTCACTTAGCTTAAAGTAGTAACCATCACCCAGTTTATTTTGGGTTTATTGAAAACTGCAGAGTATAACTTAAACCCACTTATATTTTATCTTCATGGTACGAAGGTCCTTTGCCCATAAAACAACAGAAGTCAAGTTCTCAAGCATAACTATCCATATGTGCGACACCAACTCCGTTTTAATTTTCCAGGTATGTAAAAAAACACGATCAAAGAGGTAGGTAGGATTAATTACATATATATCTCCTCGAACCACCTCAATCTCATGGACCGCACCGCAACAGTGCACCAGGAGGAGACGTAATCTCGTATCCAGCTCTACCTCAGCACTGCAGTACTATATCGAGCCCCACGAAAAAAAAACCGCACCATGAACCGTTGAGACAGAGCAATGAAAGATTTTTCATGAAACCAGAACACCCCACCCGACACGAAGACAAGAGATATAACAGGCCAGAAGGGTAGTAGATACACATGAAAAGAGAGCACTTATGTGAAAGAGATATAGAGAAAGATACGAAAGGAAATTATAGATGCAGTAAGTGTAAGATCAGTGGGGTAAAATTTACATAGGCGTGCTTTTATGAGGTTTTTTATGCAGCGAGATACCCATGTTGCATTCTCCACCTAGTTTTGGAACAAAAACTGCATATCAGCAGGCGTCAACTTATCCATCGCGCCCTGATCACCGCCCACAGTGGCATGGATCATCCTCGCCTTCTTCTCCTGTAAGTCTAGGATACGGGACTCAATACTGTCCTCGATGATCAGCCTAGTGACCTTGCAGGCTCTTGTTTGGCCAATACGATGAATTCTGTCAGCAGCCTGCCACTCCACCGACGGATTCCACCACGGGTCCATGATGAACACCTGGGACGCCTCAATGAGATTTAGCGCAACACCTCCAGCTTTGAGAGAAACGAGGAAGACTGTGGTTTCCACATTCTCCATGAAGTGCTGAATGGTTGCATTGCGCTGACTGGGTGTCATGCTACCTTCCAGCATCGCAGTCTGGAAACCGGCCTTACGCAGCCTCCATTCTACCAATTGTAGCATGGATGTAAACTGGGAGAATACGATCGATTTTATCGTATGATTTTGGCTTCTAAGCTTATAAAGCTCTTCAACGAGAGCCTCGATCTTGGTCGAACTATGCCACTGGCTCATGTCGATACGATTGATGATAGAGTTCTTTTTGACAATTGTGCCCTCGTCAACCTCAATGGCAGGTGCAGTAAGGTCGATATTCAGCGTGATATGACACTTAGGGCAGTCCGGATTGGACTCGCCATCAAAACCAGAAATATACTCCTGTACACACATTCGGCAGAATGTGTGATGACATTTACTCTTGATGGCGTCCTCGGCTTCATCGTCGCAGAGAGAACAAACCAGAGTGTTCTGGCCGTCAAGAGCTTCCTTCTTAAGGACAAGATCCGGATGGTCCGCAAGTTGGCGCATACGAGTGATGAGAGTAAAGATATTCGCATAATTGTTCTGCGATAGAAATTAGAATACTGTGGGAAACTCAATTTATATAGAGCTTACCAAGACGACACCATGCGCAACGTATGTGTTGAACTTCCTCTTTGAATCACCGTATATCGAATCATAAACATCAAGTTCCTCCTCATTGAAGTAATCCCTTCTGACCTTCACGATTTTTGGTGGTAGCCCAAGATCATCAGCGCGCTCCTCCTTAGTACGTCGGAGCATGATGTGCTTCAGCAAAATCTGCAACTTCCCGAAAGCAGCCTTGCCAGGTCCCTCATTCCCGTGATTCTGGATAGGCTTGAGCAACTCGTGGTTGAAAAGACAAAGATGGTGCATTGGACTATGCCCACAGTCATCGCAACCACGATTAGCCTTAAATTTCCAGTTCAGCGACTTGCAAGGGCAGTTGCGGCAATAGTAGAAACTGAATGGATCTGCTTCAAGAAAGCGGAGAAGAGAGAAAAGCTCCCCAATGCGGTTCTGGAGCGGTGTTCCAGAAAGACAAAGCTTGTATTTTGTCTGCAGCGCAAACGCCGCCTTCGCAGATTTGCTCGATCGATCCTATTATGGTTAGTTATGCACTCGCAGTAGGAAAAGTTTGCCAAACCTTGATATTGTGCGCTTCGTCGAGAATCACCCTGTTAAATTTTAACATGTGTATGGGGCTATCCTGTTTGTAGATTCCATCCTTCCTCTTGAAACCGGTCGTCTGCTTCCTATATATGCTTTCCAGAACACTATAGGTAGTCATGATCACATCGGCCTGGGCCAATACCTCGGGGTCCTCCTCCCTGTTCGCACCATGGTAGGAGATCACGCTCAACGCGTTATTAGTGTGTTTCTTGATCTCGTTTTCCCACTGAACTAGTGCAACTGTTGGGGCTATAACCAAGTTCGGCTTTGCACGAGGCTCGGACATGAGTAAACCAATTGTCTGAATTGTCTTACCCATGCCCATTTCATCAGCAAGAATGCCGCCCCTGAAGATAGTTTGTTCTTGGGCGCGAAGCCAATTAAGACCCTCCAACTGGAAGGGCAACATAGTCAATGATAAACCGTCAGGCTGTGTGGCTTTCTCAACAGGAATCTTGGGACGCTGGTCAAGCTCATCCCAAACAGTCGCAAGCTCTGGATGCCGATGTAGAAGCTGCTGGCGGATAGTTTCATCCCTAGATCTACCAGGGAATCCTGGTCTTCTTCTAGGAGCTCTAGGGGCTCGATTTATTCGGCGGTGTGTTGTTGAAACTTCCAAACGAGGCATATCACCGTCATAAGCAATCCTGCGGTCAACCCACAAGCTTGTCCCTTCTTCATCGGAATCTTCACCAGCTGTCTCGATTTCTGAAAGGTCGCTACCAGAGAAGCTAGAGTCTGTCATGTCACTTGCTTCATCTTCTGTGATGTCTGGAACCTCCGTCAGAACTGCTGGCGGTTCGATGTCCGAAGATATATCAATTGGGGCCCTCCCCCCGCCCCCCGCTCTGTTTCCAGAGGAGCGGATTGGTTTGGCTGAAGGTTTGGCCTTAGCTTTACCTTTAACTTTTGCTTTTCCTTTGGCTTTACTTTTGCCTTTACCTCTAACTGGAGCGGGTTCGTCGAAATCCTCATCTAGGCTATCATCTTCATCGTCTTCGGGCTCAGAGAGCTCACTCTCTTCCAGGCTATCCTTGGCTGCTTCATCATCCGCTGTGTCTTCATTTTCGTCTTGAGAATCTGCAACCTCAAGACTAGTAGCAGAATATCTGGTTCTTCTAGTGGCAACAGAAACTACTACCTCTTTCCCCTTTCCCTTCGGGGGTCTAGAGGAAATGGTGCTGCTCCTAGAGCTTGGAGCAGTAGGAGGTGTATCTACGTCTTCCTCGTCAAGAGAATTGGCGTATGAATTGGCGGCCGTGGATGTTGATGAGCTCGCGGCTTTAGCTTCGTCGTTAACCTCAATTTCAATCCTAACGCTTTTTCTTGTGCGCTTTGCAGGGGGCTTGGAGACAGTTATAGCCTCATCGGTTAAATCCCCATCTGAATCAGATACATGGTTACGCTTATGTGTTCCTGTAGTGATGGTGCTAGTAGTGGCTTTGGGTGTTACTGCAGTGATAGTAGTAGTAGCTTTGGATGTGGCAGCAGCTTGACTTGTAGAAGCAGCAGTTTCCAGCCGAGTTGCTAGAAAGAAAAGATTTAGCGGAATATTCTGCAATTGAATAAAATAATAACTTACAAGAACGACGAGCAACCATCTTTAATGTGGTGGTCTATTTCCCTCAAATGGATTGTAGATGTGAATTCTTCAATTGTTGTGGTTGCTGTTTGCCACAATTCTCAATCTGAAGGGTCTGGAAATCGTCAAGGTCAGAAAAATACAAGCTCGTGTGTTGTTAGATGGAAAGAGTCTTATTTCATTGAAACATACCAATGAAGGAGGCTCAAGTGAATCTTTCCGGATCTTCACTGAGAACAAGGAACCTGTGTCGGGGGAGCTTATATAAGGATTGTCTGTGAACAAAAAAATATGTAGCTATGTCGACATGAAAGTGTTATATGACAAAGAGCGAAAGTAGGCAAGAGAGAGAGATGGACAACAAATTTTCAAGATGCAGAGATGGTAAAGAAGCGGAGTGACGGTGCACAGGTGGAAGGGAGGGGAAGAAAATTTGGGGAGGGAGGAAGAAGACAGCCAAGGGATGTTGTCTCAGTGGAATCGCAAGCAATGATTACAAGGTCCTCGGGCAAGGGACCAACCAAACTTCAAAACTTTCTTTAACGATTAATGTATTTACTAGCAATTACTGGTACCCACACAGTCCTCGGTAGATAGATACATGTGCTCTACATGTAGATAAGATAGGGGACAGAGCCGGGTGCACCATCTCACCTTGCTCTGCCTCCTTCGAACTTGCTACTAGTATATACAGCTAGCTATGGACCCTCATCGCACTGCGGGTCTTCGCGAGTGGCGATAAGCAGAGCGAGAGGAAAAAACGCGTCTCCCCAGTTGTTTGCGGGACACTTTACGCGTTGTGACTCCGACATGCATCAACCTTCGTGTTCGCCCGCCTTGGCAGTTGGCTAGTCGATTCTTTCCGGGTATCGAGAACGATTGTTTGGGTTAGAAGGATCGGATTCCTCTGGGGCGGGCAAGGATTAAGATTGTTGCCACTGCAGGGTGCTGCAGCCACTTTACACGCCCCCCCCGTTATCCGTAGGTCTGCGCGTTCCTCAGAATGCCGTCCTGATAGTTGGTGGTTGAGTTAGTGGTACACAACTCTAACACCTTCACTTCACCTCATATCACACATCCTCTGTTTTCTCGGGCCTCTTAGAATCTCCATCACACAAACCAAACCTTAGAAATGTGAATATGCTCTCTCTACACATAGATCCTCAAGCTAACAATCAACCAGGTCGAGACGAGACAGAGGAGGCAATGGCGTGCGTGGGCCGTAAGTTTCCATAATTCCGCCTAATATGGGAAAATCTGATACTGATAATTGATCTTTAGAAACTCGGCTATGACAGAATTCCTGCGCGTACGTCACACTACCCAGAAGTCGAAATTCGGGAAGCTTCAAAGCACCAAAAACAAAATTCGCTGACCTCACCATAGGACAAAGGAATCAATGCCGCTGATATCCGCCGCCGTGCACTTGAACGTGCTGAAGCCGCTGAAGCTGCTGAAGCTGCTGAAGGTGAAGTTTCGTCTCCAGCACCAGCCTCGGCCCCAACCACTCGTCGCCGTCGTGGGCAACCTGAGAGCGAAGCCGGTCCTTCCACGGAGCAGCCTTCCTCCTCAACAGCTGCAGAAACTAAAAAACGAAAGAAGGATGGTTGGAGAATGAAATCTGTCTCAGTCCCTGGGCAAATCGCATTCTGTGCGGAATGTGATTGCCGTTTCACCGTGACAGCATATTCCCGCAACAGCCCAGACGGCGACGGATTACTATGCAACACATGCGGGGCACGTGATGCTGGTGCTAAGAAAAAGGAGAAGAAAAAGAGGGTTGTGGCCAAAAGGGGAAAGAAGGAGGGTGCAAAGAATATCCTAGATGGAAAAGTGTGGGGACCAAAAACTTTGAGGGAACTTTGTATCAATGTGAGCGCCTTGAAGGATGTCTGGGGTTCAAATATCTATTGCTATGGACTGCTGACTTAATATAGCTCGTTGCGAAATACATTGATGATGTTGAAGCTCTGGGTGATATCGGTGCAATGAACATGGATCTTATATGCCAGATCATTTCCCGAAACCGTAGGCTTAATAACAACACCATGAAGCTATTTCTAGACCCGGGAAGCACCAGACTCAATATTTATGATTGCTCCAGTAAGTTTTCATCTTGTTTTAAAGTGCCAAATACTCACCCATTAATTAAGTCCTAAGAATTCTTGGTAGCAACGACCTCACAAAATTTCTCAGGACTTAATTAACGCGCGAGTATTCCACCTCTAAAACATTCATTCTAACCCACCTTAGAAATCGAAGCCAACGAGCTCCAATCCATTGCTTCCGTCGTTCCTACTCTCCGCCACCTCTCCCTCTCCTTTTGTGGTAACATGACAGACACAGTTCTCACCTACTACGCGCACCAGCTACATTCTCTAAACTCCCTCCATCTTGGTGGCCCCTTCCTCGTCACAGTGGAATGCTATCACAGCTTCTTCAAGCTAGTCGGTTCCCGCCTTACAAGCCTCAAGCTCACCGACACTGCGCGCATCACTGCCTCTGTCATCGAGTCCATCGTTGACAACTGCCCCAACCTCACCGAGCTCCGTCTCTCCGACCTCAACAAATTTGATGACGAGTGCACGCGCCTCCTTACAGGCCTGACCAAGCTCGAGGTCCTCGAGATCTCAAGCCCCGGCCGCGAAGTCAGTGATAAAGCTATTATTGATCTCCTATCCTCCATTGGGGATGGATTAAAGGAGCTTGATCTCACCCGCTGCCAGGAGCTCACTGATGAAATCCTGCCGTTGATCCGCGCTCGGTGTACAGATCTACAGATCCTGACGCTGGAAGACTGTGAACAGCTTACCAACGAGGGTGTGGCTGCACTATTCACAGATTGGAGCAATTCGGGTCTCTCGCATCTAAATCTCTCACGCATCGTCAACTTGTCTGATGAAGCTCTTCACGCCGTCCTCGATCACTCAGGGACCAATCTAGAGGTCCTTAACCTCAACTCCTGTGGGAAACTGACCGACGTTGGGCTTGGAGCTCTCGGGAGGGGGTTTGGAAGGCTAGAGGAAATTGACTTGGGCTTTATTGGGGCCGTCAACGATAGCGTTCTAGAGGACTTGGGGAGGAGCTGCAAGGTACTAAAGACGATCAAAGTATGGGGCGTGTTGAGGTGCACTGGGTGTGCTAGCTTGCCTACTGGCTTGCAGGTGGTTGGCGTGCAGGAGATTGCTAGTCGTTGATACTCCCATATATATTCCGGTTTTCGTTTTCCCGAAGTCTCACAAGATGACATGCATGTTACAATCTTTATTTAGGAGTTTTCAAGGACCTTTTTCTCTCTTGAGCCATAGGTACCTATCAATATTCAATAAAATACCACATTTCTTTCAGTAGCTAAAGCTAAAGCACTTGATACCTTCCTAGAAAGCGGAGAGAGGAAAAGAAGAACTTAAGCCATAGAGATGGTTGTGGAGATTTAATGAGGAGCCCATCTCTTAAGTCCTTCAACAACCGAGTGATAGCCCATGATGACGGTTTACGCTCGACATCCATGACCTGAGGGAGGGCCGGAGGTGGGGACCACCCCCCATCCTGATCTTGGGATGCCTGTGGATACAAGAAGCCCCCCCGATTCCACAGCACCACACCGCACTAGTGTAGCTATAGCATGGTCCCTACATCTTGATGCTTCCAACATCAAACGTCCTTCATCCTCACCACAAACTTGGCCCCAAAAGTATACCCACCAACATGTAGGCACTCTCTCCTACACCACTTCCACTTCTTGAAGGGGTCGGACCTACGACCCTCCAATACCCCGATTAACGCGGCCCGAAAGCGGAATCAACACAAGGAAGGTAATGTCACCACTACACCACCGAAGCTGCTAGTGTATTTGGGGCGGAAAAAACCTATTTGAGCCTTATAGCGGATTTGGGGCACATCTTGGAGGTGATAAAACCTCATTTCGATTCGAAGTTGTTCTCGTATCAAGAAAGGGTACCGCCTACTATGTAACCCAGCTAGCCTCATATCACGCCGTACTAGTGTGTGATTTCATGGGAGGCATATCGTATATCGAGACGAGCCCAGATTGAAGGCACCCACCATCGTTCTTTATGGACAACGCCGGTTAGTTTCAACTCTCAAGGTCCCAAAACCCAAACATCCGCGCAGAACAGCGCCCTACAAAATAAACTCAAGAAACCAAACCAGCCCATACAAGTAGCTCTGAGCACCAGAAATCTACCTTTCGAAGCTTCCATACCAAACCCTGTACTCGCTAGCTCCCACAACCACGTGACACGAATGGAGCACCTCAACCCTAACCCACGACCCGTTTAAAGAATTTTTTTTTTCATCCCATCTCTTCTCCGACGTCAACCAACCACAACCAACAACCAACATCAACATCAACAACGACGTCTCACAGGTTGAAGGGATATTCTAGGTTTCATACTTCCTGTCACATAATTCAATAGACTCAGGATGTAAGCCTACCTTACCTTACTACTCTCTGTTTCGTTTCTCTTTTTTTTTTTGTTGTGGCGGATATATATGCAGCAAGCAGAGAGTTCTTCAGCGATTTTATACACCCCCAGGGATCAGCTGAGGAGCGGTTCTTATTATGAACGCGGGGTTACAAATGCTCCAGTCTTGCAAGAGTCAAAACCGTATGTTTGAGGCTGCTGTTGCCTGTACAGTGGAATTGTGGCCATAGAAAAGCGGGAAATTACAATACATACCCCTCCAATATCTGATATCTACATTTTTTTGTTTGTTTGTTTGCGCTCCTGCGCGGTGTTAGTAGAATCATGTATCTCCAACCATTTCCAAATAAACGGTCATTACCGCATTGCATTGTCCCACCAACGACCCAAAATCCTGCACAGTGACGCTGACCGCGGGGCCCCACCTCCCCCACCAGTCTCCCCAAGCCACCAAACCACCATGGACACCATCGCGCTCATCTCCGGCGGCAAAGACTCCTTCTTCTCCCTCCTCCACGCCATCTCCAACAACCACCGCATAGTCGCCCTCGCCAACCTGCACCCGCCCACGCCCAACACCCCCGCCACCACAACCACCATCCACCCCACCGCCGCCGCCCCGCCCACCTTCACGGCCCCCGCCGCCGCCACCCCCGACGAGCTCGACTCCTTCATGTACCAGACGGTCGGCCACGCGCTGCTCCCCTTCTACCCCCACGCGCTCTCCCTCCCGCTCTACCGCCACCCCATCACGGGCCGCAGCGCCGACCAGAACCTCGCCTACTCCCTGACCGCCAACGACGAGACCGAAGACCTGCTGCCGCTGCTGCGCCACATCATGGCGCGCCACCCGGGCGTCAAGGCAGTCTGCACGGGCGCCATCCTGAGCACGTACCAGCGCACGCGCATCGAGAGCGTGTGTGCGCGGCTGGGGCTGACGTCGCTGTCGTATCTGTGGCAGCGCGGGCAGGGGGCGCTGCTGGAGGAGATGGCGGGCGTGGGGCTGGAGCCGCGGATCGTGAAGGTTGCGGCGGTGGGGCTGGATGCGGAGCGGTGGGTGTGGAGGTGTGTGGTTGACCCGGCGGTCAGGATGGAGCTGGAGGGGCTGAGGAGGAGGTGGGGGGTGCATGTGGCGGGCGAGGGCGGGGAGTATGAGACGATTGTGGTGGATGGGCCCGGGTGGAGGGGGAGGATTGAGGTGGAGGAGGGGCAGAGGGAGATTGTGGAGGGTGCGGGAGGGGTCGGGCATCTGAAGGTGCTCGGCGCGAGGTTTGTGGAGAGGGAAGGAGAGGCGGTGGGGCAAGAGGAGTGGGTGAAGGACCTGAGGAAGCCGGGTCTGTGGGATAAGGTATTTGCGGACATTCTGAGGATCATTGACACCGGGGACGATATCACTCCCGCAGAATCGCCGAAAAGCACCATACCACTCTCCGGCGGCCCCAGCATCCCCACCGCCCAAACCTCCCAGTCCGGAAATCTCGTATTCATAACCAACCTCTCCAGCCCCTCCCCCACCTCCACCATCACCGAAGAAGCCCAGTCCGTAATGACCCTCCTCTCCCAGAACCTCTCCACCCTCAACACCTCCTTCTCCTCCATCACCTCCACCACCCTCCTCCTCCGCTCCATGTCCGACTTTGCCGCCATAAACAGCGTCTACTCCTCCTTCTTCACCGCCCCCAACCCGCCCTCCCGCGTCTGCGTCTCCGTCGGCTCCCGCCTCCCAGCCAACACCAACATCCTCCTCTCCGCAACCATCGACCTCCCCGCCAAGTCCCCGCGCAAAGGGCTGCACGTCCAGTCCCGCTCCTACTGGGCACCCGCCAACATCGGCCCCTACTCCCAGGCCATCAGTGTCGACGGGTGGACAGCGCTCGCGGGGATGGTCCCGCTCGTCCCAAGCTCCATGGAGGTGCTCAACCCTGGCGCCAGCCGCGCTGACGTGAGTGCGCAGGCGGTCATGGCGCTCCAGCATATGTGGCGGGTTGCGACAGCGACCGAGGTGACGGTGCTGTTGGGGTGTGTGGCGTATGTGGTGGGGCCTGTGGGCGCGGCGGCGGCCACGGCGGCGTGGAAAGAGCTGTGGAGGGGATGGAAGGGCGAGGCGGGGTGGAAGGGGCTGTTTGGGGCCGATGAGGACGAGGAGGAGGAGGATGATGATGAGGAGCCGGCGGAGGTTGAGACGGGTGTACGGCCGCCGCTGCTTATAGTCTCGGTGGAAGAGCTGCCGCGTGGCTGTGCGGTCGAGTGGGCGGGCGTGGGCTTTGATCCGGAGTGGATCCAGAGGGCGCGGGGTGAGTACTACACCGATGATGACAACGACGACTCGAAGGCCAGCGACGACTGGGGCGTCAAGGCGTGCGCCGAGACATGCAGCAGCGGGATCGTGACCTCGTCTGGCGTCTATTACGGCGGGTGGGCGAATGGCCGGAGCATCTGTGGTGGCGGGGTGGGGATACTCTGTCTGCCTGTTTCTTCGGAGGTGGATAGGTGCACGGCTCTGGCGCAGGAGGTGGCAGAGAAGGTGGGTGCCGAGGTGATGGGCTTTGGGGCTGCGGAGGCAAGGGTGTATATTCCGGCTGTGACGGGAACGGTGAGCGAGTTCTCGGCGGCCTGGGGGAAAGCGATGTGTGAGACGAAGGTGGCGGTCATGTTTGTGCCTGTTGAGCAGGTGTGGGACTGCGACGGCCAGTTGGCGGGGCTGGGTGCTGTGGTGAGGAGGGTTGGGCGGATGGCTGCGTGAGCTGCTTTGACAAGGGAGACTTTTACTGTGTCGTTTTGAGAAACGACTGTATGCACTACATAAATAGACCCCACATAATCGCCGTCTCGGCCTTTCTCTCCATTTAACATGATCTTACATAGCCGTAGAACATCACTTATCTCATGAATTGCTCCTCTCTCATCCAGATTGAATACTCCACCATCGCCAAATCTCAATTTAGAGGGATAACCAGTGCACCAAGAAGATGATTTCTAAAGGAGATTATCCGCAATGGAAGCAATCAGATTTAATCAAAGCTAACGGCATCTTTGCGCAATTAGAGCAATGTCAAAGGTACTAACATCTTAGGCGCGAAGCTGGTCATTCGGTAGCTCATCACAGGCTATCACTCGCACTAAAATCTTCCAACCAGGGTCCTAGACCAATGAGATGGAGGCTATTTCGCACTAGTAATATTGACATCTGATAAGATCATAGAGCCTATTCAACCCTTGCCATTTTTTTTTTTTTTTTTAGCACAGTAGGCGCAAAATCCAAGACGTAGCCTCTCGACCCATTCCATGGGAAATGCTTATGTAGAATTATTCATTCTGAGGCCTAGGCGCCAATTGGTGGCGTTTATTGCGAAGAACTTTTCTGGTAGGAAGCCACTTCCGCAATTGCAGTGTCAAGTTTAAAGCCCGCATACGCAGGGCCTGATTGATAATGATTTCGTGCTATTTCTGACGTTGTCACTTTGCTCGTTTTTGAGATGCTTGCATCCGTGAGTTGTTACTCTGGATTGATGTACAGTGTCCTCATATGTACGGATAGAGTACTCCTCTTTGGATCGAGAGCAGCGGTACTCTAGAGCATGTAGATATGCTGATCCTCCGGGTTAACATTTGTGGTTCGAGGTTGATGGGACGGTTCCCACTCGTGATTGGACGCTGTTTACCGGGATGTCCAGCGAATACCGAGGTCGCGCGGGATAAACACCTAGAGTACTTAGTAGCAAGTAGTAGCTCCACTCCCTTTTACTGGCGGCTACCAATACGTGTCACTTCTCTGTGGCTCTACCTGAAAGGCGCAGTATAATTTTTCAATGCCCCCAGCTACTGCGAGTATTTGTATTTCTGATCCTTCCTGCGTCCTGGCCAGCCGGGGTCTCTCGGCAGTATGTACCAACTTTATCGTTATCAAAAGTGCCTCTACGATAAACATTCCCAAGTGTGAAGTGCGTCGTCATAGTCGTAGTAATCGTTCTGAAACAAAACGGTTTCTTTCTTGACTTTTAACGTGTAACGTCGGCGGGTTGGCCCTGCAAGCACGTTTTTTTTTTTTTTATCGACCCTGAAATTGCGGCTCTGTAATCGAAGGGAGGGTCCGAAAATCAGCACCTTTTTGGGTCTTTTTCCCTGCATATGACAAATTTCACTTCAATTGTTTTTTTGCCAGCTCAGGAAAATTTCTATAGGTTTTTCGCAATTTTGGGTTAAAGGCTTCGTTGTGTATTACTATTCGCAGTAATACTGCTGACAGAGAACGACGTCCAGACCTCACGCTGGAAACCACCGCTACCCGAAAACGAGCCGGAAAAACCCCTAGTGGCCTCGTTGTGCCAGGGTCCAGCTTTAAAAAGCTGGGGAAACCTCTCAACTCAGCTTAGCGGGCTTCGAGCCGAGATCTTTAAACCCTGTCGATAAGCTCGCATTAATCAGCCACGGGTCTCTATATTCGGTCCCCAGAGTCGAAGCTCTGAATGGCCTCGTTGCCAGTGAGGGTCCTATAGGACTGATATCCCCTAACCCTAGTGCTTCCCGTCTTTTCTCCTCCCTTCTGTCCGTTCTATCCCCACTTCTATCCTCCTTCACCTCCTCTTCATCCCCTTTCATCTATCTATATTAACCCCACTATTCCCCTCGTCCCACACCCCGTTAATCAATCTTCCCTCCCTATCTTGCTATCTTCCATCCTCTAGCTTTCTAGAGATAATTATACCCCCCCTCATCAGCCTAGAACATCAAAGATGGCATCAGCAGCTCGCACTATCACTCGGCTCGCCCCGAAGAACATCTCCTTCACACCCCTCCGAAGGAATCTTACAACCGCCTCACATGCCCGACCATCAACAAAGATAGCCTCTCCTATCAGGCAGGCACCCCGCCGAGGCTATGCCTCGGAAGCTCCTGGCGGTGGTAGCGGAAGGGGTGTCTTTGTTGGATTGACTCTTGCCGCCCTCGGTGGTGCGGGGTACTACCTCTACTCTACCGACCAGCTATCAGCTATCACCGGATTGGCCGGTGGCAAGTCAAGCACAAAGCCTCCAGGCCCCTTCCAGCCCACCAAGGAGGACTACCAGAAGGTTTACAACGATGTTGCAGAGCTCTTGGACAGCAATGATGAATACGACGATGGCTCTTACGGCCCAGTAAGTTTTCTTTGAACTCAATTGGCAAATGAGATGGTTTTAAGGGCTTTTGTGGCTGACTGTTTCACCAATCAGGTCCTTGTTCGTCTCGGATGGCACGCCTCTGGAACCTACGACAAAGAGACCAAGACAGGTGGCTCCAACGGTGCCACCATGCGATTTGCCCCCGAGTCTGATCATGGGGCCAATGCGGGGTTGAGGACTGCTCGTGATGTTCTAGAGAAAGTCAAGGACAAGCACCCATGGATCAGCTACTCTGATCTGTGGACCCTTGCAGCTGTTGCTGCCATTCAGGAGATGGGTGGACCTAAGATCCCATGGAGGCCCGGACGTAACGACAGGGACGTTGCCGCTTGCACTCCTGATGGTCGTCTTCCCGATGCTTCCAAGGAGCAGAGGCATTTGAGGGATATCTTCTACCGCATGGGCTTCAATGACCAAGAGATTGTGGCACTTTCCGGTGCCCACGCTCTTGGTCGATGCCACACTGACCGATCAGGATTCGATGGTGAGTTATTTTTTCTTATCTGTTGTAAACAGAATTCTTAATCGGGTTACTAATATCTATCAGGACCATGGACATTCTCTCCTACTGTCTTCACCAACGACTTCTACAAGCTCCTTATTGAGGAGAAGTGGTCATGGAAGAAGTGGAACGGTCCCAAGCAGTTCGAGGACGTTTCCAGCAAGTCCCTCATGATGTTGCCCACAGACATGGCCCTTATCAAGGACAAGGTCTTCCGTAAGCACGTTGAGGCATACGCCAAGGACAACGAACTCTTCTTCAAGGACTTTGCAGATGTTTTTGCAAGGTTGTTGGAGTTGGGAGTGCCCTTCAAGCAGGAGGAGAAATTCGTCTTTAAGGCCACCACCGATTAAAGTATGAGTATTGATCGAGGGGATGGGAAGATCGAGTGCGATGGTACCATTTTGGGGCATTCTGCGACTAGGGTGATTGTTGCGATACCACTGCCAGCGTATGGTTTTTTGTATTTTGCGTAATATCCATGGCGTCATGTTTTTTGTTCTTATTTTTCGCTGGAACCTAGAGTGTTTAGCGAAGGGATCCTAGTTTTTTTTTTTCCTTTTTTTTTTTTCCTGCATATAATTAGTTGAGAATTAAGACTGGTTACTATGATCATATTGTTCCCCAATTGTAACTATTGGAATCATCTACTCGGAATCTACTCTGCCTATCGGGATTCTCGGTTATTCTCGGTCAAGTTGCTTAAGTTCTGTTCGATGTGTTGCATCTGCAAAATTAAAAATAAAGCAGACACTGTGTTCTAAATGAAGCCCATCAAACCCCTGCACCCTATATTTTGTGATGCCTCCCGCGTATGGTGCATGCCGCCGTTGTGCCTGGGCTCCATCTCCGCGGGGGCCATGGGGACCGCCCGATTGTCTATAATATCACGAAGATATTAAAGGGCAGTTGGAGTGCGGGGTACAGTTATGCAGCGCCCCCCCGAGGGCACACAAGCCAATGTTATCTGTGGCTTTTGCAATCAAGCTTTGTGATGCTGCTGCAGGGTCGGATGGCGGAATCATAGGCTATCACTCACGTGGAGCGAGGGTTAGTGGCATGCAAGGAGAGAGCTTGCAATTGGGTGGTAGCGTGCATCCTGGAGAACCTGTGAGATAGTGGGGGGGGAGGTGAAGTGAGCATGAGCATGAGATGAGGGGTCTAGATGGAGGTGGGGGCGCTCAGAGATATATTATAGCTCTGGTTTTAATATACACCTCTCGCTTTGGTGCGTGTGGCCGTGGGCGAGGAGATGGCCTTGGCAGTATACGTATAGATTTATATATGTATAATTCCCCTAGATGACGCGAGTCGGTTTCGGCTTCCCGTTCGACACGTGCGGGAGGCCTAAGATCTAGAGCATCTCTTCTATCACCCCACCACCCCGCCACCAGCTGTACCGCGGTCCAGCATCATACATCAACCCCTCCAGCTATATCACCAGCGCCCCGTCGTCACTCCGTCCATGAGCCATCACCTTTGTCCCCCAAACTGGCTGCTTGCTGACGTCTAGTCTGGTCGAAACGCAGCTCATCGACGCTTACTCGGGGTTCTCGATGATTTACCTAATCCAAACCTCCACCCCGGACCCCGCCTTCGGAGATCATCCTCGGGTTACCGATTACTTGTTGACGTCTATAGACAATTTAGTTCCTCCGGGTCCGCTCGGAAGGTTATCTACCCCGCCAAACACCCCCACCAACCCACATCAACGCCTCCACCAAACTGGAAAGACCGGAAGGATCCGTAACACTGGTGGATCAACTACACGCATTGCCCCGGCTACGTTCGGAGGTGTTGAGGGAGGCGGAAGCAGGGGAAAGCATCAGAAATATTTTATCATGTTTCGTGGTAGTGTGTACCCCTGTCAGAAATATTCACCGAGTGATATTTCGTGATTGATGATATTCAAGCCACCACACTATCACCGAGCCGGCTACCTCTCTCATAGCGGTCCACCTCGTGGGGCATACTAGCCCAGGTTCTGCTTCTGCTGTTTGTTTACCGAGGTAGTCAGGACCGATTCCCTCCGGGTGGTAATGGACGTGTGGGAAAATATTTAGCGGATGCATGTATGGCGAGATCCTGCATGAGATTTAGCATTTGCATTCATAGAGATGATTCATGGCTATGTCATCATCCATGGAAGGCAGCCAGCTACTTACTCCCCCAGGTCTTGTCCGCCCAGGTCTGGGTCTTGTCCGCCCAGGTCTGGGCCCTGGCTCATGCTTTGAGACTTTTGCGAAGGCCGAGCATCAATGATACAGAGAATCGGTGAAAAATATGACAATGGATGGACGGCATGCCTAACCAAAAAATACTCTGTCCATGATAAGTTCCGAACCGGGGAGAGCTTCCACGCTGGTCAATTTGGTACTCTGATATCAACTAAGTTGGCCAATGACGTACAGGGCTAAAGGATTGATCTGTTTATGGGTTTGACGCCGTCTCCGCCGTTGCTAATTGATTGAAAAGGACAAAAAGGAGTGTTACCTATATGGTGCCCTAAGAAGATGAATACGAAGTGCCTAGAACAACCGCAGTATCAAACTCCCCCTATATGTATAATTCTGCTCGTCAATTAAAAAAGAAGAAGTACGTCAAGAGCCCCCACCTGGGGGCCAAAGTTGCTAATGGCTCGCAGCTATGGTACTGAGTCTTACCACTATCCCATCGACTGTAAAAACCGTTTTGTGGTTCAACCGTGTACCGAATTATTTATCATGTTTCCGCAACTGGCAACCACACATGAAAAAAAAAAAAAATATCATTATGAGATATAACTATATCAAACTCGCCCGAATGCGCTTACAGTCGATGGGATACCGCTGGACCATCCAACCCACACTGACAGGTGTTCTTTTGGTAGTGTTGACTTCATATTCATCCGCTCTCAGTTTACGCTAGCTTTGCAATACTTTATGGGAGAACCCGGAGCTGGAACGTGCTCTACACTAACGCACCTCTACATTGTACCACTTGCAGATCCATGTTAATGACGTTTATCATCGTTTTTGTTCTCTTATATTTACATAATTTAGGGTTGTGTCAATACAAAATCTCATTTTATCCCCAAGACCCACTACTATCGCTCCAGAAGACAAGAAAATAAACAGATTACCCATATATTCTCCTCTTAAGTCCATGTAGCTTCGTTATTTTGGGCGTCCCGGGTAATTTTTTGAAATGCTCTCCTCCGTCTACTTTGATGTTGCTGCAAGCACCCATTTTTCATAAATTTCTTGTGTATCTTCATGTATCTACATGTAGTTATATTATTAGTACCGGAATTTCTCTATAACAATAATATACCCACTCTTTTAAGCTCGCGCTTTTCCACGCCTTGAATCCTCCCGATCTCGATTATCATTTTTTAATTACATAGTTCCGATGTCTTGTTTTCTGTTACCTAAAGTCTAACGAACGGGTTGGATTATGTACCGAGGGATTCATTGCCCTATTTCTTTACGGAGGCTTCATTGATAATATGATCTGGCAGACACCTCCCCGACCCGCTGTTACGGGGCTCTCGGCACAGTTTACCACATTCACTCCGTTTGTCAGCGGGACTCTCCCTTCGTCACCGGTGGATAACATCCGGTCAACAGAGCCGAACACCGCCCGTAACACCGCAGCCGAGTGATATCCTATGCTCCGTGACCATCACCACCCACGCCAAGAACAAACCCCCAAACACCACCGTCCGGCCAAATCACCAAACATTTCTTTTCTTATCTGGCCGCTCTCTACACAGTCAGAGTTTGAATCAGAAATATCCCATCTCACTTTTAGTCACAAGCTGGTACCTAAAGCAACCAGAACATTCCACCACTACCAACCACCCCCGATAACGAGATAGGTACACCCGATTATCAACATCCCGCTGACACTATCATTACCCCCCCCCCCCCCCCCCCCTCTCGATTACTAACCATGTGGCGATCATCCTCCTCCAAAGCACTAGTACACACCTAGAGTAGATATCATAGGTCTTGTGGGCCCATGGGTGCTGACCAGCCTCGCCTCGCCTCGCCTCGTGGGCCAGGCACAACAAGAACGTCATCGCTGGACCCCAGCGTCTCCAGCGTTTGTTTAATTCACGTCACGAACCAGACGGACTGAGTGGCTTCGGAAGGGCCTATGGAGGGTGTTTTGTATGTATGGTATGGTTGGACAAACTACATCATAGCTATGCGACTCGCAGCAAGAAACCAGGTTATTGTGTCGAATGGGAGTGAGTGGTGGTGTTGTTTCCTGGTCGACGGATTCAGGAACATACAATAATATACATAGAGCTGCTCATGCTCAGAAACCCCCCAATAAGCCTGTGTAGAAGTGTAAAAGGGTGCTCATGATCTACGCCCGCCCGCTTTTGCTTACATTCCAGATCACACCATATACGCCATCCCAACTACTCTATCGATGATCTCCAAACTTTCCCCATCATCTCGCCCACCGTTTTCCCGTGACATGACACTCTCTGTAGAGTTGGTACTCTAGATCTACTTACTTCCAGGCTCCCCGGTTCCCCCAGCTACCAAACACCTCTCACACACGCAGCGACTGCAAACGCCCAAAAGCCAGGATCCCAGTTCTTGGCTGTTTGCTCTGTTTGTTCCTTATGAAGTCATCGTGCCGCGCCGGTAGTTGCATGTTGGTTGCTCCTTAATATTGCTCAGGACCTTTCAAGCCTCAAGCCTTGGCAAGAGAGGAGCTTATTCATCTGACCAAGACAGAGACAGCTTCCCCCACACACACACCAAGCTGTCATGCTAGTTCCTTCCCGTCCTGCACAGCGCCCACATCTGACAAGGTTGCTGGGCAGTGCTAGAGCGCTCCAAGAGATGCTAGAAGGTGCAGGGGGTCAGGTACTCAAGGTAGAGTACATACATAGAGCACGGTACTTTCAGCTTTGCGCACTCTACCTATCTAGACCAAGTACACAACCTGCCCAGATACATCCTCCTGCTCTTTGTTTTTGTAACGGTGGTCACTGGTCAGTTGACATGTCAACGGGGTTCGTGGCCACCGTCGCGGTTGAGAAGGGTTATGTACTTTATTAAAATACCTGCGCAGAAAAAAACCAGGTCACGTTGCCTCGAGACAGCAGGGAAGGGCTTGTCTCAGTACGTAACAAAAAAGGAAGTAGAGTACCTGCCTGGAATAATTTCCGCCCCCACTTTAGGTACCCTACGAGTCTACAAGTCCCCCGCTTGTTGTTACTGCTGCCTGAGACTGGGCTGGCCGGGACGACGGGGAACACATATTTAAGCAACCCTTGTTTTTGTTATCATATATCTTTAATAGCCATATACACTGAATATGCGCCCCCGTTATAGAAACAAGAACCAAGAAGAGATATGTAGAGAGAACAGCTAACTACTCCATACCCATGCATGACCCTTATTCGAAGAAAGCAAGAAAAGACGGAAATAATGAAAACGGAAATAAAAACACAAATTCCTCTGTAAAGGTGAAAAATCAAGACGCCGCCATAATATTCGTACACCAATTCAAAAAAAAAAAAAAAAAAAAAAAAAAAAAAAAAAAAAAAAAAAAAAAGTAGAGAAGAGAAAAGTAATTCAAAACCGCCCCGTACCCCTTCCCGCAGAGACCTGACTAGAAGAATATAAGAACAAAACATCTCAAAAGAAATTTAACAGAATAAGTTTGAATCAAAAATAAGTCTGCCACACTAAAAATTTCTCAGTTGAGAATCGCCCGCTGCCTGCTCCTAGTATGCGGTACCCTTGAAGAAAAGAATTGTAAAAGACAAAACGCCATAGAAGCACAAACCACACCTTTCCGAGAGCCTCCGGAAAGTGAAAAGGTACCAGCTCGAAAGAGTGCTGCTTGAAATGAAACCCAGACCCTTGAAAACAAACACAATAGAAAGAATGAAAGGAGGACGAAAGGAGAAAAACAAAAATAAACTTGTGGTCGACAGCTTATAGCCAACTACTCGCTCACAATCTCTGAATATTCATGAGAGGCAAACGTAAGGATAAAAATAATAATCTCGACTGGGGATTATTTCGGAGACATCCCCATCCCCAAACCCATGACCGGAGACATGGAGGGTAGATGCGGAGAGCCGTGGTTGGAGTGGATGGACTGAATTCCAGAAGATCGTTTCGACATAATCATTGCAGACTTCTTCTTCAAACAACCAAGTCTGACACGAATGCTTTCCATGTCTACAAAGGATTAGAACTGGCTTATAGTAAAGGCATCGAAACTAAGGAGAAAACACTCACACTTCTCTACGATTCGCCTATCTTCCTCCTCCATCTGTCCGCAATCCGCCTCATTCTCACTGGAATCTCTTTCCAAAACAGCTTCCAGCATCCGGATTGAAGTGACATAAGCCACCTCACACCCATTGAGATCCTCTCCGATCAATTCATTGACGGCTGCCGCATTACTCATCTCGAGAGCGCGGTCATACATCAATTTCTCGGCAGTCACTCCAGGAGTAACTGCTACATTCTCCGTACCCGCACCCATGTCATCGTTATCTGGGTTGTTTCTTGGGTGACTTGGATGACTTCTCGGCAACTCCTTTTGTGCGTTCATCAATTTGATACGAACAAACTCAGCCTTTTCCAAAACTTCGTTGAATCGCTCTCGGACCCATAGAACGACACTGCTGACTCGGGCGCTAGCCATTTGAGCAGCTGGGCTCATCGATCCAGGTCGTGAGTTTGATGTAGACCACCAAGTGCTTGCAAATTCCATAGCCTTTGACAGCAATCCAAGTGCCTTCACGTACAAGACCAATGCCTCTTCGGCGAGCTGGACAACTGCATCTGGAGTTAGGTGCATGTCGCTGCTTCCCGGAGACGATTCGCCTCCAAACCCTAACTCTCCAGCACTGCCCGATGAAGGTAGCAATCCAAGCCCACGAGGTGCTGAAGGAGCCGACGGCACCAACTGTGCCCATTTGACTTCTGCGAAGTTGTACACAACGTCACTCCTACTCGCAGCATCTTCAATAGTTTGAATAGCCATCATATCATCTTCCGCGAGACCGCCAGCATTGCTGAGCATAACCATACTCCCGGGATTGTGTTGCGGGGGATATCCTGATTGCATGTTTGGTGGGCTCTGATTTGGTGGTGAGACACTGACGCCAAAAAGACGGGCATTGGCGATTTCTAATGCCTTTGCTAGTGTTGACCTCCCTGGCGAAGATCCATAACGTCGGTCATAGGACCCCTTAGAGTGAGATTGAACTTCAGGGCGTCGGCTGGTCACCGCAATAGCCCTCGAAGGCGTGGCCTGGTATCCACCAGGGATTCTACGTGACAGAGCGCTTGATGAGGGTGATGGTGTAGTTCGACCAGTTCCCCTAGTTGCAATCTCATCGGCAAAAGAGTTAACCTGTACATATTGTTTGTCGATGAAAACGTAGTCCTCCTTCTCTCCCTGCTCTTCTTCAACTGGTCGCATATCCCTACCACTTGGGGAGCGCTGGGAGTACCTGTCTCTGACTGGTTCTCCTCGCTCAATTCGTTCAACTCGTTCACCTCTTTGCACCAATAGTGAGCTACCAGGTGATGGATCTGTGCCTCTGCTCTGAACCCTCTCCATAGGCACAGCACCAGTATCTCTACCTGAATTCCACCCTTGCCTAGCTGGTGCAGTTGAATGATTTGTAAGTGAAGGGCGAGACTGTGGCCGTTCAAAAGCTGGTGATGATGGTCCAGCGGAAGGAATTTGTGTAGTGAGCCTTCGCTCAACCAATCGTGGTGAGGCCCCGGATGGGCTAAGGGTTGCAAAAGGCAAGGCGGATGACTCTACAGCTGTCCTAGTCCTTGGAGACGGTGGAATGTAGTGATGATCCGGTGCACTTCTTCCTGTCCCTTCTCGGTCGGCTTCAAGTGCCCTCTCGTCACGCGGTGTTCGCAGTGATGGGCTTCTCCTCATTGGCATTGCTTCGGTTCTGATAGCAGCCAAGCTACTTCTGGGTCTTATCGCCACCTCTGATACTAAGGGTGCCGGTGCACTTACAGCGGCACCAGGGATTTCATTTCGAACCACAGGGTGATCAAAAAACTCTTGAAATGACATCCTCTCAAGTGGGTTCCTCTTCAATAAACTGCGTACCAACCCTCGAATATCATCACTTGCTATACATTCTCTAGGGAAATCGATTTTATCATTTCGAGCCTCGATCTTCCTGAGCAAATCGACATGGTTGGGGGCACGGAAAGGCGGCCTTCCCGCGATCATTTCATAAAGAACTGTTCCGACAGACCAAAGATCCGCAGTGGCGTCGTACTTCTCGTATCGGAGGATTTCTGGTGCCATATAGAGTGGAGATCCGCAAAGAGTTTCTGCCATGGAAGTGGCAGGCAGAACTCTCGCAAACCCAAAATCTGCGAGCTTCAAGATGGGCAATGATGGGAGACCAACAAGAGCACGCGATCCTTCCAAGGGAAAAGGGTTTTCGGGGATATGTCCGTCCCAGCCTGGTGGTGGATCTAATAAGAGATTCTGGGGTTTCACGTCCCGATGAACCAGTCCGTCCTTCCTCAAGTACTCGAGCGCGCTCGCCAGTTGCTTCAAGAAATGTCTTACAACAACCTCGTGGAGTCCACTTCCCGGAACGGGCGGATAATCCTGCATTAGGCCTTCTAAGCAGGGGTGTATTTGATCTAAACGCTCTCTCTTCTTGATGATATGCGAAAGATCACCAACAGAGCAATATTCCATGATGAGATGGATGTACTTGTCAGTTTTCTTGCAGTCTGTGAGAGCTACAATGTGGGGGTGGTTTAGCTTCTTGAGAATTTGAATTTCTGATTCAAGATTCTCGAGGAGCTTTCGATTGAGCTTGGCTCTCTGAACGACTTTGATAGCGGCGATAGACTTATTTTTCTGTGTATCAGAAACAAACATTAGCCGTGTGGACCAATCATATAAATGCATCGTGAAAAAGCACGGGTTTTAAACGGGTCCAAAGCGAGCGGAGCCGCAAAGTTTATTTTCGAATGAGAGTTTCACGAATAGGATGAGGATGGCCAGCGAAGCAGCACAATCGAGGGTAGCGACAGCTCTTCACCATCGTCAGGGTGCATTGCAGGGTATCGAGAAGAGCACCAAAAAGTAAAACAGAAAACACCAACAAAACATACCGTATTGTGTGCCTTAAACACAACTGCGAATGATCCTCTACCAATTTCTGTACCTATTCTGTAATTTCCAACTTGCGTGTTCTCCACTGGTCCTCCTCCAGCAGATGATCGAGAAGCCATGGCTACAAAAAGCTCGGAGCTGGGGTATCGAGCCTAGATTCGAGACGATGTTTGAAGGGAGGAAGTAAATATTTTCCAAAGCTGCTACCGGGCTGGCGATGCTGTGGCAAATGTTGAAATGGTGGTGTTGCCTTTATGTGTCATACATACGACGGTCGAGCGACAGTCCTATCAAGTGTATGGGGAGACTATGCTAGCTAACAGTAGAAGACGCGCGGGACAAAAGGCGTTGTTCTAAACAGAAATGCGATAAGTGAATGGATAGACACAATATGGTCTAACGAGTAGAGTGTGTATTGAGAAGAAGGGTGTGTTGAACGAGAGATCCTGTGAGCGATGGGAACAAGAGAACAAGAGCTAGCTAGCTCAGGACGATATGTATTGGTAACCGAGATGGTTCGAAGGCGATATTGTGAGAGTGAATGAGATAATAGATGTGAGGAGATGTAGATGGAAAAAGAATATGTAAGTTGAAGTGAGGGAGGTGGTGGAAGAGGAGACAATACTTTCGAAGGGAGGGGGAGGCAGCGGACAAAAGGTGTGAGGAGAGGAGAGGAGGAGTTGAGAGAGGTGAATCACTAAAGGACGATAGTGAACGAGTAGATAGATAGGGAAGCCGCCAAGGTCCACCCGCGACGGCAACACACTCTAGATAGGCCTCCCCACAAAATGTCCGCCCTTGGATCAGGCCTCTCTGCTGTCTATGTATCTACAAGTAGCTCTATCCAACTGTTACGTGTGTGTGCTTCTTGTGGGAGAGGACCTGGCTGAAATGTATCTAGAGCACCTTACACTGCCACTACATAAACATACAGATAGCTACAGCTGTATTGGATGGCTGCACAGGACGGTTTTGTATCTGGCAGTCATAGAGTCATAGGTAACCCACTCAGAAATAAAAGAAACCCCAAGACCACGACTAACGGTCCCAAGACCCTCCCCAAAGACACCCGGCCACACATAAACAAGTAGAGTACGAGAGAGACTGTGCCCTTCTCTCTCCCAAATCCTGCCACCACTTGCTACCAGACCAGACCTACCTAGTCGGAGATTCCCAGATGGTGAGCGTCAACTGGCATATTGCGTCGCAGCTTAACAAACTAGCCGCGTCAGGTATGGTCCAAACGAGTATTCCCCTCTCCGGAAAAGCCAGTGTCTTAGGGAAAGCAGGGTAATTCACCTGCTTCAATCACATAGTTGGACGCCATCCATATCCATATCCATACCCCGTGTGTGATGAAGAGATATCCGTTCTGTGAAGGGCTGTAACTACCAGAAATATGGACATGTACAAGCTATCTGTTTCGACTCGATTGAGCGGTGGTACATGGTTTGTACACTGCAGTAGCATCATGCTGCTGTCGGTGTGCATCCAGGGTGCGTCGGTACTTCCTGGGGTCTAAAGATAACCTCGATAAGAGCCGCCGCCCCCATCACATCACTGACCAGCAAAAGAGTGCCATCCAATCCATTCCTCGTAAAAATTCCAAGAACCGTATGCCCTAAGAGTCCTACATTCTGCAAGTCCCTCAAGCGAGACTGAAATCCGAGTCCTGAGGATCCTTCCACGTTCGGCTTATTCCTGCAGGTTCCTCGCGACATGCGGGCCTGTTTCAGACACAAAAATCATAGTTACAATGTCATGTAGCCCAGGTCCTAGGAGTGAGGTTTACGTTTTGCTCGAAGGCGGAGGAGGCAGAAAGGGCAATTCATCACCCCTAGGGTAGTGAACGCATCAGGGCCTCTATGATTGGCCAGTGTGACTTGAGGTACATACCTCAAAAAACGTGGGATCAACTGTGGTCTTGTGCTCTTTCTGTGGGGAGAACAAACGAAAAAAGAACCCATAGCCCCGTTATCCGAAAGTTTAAGCCTAACTATCCTGGAGACTTTAAAACGTCCAAATTTCGCTCAGTCTCACACGTTATCAGATCATCTAATCTTCAATGTTACTTCCACCCCCTTGACCACTGCACTCTCCTCTTCGGAAACTTATGATGTGCTTTTTTGCCTGTCTGAGCTTCCCCGGACTTCTTGCTTCCGCGGCGATAAATCATGGCTTTAACATTGGTTTGACTGATGATGACATATTGACCCCCCATATCGTAAACAACACTTGGCCGCTTCGTCAAATTAGACATTCGGAGAAGGCTTCCTCAAAGAATAATAAAAAAATTCATAGGCATCCATGATCCATCCCTCTCTCCCCCGCAAATTGCACAGGATTACTCATACTTCCAACACACTTGCAGTACTGTGTGCTTTTGTATTATGATTCACAGCATGTTACCAGCGATCTATGAGCACCCCTTGGAGATATCGAGGCACCCACAGGCCAGTGGAATAAATACTTACCTGTAGGTACGTCGTAAATGTGATCGATCCACTGCCCGCTGCTACCTAACAACAACAGCAATGCCACAATTATTGACCACGGCAGAGGCCCACAGTCAGGTAGGTTAGCTAGTCATTTTTTTGTCTCCTCAATTAACGAGGATAGACGATTAGCCCCGTTGGAGGTGATTACTACATACCTGAAGCAACCACCGATACATGGTTTCTAGCTAGGGGAGATCAGACGGCCAACCACTTCTTATGATATGCGGTCCTGTGAGCAGGAGCAGAAACAGCTGTCTTCGACTTACCGGTACTGACTGTGACTGAGCTTGACTTGGACCGCGCCGCGGATGCCCAGTGAATAAATCCATCAGTCAATTGCGATTGAGACTACATCAACACAGCCGTCCCGTGCTTCTTTCTCATAAAGCTCAAAGCGAACCAAACGGACTGCCGTATGGAGCTTGGTTTTACATGTCACCATCGACAACAAGCGACGAAAGTGTCGATAAAATCAACATCGAATCACATCCTCCATTTTGAGCTGCATCTTTAGGCCGTGTATGCTCCGCATGGAGCTAGTAGTCCCATCATATCCCCACTGTGTTTCAGGATGTCCTAAACTCCAAGCAACTAAAACTAATAACGGATTCCGATGAGGCGTTATTCACGCGGGGAACGGGTGTTTGCAGAAACCAAGGAACTAAGCAATAATCATGTGCAGCTAAGTTTCTATCGGTTTGGTATGGCATTTCTAGCGATTAAAACGATTAAAACGATTAAAACGTCGGCGCTGTTGTCCAAGATAGTTATAGACTGGAATTCCCGAGAACTCGGTAAATCGGTTCGGCCGGTCGGCCCTTAAGCTGTATTTCGGATGAATAAGGCACAATCCTTGGTGGAATCAAACGGACGAGGAGGCGTTCCAGAAGCAGTCGGTTGGAAGAATAATAAATATTAAATTGCGTCTTGAATGTAACCGCGGGCCGAATCACGATCCTGATATCAGCTGGCGATTGTTGCCTGCATGAGAAGTCCAAGCTTTGTTCCTTTATCTACCCTGTATCCTCGTCCCTTATCTCTGGCAGCCAAATGAGGGTTCAACTGTTCAACGTCAGCGCCAAAAATATCTCGGATACTGCTTCTCCTGCTTCTCTTCTGGCAGAGACATGCCTTTACTCCGTACCACGACCTCGGATCCTGATATCTACTCTAGCAATTCCTAATATATATGCCTTGAGGCGCGCCCCTTCGCCCACCCCTTTCTTTTTTTGAAAGTTCATTTCTTACTGAGAGAACTCCGAAAGCACCCGTTTCCGAAAGAGGGCGGACCAGATAACCAATCTGTGCTCGCCCATATGCCCCATCGTCCGTTCCTCGGATACTCGCATTGAGTAAAGGCGTGTGGCGCTGTTAACAGCCTACTTTAAATCATGATATCGGGTGCGTACATTTGTGGACGTATGATACCTATCATCTGAAAGAAATCGTATCTCCTGAAGGGTGGTTCATATCGTCTATCTACTGGTCATCTCCTGGGGAAAGCAGTCGCTTCGGTGATCGTGAATCTCATCTTGATAAATAACCTTCCACTCGGTATCAATTTCAAATTACCTATACCTACACACGCTAGTTGCCTCCCGAGAACTGTTCGGTTGGCCACTTGATAGGAGATTCCCCTGCCTGCAAGATGCCTATTTTGTTTTCAATATTAGAGTCATAATATTACATGTGGTGACCTTTTTTGACTTCCCTTTGTTCGGCGCGCGCACATATATCAAATCACAAAGGACACCGAGGCCAACGGTCCTTTGTTATCCGTTTTGATTTCCCTATCTACTCTACCAAAACATTGGAATTCCATTCCAGACTGCGACGCAATGATAACCTTTGCATAAACAAGGGCAAGGGTTATCATTCCTCGTAAATTAGTTTTCCCTGCATATTCTCAAACATTAGGGCAAAGCCTAACCTGAGTATGAGGCACGCGGACACTTTTGTATGTAAATCGAAAATCCAGCGCAGAAATCTAGAAGGTCCTTATCCTGGGACTGCAGATGTACTCTATGCGAGCGCATAGCATCTACTCTATTCTGAGTACTCTACATATACGTGGCCATATCTGCGGCCACGCATGTGGAGGGTGTGGCTGGATCCATTGCGAGCCACATAGACGGTCCGGTCGTAGATAAGGAACCCCATTAATTGCATGTATGAAGAGTGGGGTAAGGCTAGGGGAAACGAAACATTCCTACAATCCGGGGTGAAGTGTACTGCGATGAGGGGGAGATGTCACGTATGTAGGTTATTCAGGCTCTTTTGCGGACACGACGTCGAGTGATTGTTTATGAAACAAGCGCAGTCAATCACTGATAGGATATTCTACCGACCCCACTAGACTCGGCCGTGAGACTCAGCCATGCCTGGGAACGCATGAGATGAACCCTCTCTATCTAGCTACTCGACGACCTAGTACTGGTACCCCACTGGAGTCCTATTGTTTGCTCACTGCAGAATGGTGAAGTGGCAGTAATAGTCAGTCGTCAGCCTAGTTCAGTCATCCCCACCACCATCATCATGGGATTGGGTACAACCACTGTACTACCGGATGATTAGTTAATCCGGAATACTAGTAAAGGTAACTCTACTGTCTCTCTTTGGTTCAATTGCGAAGTCTGCTGCTCTACTCAACCCATTAACTACTCATGCGCCGAGAGATATGCAGAAGCTCATTACGCCATTGATCAACCAGAGTACCTCAAGCGACAAAAGATTCGACCGGGTATGGTATGGTCTTTGTGTTGCGCACCATGTAATCCCATGCCATGCGGGTGGGACCATCCACTGCATAACTTCTCCGCAAAAATAACATTCCACTGAATTCATGAAGATCTGGCTGGCGAAACACATAGAGGTGAAACGATATTATAGCCGGGGGTTTTACGTTTTCTTGCTAGGGTGGTGATTCTTCCGAACACCTGCGAGTGTCATGAAACCCGCACCCGACGACGTCACTGGAAAGCACAGTCCTCTCTCCCCCCCTCTCCTTCCGGAAGAGAGGAGGGGGGGCGAAGGAATCATAGCCTGAATAATCATATACGTTTCTTGCACTTTTCGCGCGGATCGCAGAGCGGGCCTGCATAGGGCAGTTTCTTTCAAGGGACGGGGTAACTACTTGTGCTAAGCGGACTGGTTTATATGTGAGTATTCCGCCTAAGAATAAATGAGGCGGGCGGAGATGACAGAGTTGTGTGTGGTCTGACGGTTTGTAGTCATGAGCTGTCACTCGGTAACGGGTCTTCCTGGTGGGTATTTGGTTTCTAAGAAGTCAGTGGAGGTCCTTTGCCTATAAGCAGCGGGTGAAGCGGTCAACGGGAATTTGGAGTACATCATGTGGGATATCGCTGGCTGCGAATTGATCCGTTACTGGGCTCTGGGGGAATTGGCGCCATGTAAAGTTGGAGCTGGCTCTAAAGGAAAAAGGTTCAAAGCAGAAACCTGATACATATCTAGAGTTGGTTAGAAACCCTAGGATAGGGTAGAAAGCCATCTCTCCATAAATCGGGCGTCCAATGAGCTTACTCGAGCTATATTTATACCAGTACGTGTAGGCCAGCGAAGCTCGGTATTTTACTATGATTTGGACTGAGTCGGATAGAGGTACATACAAACATATACACTTCAACTTGACTGGACTTTGTGAGACACGTGCACTGTTTCAGTGAATCAAACTTTTTAAGGTTTGCTAGACAGCGCCCGGAATTCGATAGGCGATCCTGAAAGATTAATTGCTCTGGGCGGGCCCGTCGCGCACGCCGCACCCATCAACAACAGCCTGGCCCGGCCGGAGGGAGTATACCGACATATGATTGTCTAGACTAGATCAAAATTCCGGGCATTGTGGTAACCTGGAAATAGGGATGAGCTTAATGCGTGCATCAGAATTATCGCAAAAGTCTCCTGTGCGCTAGCTAGCTAGCTGCAGTCTGGATTTTCACGTAGTTTCAATAGCTGTACCACAGCTCCTCCCGACCCTCCGCACCGCTCGTGAGACGCAAGTCTCCTTGCTCTGGAGCAGCTATTTCTGATGCGTTTACCGCGGCCTTCATCGCATGGCCCGCCGGAGTATGAATGCGGCGGTGCGGCAGCAGCTAGTGTTTGGGCTGGCCTAAATAGGCGGTCCTCTTCCCGGGTGCTTCGGCCGGTCCGTGTTCGGCGGATGACGCGGGTAGGCAAAAAGATTTAGTTCTTTTTTAAGGTTCTAATGAAACGTGGTTATGAAGGGATCTGGTCAGGCACCCCTAATATATAGTGGTTTGGGCTTATTTGATGAGCGAGCATGAATTATATTTCGCCTACTATACGGGACTTGCCAGTTTGGCAGGTTTATGCAGCCTCTAGAAATAATGAAACCGAAGGGCGCATCTTACTGGGCCGCTATCGCAATGGGTTGGAATCCAATCAATGGAAGCCAAGCATAAAAACCTGTAATTTATCCTCCAGCTCGATCATTGACAGTTGCAACCATCACCTCGAATTTCAGGATAACTAAATGCCAACATTTTGTGGTTTCTGGAAAGTCAAGCGGGGTTTCGCTGTTGGTTATTGAGAGAACGGACAGAACGCAGAACTACGTTTTAGTGAGACACTAATTGGGAGGAAGTCTGCACCAAGGTCTGAGTTTGGTGCCGGTCCAGATAGACAGACCTACCACATCACCTCCTTCGAAGGTCCCAGCAAGCCACATTTAACCCTTGAGACATCCAGAGCGACGAACCGATGGCTATTTCAACTATGTACAGATTTGTCGTCCTGCATTGGCTCAAAGATACGTTCTTGCAGCCGGGCCGGCCCCGGGTGACAGCTACTCCAGATTGTCCGGCCTTTGGTCATAGCCACTAAAAAGAAGGAAAACAAAGAGAGACACCGGACCCGGGGAGCACAAATAACGGCCACGGGATCGAATCATTGGCCATAGGTATGTCAATTGCGATGTCCCAATGCGCGGCGCCCAGATTCATGCTCTGTTGGCACCCTCCCGGTCGATCATTGACAGTTGCGGCGAATGGACAACCCGAATTTCGGCACCGGTACCGGGGGCACATTCTTCGCAAACTCAACCCCAGCTCCTAAACTACTAAATACATGTAGGAAAGAAAAACTCTGGCCCCGCATAAGAACTGAGCTTTCATCTGGAAGAACATGTTACGGAGCTGGCCTGGGCTGGAGTTTACCAATTATTTCCTGTTGCTGGCTAGCTAGCAGCTGCAGCGAGTAAGTGTCTGTTTGTACTGCTCAATTATCAGCAGCCGGCTGATGCATAGGAAAGTGAAATTAGGATCATGGACGGGCTACTATCTGGAATAATAAGCGAGCGGGGGGCCACGGCTGGAACTGTATTTTGAGAGCCGTTAGGCCCGGCAATATCGACTCCTATTTGCGAGCAGGCGGCCCTGCGGTAAGGTGAAGAGATTTGATGTGCGTATACTTGCGGCATCTCCTCAGCCCGTGCACAGGACCCGGGGAAATACATGTATGGTTGCCGCTAGGCCGGAAAGAGTTGTCGGGTTTTACAATATCTCGACGGATACGAACCAAGGGGATACTTTCGACCGGGTGATGGTAAACGTCAGGCCAGCTTGTTGGTTTGGGGCCTGCGGTTTGGCGGCCATTAGCAGCTACATACATACTCGATTTGGACCGGACTCTAGATATAGGCCCAGAATCCTACTTTATGCTGGATACAAAGGCGAAGATGCGAGTTGGCTCCCAATTAATGGGTTTTGGAATACCTACCTCGTTGTGTAAAGCAAACGGAAGAAACCCTAACCCAGATGCAGCTGGTACCCTTTCTGGAAGAAACAGGCTGCTGGGCGTGAGCTACATGTCTTGTGCACGCCTCTTCTCTTGTCGTTAGCTCGTTGAATTCGTGGGGATTGGGGGGAGGGGTGCCGGTGGAGATGCTGCTGCTGCTGGATTGATCATTGCCAGTTAATATTCGCAACGGACATCTCGCTCGATCCCCGAGACCGCTACCAGAGATTACCCTCCGCAAATCAGTTTTTATTCTGGGGGTTAGGGCCGAGATGTGGTAGACAGTAAAGATGCGTAGGAGACCCTAGCCCTGAAAGCTAGGGCCTTTGCATGGTGCCATTAATACTGTTCCTGCGTATTGCTTGATAGCAAGAATCCGAGGTAGCTGGTAGTGGGACTAAGGGGAGGAGGTAAATTGGGGGGGTACTAGGTGCACGCTTCTACGCTGTGGTTTGAGACGGGTGGGCGGGGCTCTGACCGTAATGTGCACCTAACTACATACCTGGGTTGTGGTTGGGCTTCTGCTGGGCCACATGGTCCCGGCTGAGGAAATATGATGGCCCAGGTTTTACTTGTTGATGGGACGGGAAAACAGTTATTGTGAAGATTGGAAAGTTTGTCATAGTTGATGGTGGATTTGGATCTGGAGGCCGCTGTTTGTGTCCTCTGGATAGCTGCGCCGGACGGAAAGGATGCCCCGAATGTTTGGGTCGGTGCTGACCTAGGTGCCATGGGGTCAATTGATGTAGACTGACACTCTGCTCCGCGCCAGAAGATGGGGCGGTATGCTAAAGCAAATCTGCTTTGCGAACTACTCCGCGTGGGAACCCTAGCCCTAAACAAAGACCATCTTTTTTTGAGAGCACATACCACTAGATCGACGATCTATGCATGCTATTGTCAGTGGCTAGGAATGATCAGTCAGCCATAGAACCCAAGGGGCTGTAGAAAAATGCTGGTTGGGACTTTGTTCTTTGGGGGCTCTGTATCGATGATTGACAGCTAGAGGAACGGACGCCTCGATCCCCGCACGGGAAACCTTGGGTCTAAAAACCGGCACCTTCTTTTTCACTGTTTTTGGCGGCGAGGATGCCAGTTAGGGGGCGGGGGGGCAGGATATTAAGACTCTATGGAACTGCAGCTTGTGGTGAGGAGGGTAGATATATAGGGTTGATGTTGGGGAAGGGCGGGGGGTAATCAAGCTTCATGCCCAGATCATACCTGGTGGGCTAGAAAGTGACACCCCTCATATGTGAGCAGAAAGGGATTACCTAACCTACACCTGGCCTACCGGAGCTTAGGTTATGTTTTCAGCGACTAAGTTAAACAGAGAGAACTTAACCTAAACTTGGAGGTGTTTAAAAATTGTTTACAATAAACTTGAACACAGTTCCACTTGAACATTGTACAGTTCTACTTGAACTGTTCGCGATCGGTGTTTAAGCGATTATTAACCGTATATGCTACGAAGTTGAACCTGTCAGGGTTTTGTTATAACTGTTGGAGGTTTACCTAGCTAGTGTGAACATATAGTTTATCATAAATAGACCTGAAGTTTACTCTAAACTGGAGACGGCCGCTTAAGTTAATTCACATTGTTTTGTACCATGGGGTATTGATGTTGTTGTTGATGGTGGTGTTGGCGGGATGAATACGCGCAGGGGCAGTTAAAAATCGACCGAGTGATTTCCCATGATGGGCGTGCATGATTGGAGATGCATGTTTTTTTTATGTCTTTAATTACCGAGATTACCACAACCACAACCACGACTCTACACTCTAAACCAACTCACTTTGTACCACTTACCCTTATCCGCCAGCATCTACTACCACCCGCTTTCCACTACAGTTACCACAGTTCACATCCACTCCATCCACTCCATCCACCACAGAGCTCCCACAATCACAACTCACGCCCCCTCACAAACAACAGCACCCTAGTATCAAGCAGCTAGCAAATAAAAGGCTTACGCACTCTAAGCTAAAAGACCCTAGCCACAACTACCTAAGCAACCCCAATTGAAGTCCCTAGCTAATTCCACCTCCCCACCGGCACCTGCAGCACCCCGCCCCCACCACCGCCCGATCCACCCCCGCCATCGCCATCCTCCCCACGCCCCGACGCCTTCGCCCTCCCCGCGTTCCGCGTCGGCTTGTTCTGCGCCGCTTCATGCTTCCTGTCACCCCACCCCCCACATTAGCCCCCACCCACACACACCCAAGGAAAGAAAGAATCAAAAAACATACCTCAGCTCCTCCGGCACCCTACTAATCGCACTCTTCATCAGCATCTGCTTCAGCTCATACAGCACCTCCGCATCCTCCCCTCCCAGAAACGTAATCGCAACACCGCTCTTCCCCGCGCGCCCCGTGCGCCCAATGCGGTGCGTATACTGCTCGATGCTCGTCGCCATGTTGAAGTTGATCACCAGCGACACGTCGGGAACGTCGATACCGCGCCCGGCCAGATCCGTGGCCACCAGCACGTCGGCCTGGTTGCTGCGCAGCTGCATCAATGCTTGCTCTCTCTGGTCCTGGGACTTGCTGCCGTGGAGCGTGACGGCGCGCCACCCAATGTGCTTCAGGTCCTTGGCCACGGCGTCGCAGTTGCGCTTGATATTCACAAACACGATAATCGGCGCCGCGAACTCACGCGAAGACAGGATCTCCGCCAGCCGCTTCTTGCGGCGGTCCTCGCCGGGGATGAACTCCACGCGCTGCTCGACGGTGTCCACCGCCTCGCCAGCGTTGCCGATGGTGACGATGGCAGGGCGGCGCAGATACTTCCTCGCGATGCGCTCGATAGCCGGCGGCATCGTGGCCGTATACATCATCGTCTGCCGGAAGCGATCCTTGCCGCCCAGGTGCTTAGACATGAGGATCGGGTTCTCGGCGTCCTCGGTGTCGGGCTTGATGTTGTGGACGGGCAGGGCGTCGAGGATCTTGTTGACGGACTCCTCGAAGCCCATGTCGATCATGCGGTCGGCCTCGTCCATGATGACGTAGCAGCACTGTGAGAGCACCAGTAGGCGCCGCTCTAGGCAGTCTACGAGGCGCCCGGGCGTCGCGATGATGATTTCGGCGCCGTCGCGCAGGTTGTAGGCTTGTTCTTCGATGGTGTGGCCGCCGACGATGGACACGCAGGTGAAGCCGAGGGGGGTGGCGAATTTTTTGGCTTCGGACTCGATTTGTTGCGCCAGTTCGCGGGTGGGCGCGAGCACGATGGAGTAGGGGCCGTCGTTCTTGGTGAAGTCGTCGAGCGAGGGGAGCTCGGAGATGTACACGAGGAGTGGCAGGATGAAGGAGGCGGTTTTGCCGGAACCGGTGACGGCTACGCCGATGAGGTCGCGGTTTTGGAGGGCGATGGGGATGGCGGCCCGTTGGATGGCGGAGGGGTCTTTGTAGCCCACGTCCGACACGATCTCGAGGAGGCGCTTGGGCAGGTTGGATTCGGACCATGAGCGCATGGGGTTTGGGATTGCGCCGCCTGTAGGATATTGTCGTTAGTTATGAAAAGCAATATATATATATATATATATATATATATGTGAAAAGCCAATGATACCTCTCGTCGCAATATTGAAATCCTCCTTAAAGATCCTCCAATCCCTCTCCTTCATCATCTCCAGCGGCTTCTCACTCCAATGCTTATCCACCCAGTTGGCCCCCTCCCTCTTCCTCCTCTCCATCTCCATAATCTCCCTCGCCCTCCGCTTCTCATCCTCGCCCCGCGCCTCCAAAGCCTTCGCATACCCCTGCGTCGGCGCCTCCGTCTCCGCAAACCCCCCCAGCCTGCCCCTCCCGAAGAAATGCGCCTCCGCCCGGTTCGCATACAGCGGGTTGTAGTCCGGGCTCGTGTCCTCCTCGGCCCCCCACTCAAACGTAAACTTGCGCTCGCTCGTCTTGCGCCGCTTCTTCTTGGTCGACGACGTGCTGTCCGGGTCGGCACCCATGTACCGCCGCCGGATCTCGGCCGCCTCGGCGTGCTCCGCAACGCTCCGCTTCTTGTCCTTCTCTCCTGCCCCTGCCCCCGGCACCGGCGGCGGCGCCATGCTGCCTCCCCCACCACCACCACCACCGCTGCGGTTCCCGCGCATCGCGGCGGGCCCTGTTGGCGGCTCGCGGTCTCGTAGCGCTCTTGGCCCCGTGGGCGGTCCGCCGCGGTAACCGTTCTGTTGCTGTTGCTGTTGCTGACGGCGGTCACGGTCACGGTCACGGTCGCGGTCGCGGTCGCGGTCGCGGGCGCCGTGTGGCGAGGGCGAGGGGGGGCGTGCGGCGGCGGCGGCGCGTTTCCGCTGCTCGTCGACCTCCTTTTGGCGCTTCTCGAGGGCGAGGGCCTCGCGCTGGGCCTTTGTCAGGAATTTTGGCTGCCCGGTTGTTGGTAGTTAGCTGGCTGCGGGGTTGAGGAGGAAAGAGGGGAGGGAGGGAGAGGTACTCGCTTCGCGGCCTCGTCGGCCTCTTTCTTCTTTTTGAGGATCTCTTCGATGCTGAGGGGCCCGCGGGAGGGGGCTGCTTTCGGCGGTGGGGGCGGCGGCGCGAGGTCGATTGGTGGTGGGGGGGGCACGTCGGGGGGCGGCGGGGGAGGCGGGATGGTGGACGGTGGGGGGGGGATGGCGTCGGGGTCCGCTGGGGGGGGCGGCGGGGGTGGGGGGGGCGAGGTGAGGGCGTCCATGCTGGCTGGGGGTGTGTGTGTGCGTGCTGGAGCTGTGGAGATGTCTGTAGCTGTGTCTGTATGGGGGTGTGTCTGTACTATCTCTGTCTCTGGGGGTGTGTCTGTACTATCTCTGTGTCTCTGGGGGTGTGTCTGTACTATCTCTGTGTCTCTGGGGGTGTGTCTGTATTATCTCTGTGTCTCTGGGGGTGCTGTGGTGGTGGTGGTGGTGGTGCTGCTCAGGGCAGATGTGGTGAGGGAGATGGAGAGTTCTCGAGATGTCAAACGCTGTGTTGTTGCTGTCTCTGCTGTCTCTGTGCCACCCGAGACAGAGCCGCACATGCCATTTTCACGTCCCGTGCCTGTCCGGGCAGCGATGTCATCGCAACCTCTCACTCACACGGTCTATCTGGATGCGGGCACTGTCTGCAATCGAGATCTTACAGAGAAAGCACTGGCTGAGAACTGAGAACTGCGAACTGCGAACTGCAATTGCAACTGTAGAGATAGAGATATAATATATATACAGCCACTGCATATACAGCAAACAAAAAGAAAAGAAAAAAGACAAAGACCTCTCCCTCCTTCTCTGCCTCTACCTCGGCCACTCCTTCCACCCCCTCCCGTGCCCCAACTTCCTCCACTTGTCGATAAGCTTCGGCATGCCCTCCATCGCCTTCTTCCTGACCTCGAGCCTGCCCACACACACCCACCGTTAGCACCCATCCACCCCCCCCAAAACAAAAAAAAAAAAAAAAAAAGCAGAAAAGACTACAACATACTTCGCCCTGAGCGCCCTCTCCCAGCCCTTCCCCTTCGGCGTCAACATCCTCTTCAACCTCGGCCCCATCTCCGCCCTGGCCGCCCTCGCCGCCGCACCCTTCACCGTCTCGGGCAGCAGCTCCTCGACACCATGCTCCTGCGCGGCCTTGACGAGCTCCTTCTGCCTGCGCAGCGAGTACTTCGGGTTGTGCCATTTGCCCGTCAGCGGCGACTTGGTGTGGCGGAAGACCGCCGCGTGGTTGGAGCCCGGCGGGTGCTGGGCGAAGAAGCGGTGCAGTAGCGGCGGTAGCCGCTGCGCGAGTGAGATGTATGTCGAGGGGGTCGACATGGTGTGCTGTGTGCTGTGGTGCAATGGGGGGGGGGGGTGTGGTGGGGGAGGTGTGGTGGGGAGGTGGTGGTGGTGATGGGGGGAGAAAATTGGGGCTTGGCGGTGACGGGGTCAATGATAGCAGGGGTGAGGTGTGATCTCCGAGTGATGGTTGTCCCTTAAGCCGTCAATGCTGACCCCGCCTAGAGGAGTTAAATTTGTACCTACAGGAGATCTATTATTATCTGATAGCAAAGCTACACTAAATTTGCTTTTTTTTTTTCTTTCCTGGAGGGTCGGCATTTTACTGACAGTCTAACCCGCAATCCCACCGCGAAAATAGGTACGCCAGGAACGAACAGCTGTGTTAGGCTAACCAATATACCGAAAAGATGCACGGGTATCATTCGCCCTCATTGGCGATCGGGGCCTCGCTATCTGAGGTCTAGAGGTTGTATCTACTAATTTCTCTTACAGCAGGCTCTATAAAACTAACCCCGACCAATTTTCACACGCATTCTTCAAACCTTATGTAAAACGGTAGCCTGCTTAGCTATAGGACACCGGGGCTCAAGGTCTTCAAGTGATTGCCTGAATTCAAAGGTAGTGTTAATTTCCCAGATATATAGGGGCATCTTTCGAGAATAGTGTGGTCCGTGGGGCCTCTCGAGGCGAGAACGGAGCGTCATACCGAGGCCGCTCAGTTTTGCTAGTCTCGAGGCATCTCCAGACCGCCAATACAGGAACTTTGGGCGATAATAGTGAGTCGACACCTAAACTCAGTGCGATACCAACCCGAGTCTGTATTATATCCGGGGGTATACTCGAGCTTGGCGACCTCGAGGCCTATCAGGTTGGTGGTTTCGAGCTTCCTTGGCCTTGTTCGGGAATCATACGGCGAGTGAGAAAATTCCCTAGCTAGGCTTAGTATTTTTGGAGCCTGAGTGATGCTCGAATGAAGCAAGATGAGAGGGATGCATGATGACTAGATCAAGTCGGTGCCGTAGCTTAGCTTTATAGCATCTTAAATCTAACACATATTGCTTGAGCGGTTACAACCACGTAGCCGTCGTAATGTGTCTTGACACCTAGGTATTCCGCTATTATATAACCTGCCTCACAACGACAGAAACGCGGTAACACTGCCGCCGTATACTTTGTTATAAATACTGAGATAAAGCGGTTATATTCTTACAATGCCGTACTAATGCGGTATATATCGTTGTACCTACAGTATATAATCAGAAATGGGGGCCGGGTAAAACTGAAAAACCTGCACGGGTATCATTTCACCCCACCCCAGCCCGCTTTCTCGCCACTTTTTTTTTTTTAAAAAAAAAGAAACACAGATACTCCTATAGTTGGTCCGGTTGATATGCACTAGAACTATGCTATACTATAACTACTATGCTATGCTACTACTCCCCATCTCCCGCCCCCAGATCCCTTTCTTTATTTCCACAAGTATCTTTTTTACTACATAGCACCAGTACTACTACTACTACTATTCTTTAAATACAACCCTCTCCTCCGCCTCCTGGAATTAAACACTCACAAACAAACATTCACACCACACGACCCACTGCAATTTAGCCACATACACACACGATAAAAACAACACAAGAAAATAAAAAAAAACAGTCCATCGAATCCAATATAAAAAGGCTGTAAATGATACTTTGAAAAAAGAGAAAAGAAAGAGAAAGAGAAAGAGAAAGAGAAAGATCCACAATCGTCCCCATCATCGCCGGCTATAAAAAATATAAAAAATAGTAAAAAATAAATAGAATATCAGTTTTTTAAAAAAAAAAACAGAAAGTAAAAAAATATACCCAATAAAGTCCCCCATTGGCCCTGGCCTCCCATCCCGCCCATCCCGCTCATCTCCCTTAATCCCCACCCCCACACGTCTCCCAAACCCCACAAAAGAAAAAAGACAAAAAAAAAAAAACAGAAAACCCCACCCTCCCACTACTGCCCAAAACTCAAACTCGCAAACGCATCCGGACTATGCCGCCCGCTCTGCCACGCGCCAAAATCCACACTCTCCTGACTCCTATGGCCCCCCTGCATCCCCTGCCCGCCCACCTTCCCATTCTGCTGCACCTGCTGCTGCTGTTGCGGCAGGAACGGGTTATTACTCCCCGCACTCGGCGCCGACATACTCCTCTCCATCGCCGTCGGCGGCGGCTTATTCTCCGGCAGGGCAACGGGGTTTGCGCTTGGCTGTGGCGCGAGATGTGGGTAGTTGAAGAGCGCGAGGATGGCGGACTTGTCGACGCCGCCGGTGCGCTGCTGGAGGAGCTGGGACTGGTAGGGGTTTGGTTGTGGGGAGAGGGGCTGCGGCTGGGAGGCCCAGAGGGGGGCTTGCGGGGCGAGTTGGGACTGCAGGTACTGTTGCTGTTGGAGTTGGAGTTGGTGGGCGGCTTGTTGTTGCTGCTGTTGGGCTGCGAGTTGCTGCTGTTGTTGCGCTTGGAGTGCGGCTTGTTGTTGCTGCTGCTGCTGGAGTGCGGCTTGCTGCTGGGTGAATTGCTGTTGCTGGAGGAATTGTTGCTGTTGCTGTTGCTGCTGCTGTATTAGCATTTGCTGCTGCTGCTGCTGCTGCTGCTGCTGCTGCTGTTGTGGGGCTTGCTGCTGGTATGGGTTGTTCATTGTCGGCGGCGCCGAGTTTGTCATAAACGGGTTATACCCGGCGACTGCCTGCGGCGCCGCATACATCGTCCCGTTCCCGTTCTGGCTATAGTACGGGTTCGTCGGACTCTGCTGCGGCCCCGTCGAGTGCGTGCTAACCTGATGCTGCCCCTGCGGTACCTGCTGCTGCTGCTGCCACCCCGTCGCCTGCATCTGTATCGGCGCGGGCACCGGCACCGGGGCCTGAAACCACGAGTCCGCACCCGCACCATACGATGTCGGCGGCGCCGACTGCGGCTGCGGCTGCTGTATCGCCGGCGTGCTCGGCTGCGAGGAGTATATCGTTGGCGTGAGCCCTCTCGATATGCCGCCGACCTCAGTCGCGCCGGGGGGCAGCGGCGGGAGCTCGCGGTCCAGCGCCTCGAAGGGGTTCGGACTCCCGGGCTTCTTTGCGGTTGCTGCGGTTGCCGCGGGTGCAAGGCCGGGTGTCTTTGCGTTGTTCAGGCGGGTGAGGTGCTCGACGCTCTCGGCGACGTTGCCGTCGGTGAGCACGAGCACCTGTAGTGTCTGCTTGTCGTCCTTGAAGCCCATTTCCTGTAGCGTCTTGAGCTGGTCCTCGTACTTGATGGCTGGCGGGGCTTGCACCATTCCATGCGGGAATTGGACGGGCGGGGCGGCGGAGTCGGCGTATAGTGTGGCGCCCAGGACCTGCGTGACCTTCTTCTGGGAGGGGGAGGTTGAGCGGAAGACGCCGAGGCGGGAGGTGAGGCCGCCGGAGACGGAGCGTTGCTTCTGCGGGGGTGCGGTGCGCTGCGACTGGAAGGAGGCGTTGCTGGATGATGAGGAGGGGAGAGAGAGCCCGCCGCCAACGGAGGAGGATGCGCCGGAGGAGCTGGAGGTGGTGGATGACGCTTGTTCCGAGGGGCCGCCGCGGAAGAGCTGGTACTCGTATTTGTTGCGGATGTAGCGCTCGAGGACGCCGACGGAGTCTTCGTTGTTGATGGGGATTGGGTGCTTGGAGGGGTCGGGATTGTAGTAGAGGTTGGATTTGATGTTTCCGTTCGTGCGCATGTTCTGTAGAGGTCAGTCTGGAGCTGTGGGAGGGGGCTGAAGAGGGGGAGGGAGAGAGGGAGTGCGGTACATCGATCTGGTCGCTGGTCCATGAGTCCATTGAGATGGACTTTACTTTCGAGATGTGTGTCCCGAGTTTCCGGTGTAGTGACGCGCATCGTATGCACAGGAAGATACCTAGCTGTAGCAATCATGACGGAACGTTAGCAGCTATGCGGTGATGGTGACGGCAGTGACCTGTGCTCTAGTTATATGTAGCTCCCATATAGTTGCGAGGATCCAGGTTCAACGGAGGAGATGGTGGGGGGAAGGGTTATTTACACTCCAACTCGCCCATGCTACATTGGCACAAAATACCCGGTCAGCACTTTAATCTCAATTTGCGTCAGAGGCAGAGGTAGCAATAAGCATTAAGCAGCAAGTAGCAGTAGCACCAACCTGGGTTCTGTGTCCCACAATCCGCACAGCGGTCATTGCCCGGTGCCGACTTGAGCAGGTCCTGGAGGATACGCTCGTTCCGGGCTTGCTGCCGCTTGTTGATGATTGAAGACATACTTCTGTCCTCCCCCTCCTTGTGGTGGTTGTTTGTACCTGATGTGGCAGCAGCTCGGGGGTGCTGGGAAGCTGGAAGCCCCGAAGTTAGGGGTTTTCTTTTGTTCTGGCTGCGCCGGAGGTAAAGGGCGGATTAGTGCTAGGTTCGAGTCAAACGAGTGAGGTCGAGTATCTCGGATGAACAAGTTGTTTGTTGGTTTGCGGTGGTGGTTGCGGTGGTGGTGGGGGGGGAAGGTGATGTTTAGACTGTACTGGGGGGGGGGGGGGGGCGTTGTTTGTTGAAGATGTTGATTCTGGTCAGGATCTAGGGTGTTTTGTCTTGGAAGGGGGGCGTCTAAGTGCAGTCAGTGTGCAGGATGAGAAGTGAGAGAAAGAAAAAACGGTGCACAGACAGAGACAGACTGAGGAAAAGAGAGACAGGTTTCTAAAAGAAGATCAAGAGGGTTAAAAAGGGAAATAATGATCGTCTCCAAGCGGTTGGGTCTCTCTTTCTTTCTCTCTCGAGCTATCTCGCCATACTCCATCCAGTCGTAGTCAGGCACAAAACCACCGCAGGTGAATATTTACAAAACAGGCACATCTGCACAACTGAAGGGAAGCAAAAGAAGAAAAAAATAACTCTGGTTCCAGAATTCTTCTATTGCATTGACGTTGGTAATATTATATCTCCGGGCGTCTAGATATGTACATGTATGGAAGCATTCTTTCCCCTTCGTCCCCTGTAGCCGCTGACAGAATCCATCCCACCGATAACAGCCCATTCCGTATGCAAGGTATGATATATCGGATTACATCGGAGACCGATTATCCAAATTCGACTCCCGGAAGAGAGAGCGAGCTCAACGAGCCCACCCCCCCCGCCAAAGAGCCGAAACACGGACAACCAGTGCAACATGCCTTCCACAAAGTCCAGGAGCCCTAAAGAGAACCCCCTTTCCCCGTTTGTTTTCTCTCGAACGCCAATATGACCGATGCTCGCCAGGAATAGTACGCGAGTAGTACGAATAAACGTTCTTGAAGAAAGAAAAAGAAGGGAAGGAGGGGGCGCGTGAGACAAACAAGTGGTGAGAGAAAATGGCTCGGCGGCGAGCCAGGGTTCAACCCTAACCCCGGGGGCTATACCATGACCTTCTTTACCGCTGGTGGGCTTTTTTTCTTTTCACGATATCAGTCCGTCTTCCTCTTCTTCCTCTCCATCCCATCTCTATCATCTTCAACAACATCGACCACCAACAGACCATACTAACCCACAGAGCATCTCTACATCGCCAGACCACACATGCCTGTATCCTTACCGCCATCATGTACATATCCTCCATCCTCAATCAAAACTCCTTTCCAACACTCTCTGTTTCGCAAGTTTTCCCTCCTCCTGCTACCCTTTTTTTTGGCACCACAACCATTTGCCTACTTCCGACGCCCCCCCGTTGCTGAATCCTTCGGGATTATCCTTCGGGGGAACTCCCAATGGGTCGGATGTATACTTGGATGCTGGAAGACTGAAACGAGCCGACTCCACCCTGCTCCTCCAAAATGGAGGAAGCGGGACTAATGATTGGCATACATTCCTTGCGAGTAAGGAAATGCTTTGTAGGAATTATCATAGGTTTATAGAAATAGAAATAAATAATAACCATTTAAACGCCGTACATGCAATCTTTGCCCATTGTCCATTATGAAGTCGTCTTGACAAGCATAATAATTTAAACCCGTAGACCAATCCCCACTGCTCCTGTGCCCATGCCTGCCTGTATCCAACTCAAACCCGTACTCTATTCTACCTGACCAAACAAGTGTTTCCATCCCACTCCCCAAACCCCAAACCCCAACCCCAAGTCTCGCCAAGCCTCGCCAAGCCTCGCCTATTCCCACCCCTGTGTAACCCAACCACCAAGTTCCAACCCACCACACCTCACGCCCAAACCAAACCCACCTCTATCCCAACTATCAACTATCTCCAACTACCTACCTCCAGCACCCAGCACCAAAATGACGACCGCCGCCGCCCCCCCCAAGCCCCTCGCCTCCTACCCCGCCAACCAAACCCTCTACATCACAAACCTCAACGACCGCATCCGCAAAGACGACCTCCGCCTCTCCCTCTACACCCTCTTCAGCACCTACGGCTGCGTCCTGGACGTCAACGCCCTCAAGACTATGAAGGGCCGCGGCCAAGCGCACATCGCCTTCCGCGACGTTGCCAGCGCCGCCCAGGCCCTCAGGGCTTGCAATGGCATGAACGTCTTTGGCAAGGAGATGGTGCCGCCCTTTTTCTCCCTTTTCTACATGTTGCTGTGATGGAGCTAATGGAGGTGGGGAGGGCAGAGAATCGCGTACGCAAAGTCAAAGTCGCACGCAATCTCGAAGCTGGACGGGACGTTTAAGCTGCCGACGACGGCGGGGAGCGCGGCGGCAGAGGCGGTTGCGGCGGTGCCGTTTGTGGCGGTGCCGAGTGCGCCGGTGGAGGCGACGGCGACGGCGACGGCAGGGGTGAAGAGGCAGAGGGATGAGGAGAGTGGTGAGTTTTTTTTCTTTTTGCTTGGGGGGACCTTTGTGTGGCGTGGCGTGGAGCGGAGTGGGACTAATATAGTGTGGTTGTGTGTAGATGAGGAAGAGGCCATGGACGTGGAGGACGACGATGAGTAGGCAGGCAGTCAGGCAGGATCATATGGGTAATTGGGCTGTGGGCTTTTAGAAAGAGGGCCATGTGATGATAATCATGGTATGCTGAAACCGCCGCGTTGTTTTTTTGTTTCCTTTTTCTTTTTACAGCAAAGAAAATGAAATAAAAGTCCTTTCTTTCTTTCTTTTATCACTCTTTTTTGAACATAGTCGAAAAGACGCTGATTCGCTGTCTGGAGTGAGGGATTTGACTGGTAGATCGTATCATATACTGGCATTGGTGGTAAGTTGTAGCTATCTATCAGATCTAGTGAGTGCAGTGTGATGTCTTTCCTACAGGTGAGCTTTCTTGGTTTTTTTTTCCAGCCCGTGATACTCGTTTTTGCCAAACGCTCGTAGGACACGCCAGACAAGAAAATACTTCTCGAGTGACAGAACGGCACCGAGTGATATTGTATGATCCATATAATATCACGAAACGACCAATTTAATCTCCAATGGGATGGCTGCTATTTTCAAAATCCCCATGCGATAGTAAGAGGTTCAGAAGGCTGCGGGAATTCCCCGAGTCGGCAGAGCTATATCTACATCCAATATTTCCCGTTATGCCTGTAATCGTGGTATTAAACTTTTAGTTACGATATAGGGCCGGTCATAATAACTTAACACCTTTAGACCAAAAATACTAGTCACAGAGGAAGTGGACTCCCACTTCTAGTATTTATACCTACAACAAGTGACAAAGCCCATGCCAAGCCAATCCACGCAGTCGAAAAGCCAAACCACACATCTCGAGTGAGCCCATATGACCAAAGATACACCCACCCCAACAAACCAACGCCGGCGCCCTTTTTTGCACTGCTACCCAGAGCAGGCCCTGTGACAAGCTCCAAACACCATACTAGGCCTAGTAATAGCCACTTTTCCCTCTCTGTCTCTCTCTGCCATGCTGATAGGTAGAGGGCACGTTATCTAGTGCCTTGCAGGTAGAGCCCACTCACGGATAGGCTAGAAGCATGATCGTGGCCTGACCCAACACCCAGCGCAGAGCGCCACGACATGCGTCGGGAGACAAAGGCGGCCCGTCTCAATGCTAGTCGGCGGTAGAGCACCGGCCGATGAAGAAGTAGTTACTGCCCGTATCGATAGCATCGTTCGCTGCAAAATAGTTTATTACTTGGAAGGGTTTGCTAGTTCCCTGGGATACCCGGAGGTTGGCGGATAATTTGTCTCCATCCTCGTTAATATTACCATCCTCCTATTATATTACCCTTTGTTGTAGTTGTTATATAAGGACTCTAACCCCATCTCCATGGCAAACGTCCTACTGATACCTAGGCTGGCGCATTATTATAACTACTATGCTACCGGAACTACTGTTGCCAGACTAGGCGCTGGGGTGGGTGGTAAGGTACGTATATACCCTTCCCGCCAGACACTATCGACTAGATTGATAAGAAAGGTCTTGGATGAGACCCGCGCGCAAAGGCCACTCACTCACTCGGTTGGCACCAACTTCAGAGCTAGAATAGGTATCAGTCCCACGTTGATGTACCGGACAGTCTTTATTGTTCTGGATAAAAGGGAATGGGGTAAATTTTCTCGAGATCTGGGCGTGTGGATGCAAGGTTAGTGACTAAAAACTCATTCTCAGCTGTACTTATCTTTCCATCATATGAAGTAATCAATCAATATCTTTCCATCATGAAAGATCACTCGGTCCATTCACTCCCTCAGCCTGTCATCAACACCCGCTAATACCACTAGCACTCATTCCCCGTCAACACAGAAACTCCGCACATTGAGACAACACCGCGCTTCTAAAACGACCCCTCGATCCCCTCTTTACTTCTCACTCATGCAAGTGAGCTATCCCTTGGCTTGGTAGAAACTGCTTTCTATCTCGATCCCATCCAGTGGCAAAATCACTGCTCCACGCACTATCAACACTAAGCCACACGCTACTAGTAACTCAAAAGATAAGAAAACTACAAACGCCACGCTTTTCTCCTCGCCGCATTCTCTACACCTCCACCTCCTTCGATTCTGCGGTCCGCAACATCATTGGTGCCCAGGCACAGCACAACGGAGTAGAGCACTATATGTGGTAGGCGCCCCCAACCCCGACCAAGTCCCTGTATCCCTAAACGAATCTGTTTTTTCTTTTGCCAACCACGGTCCAGAAGAGTCCATAAACACATAGACTACGAACACCCACAACCTAGAGAGCTCAATCTGATAGGTGTGACGAGGGTTCCTAAAGCGGGCAGTATTCTTTTCGTCCCCGGGCGCAGTTGTAGTGCCTGGATTTAGCTTCGCTGGGAACCGACCTAACAGCACCCACCCACCATGTGGCGCCGCCGCCGCATCGAAATACATCCTTTTTAACAGGAATAAAATGTTCGAGATGCAGCCTAAGGGGAACGAACACAGCATCCTTCCATTATAATAGTTTAGCAGCGTCATCTCAAATGGCATAGATACATATATACCGATATAGAAGAACCTCAAACCGCGAGCAAAGTCCGGGACGAGACTCAAAGGCCTGTGGTTGACGTATGTCGTATGTTGCAGCGGGGATAGCTAGTATGGAGCGGTAAATGTGTCAAAAGTAATTTTACCAACGGTGGTAAATTATTTACCACCGGTGGTATAAGCACTGAATTTCAGTCATTGTATCTGCACGCTATCCTACATTAGTACATTTCCACCGGTATAAACACTGAGTTTCGGTCTTTATGCTGCACTATACTAAATAAGTAAATGTTCAATCATTAATGCCAAAACTTATGAAAATTTCCCACCGGTGGTACCGGTGGACAATTTTCATATATATTGGCATTATATGGCCCCTTTTGGCCAAAAAGTCTGTACAGCTGTGCTTTTATCATAAAAATTAGCATTATAGGGTATAAATACTGGTATTATTTTCACCACCGGTGGTAAAATAATTTACTACCGTTGGTAAAATTACTTTTGACACATTTACCGCCCCATATAGCTAGAGCTCTATATTAAGCCAAACCGCCCCCGCGCTCCCGCACTCCCCCGTGTTATCTAGCTGGCCGCTAAAAAGGAAGACATGCGTTCTGATTGGCCTATATCAACCGCCATCCATCGTTCCTGCTAGCGAGTTCTTTCTCTCTCTCCTCGCACTCCCAACCTACTCTAGCCCATCTGCGAATATGTATCGGCAATTGCGCGTGCACGGTGAAACTTCTCAACAGAAAAGTAAGGCTTACTTTTTGCAGCCATGTTGACTTGTACAATGGAATAGCCCTGAGATCTAGAATTAAAGACACTCAACCACAGCACTAAATAAAGAGCTATGGGCTTACATCCTCACAAGCAACATAGTACCACTATATATAATGCTCCGCATCTGCGGCCATGAGCTTGGAATTGCGTACTTCAGCTATGGATAATTTTTAGCACCGGTCCAAGTCTTCATTCGAAGATCAAGGAACCAGCTACAACTTCAAACTCCGAGCCTTGAACTAACAACCCTTATATAGGGAAAGCCTGGTCAGGGCGTGAGTCTTCTCTGAAAACACTAGGCTTCTTTGCGTATATATACCACGCTTTAGTTACCTGAAAGTTTCTATATTTGCGAGACATCGGCTCTCATTTCATATAGGACGTCAATCACGATCATGAGCTCACCACAGTTCCCCGCTGCATGCACTGGACGAGTCAATCAATCAGCCAACCACAATTACTATCCGTGGGATAACGCCATCTTTCGACATCCATTATATACGGGTCTTTATCGACCACGAGAAAGCACCGATATTCTTCTATAATCAATACCCCTCAGGTCAACTGTGCATAAATAGTACACCCCACCTCCCCCCACTTTCCACCTGTCAAATACACACTCCCTCCAAAGAAACAAAAAAACAATCATTACCACCACACACATCCAAGATGCTCAACGCAAAGTCCCTCGCTCTCTGGGCAGCAGTCTTCCTCACCGCTGCCAACGCAGTGCCCTGTAAGCCATGCAACAACGGCCCCAGGCCCCAGCTTGACGGCCTCACAGGCGCTCTCCCGTTCTCTCCGCCAGTCCCACTCCCTGGGGCCGGGTCACTTGCTGGCACGGCCTCTGGCATGGCTTCCGGCATGACCGGCGGGTCTATTGGTGACACCTCCTCGATCCCAGTCGTCGGTGGAGCGGGAGGACCTATCGACGCCGCTGGATCCCTCGCCGGAGCCGGATCCCCAGGCCAAATCGTCGGTGGTGCGACCGGATCACGCGGTCCTTTAGAGCTATTGGAGGACCATGTCGAGGATCTGGCCAAGGTTGCTGATGGAGAAAAAGACCCGCTGACGACACTGGAGGAGCATGCCGCCGATGGTGCTGGACTCATTCAAACCGAGCTCGGTGGGGGAACGGCGGCTGCTGGCGCCCAGTAGGTTGTAGATGTACGGCGTCAGGAAGGGCTTGCACCGCTTCTTCGATACGTTTTTAGAGGGGGGGCAGAAGTGCTGGAGATGTCGTTCTTGGGCGTTGTTTGGTCTTAAATTTGTTGTTCCCCGTACATACGACGCTCTCTGCTGGTTACTTATATATATGGTGGTGTGGCTTCCGGGAATCTATACATTCATTTGATCTTTTACTTGATCACACCTTCGTTTGTTCGATTATACCTCATATCATGTTCAGATATTACATGTATTCGTTCACTCGTAAACTCGCATACTCTTTCTTATTCACACTCATTTATACATTCTTCTCATATTTACACACCCATTGATACTCTCATATACACTCTCATCCGGCCACGCACCCACCACCTCACCACATTCCTTCCTTATTTCTTACTCACCACAAACACACACAACTATCTTCTCTCTCTTTATAATTACCTTTTCATTCATACTCTCTCTTCACCTTTTCCTTTACACTCTCCTTCATCTCCTTTTCCTTCATTCTCTCTCTCTCTTCACCTTTTTCTTCTTCTTCTTCTTCTTCACTCTCTTCACCTTTTCCTTATATATACACTCTCTTCACCTTTTCCTTATATATACACTCTCCTTCATTTCTTTTTCCTTCTACACTCTCCTTCATTTCCTTTTCCTTCTACACTTTCCTTAAATTTCTTTTCTTATCTCGCAGCGGGGGCACTGTCAATCCAAACATGTATATAAACGACCTCTTCTGCACGCGAGACACGAACGGGGGGAGGGCGCAGATCGGGCGCCCGGCCTTTAGTAGGTCTCGGGTCTGACAAATAAAAATAAAACTTTGAAAAATTATATATGGGATGCGATATGAATATTATGTGATTTGTCCGCGATGTCCGTATAAGATCTTTGCTGCTCCTTCACTTAGTGGATTGATCAAGCAGTTGATTACTAGGATCGAGGGTTTTAGGGATCGGATATATGTATGTTATTAGATATTTTCATAGTCTCCGATCAGGCTGCATACAATCAATAGGTTGGCAACAACCACGAAACCAATTAACTATAATTACTACATGTACCCTGTCATGTGTTATCACTCGATTAACCATACATGGGGAGTAGAAGCGGGGCGGTGGCGAGGAGGCTGTTAGAATGGCTGCATTGGGATGCATCGCTTTATCGTATTTATATTGGACCCGCCAGTCATGACTCGGACCCAAAACCCCGCTGTCGCTGGTCGAAACGTAGCAACATTTCCCCGCCATCAAGAAATTTAAAGGCAGTCGCCACAGGCGTTGAATGGCACATGTGTCCGCCGCGGGATCCATCATCGCAGAGAGAATCTACGTGCCTTCTAGTTTTTGAAAGTCACGAGCCACTTGCTACCCCGCATTGACCCGAGAATTAAAGCGGGGAGACGTACGGGCCCAGGCGTGCGAGAGAGTGTCGAGTCATCACCGGAAATCACTCGCGGCTTGGCTTCAGCTTTGGTCTGCCAAGGCTTGAAAACCTGCTCTGATTCGCTCAGCTCTACCGCTCTAGCTGGAAACAGTAAACTTAATTAAGCCGATTTGTAAATACTAGCAATGTCGCATATTATATTGTTCGCGTGCTTTTGGAGCTGGAGGTGGTCAAGGTAAAGAAAGGGTGGCAAGACCAAAGATCCGCTATCCTTTGCACTCTCACCACTCTCCATGTACGTGACCAATATAATAAGCGACTTTGCTAGTAAACATGCTAGACCAGTCACTACTACCACCACCGCGCTCCTGAATAGGCAGCGGCATAAAGTATACGGACTCGGTCGGGTCATCCTGACGCATTCGTTAGACCGCGGCCAACGAGCTCTATCCCAAGCTCGAGTGAGCGCTATATTATATACCAGCCATCCATGGGGCTGCTACATAGTTAGTGAAGAATGGATGTAACGTCACGGCATCCTCTAACACATGACGCTTATTCCTAAGCATAAAGAGGCCACACCGCGCCTCCAGAAGGCAAATACATCCAACTCTTTCGAAACCAAACAAGCAAGCAAACGAATATGACGATGATTCCGACCCCCATGATCACTTTATTAGTATTAGTACGTTTTGTTCCCTGATGCGAGTTTGTTTGCTGACTTTCCACTCACTGCGCATGCTTATAGACCGGTGCTTTGACCGCATTGGTTAATTACGACGCGGGATGGGCCTATTTGAAGGAGACTCTGAATCTGGAGCCACGCGACAAGGGTGAGGATTGGTGAGAGGTGTTAGTCTCGTACCCATCCCTACTTAGCAGCACGTCCCTGGAAGTATGGAAGTAGACGGGTTGGGGACGAGCCTAGAGAGGTGTCTATGCGTATGGGTATGTTTAACGGATTATGGGACGTATTGGCGTTTGGGGTTTGTTTTGATGGTGGTTTTGGATAATCATATGAGGCGTGGGAGTTGGGGGGCTCTTTATGGTTTTCTTTGGAAATAGTTTATGCTCTGCCGGTCGAAGGGGGATAAAGGTTATTTGCTTTAGGTAGCCCTTCCGATTTATTGGGTCCTAATATATCTGATGGTTAGGGAAACGAACGAAAAAATACTACGAGAAGATGTTGAATACCCCTCAAACCTAGGGGTTCGATCTAGTAGATGTTGTAGAATGTCTATTTGAGGTGACAACCTAGCCAGAAAAGAAATATTGAATAGAGCCTATCGTTTCTCTGTTAAGAAGGATATACCCATCCCATACAGACGAAGGATATAAACGGCATGGAAGATATGGTATACTATCCAAGGCAGTCAGCAGTAGAGCAAGAAATTATAAGCGTTGTTGCGTGTATTCCTTGAGTAGCCGGTGCTCGCGCATTCTTTTTATTTTGTATCTTCCATTATTGTTTCAGAGTTTTGCAGTCCACAACACTGGTAGAATTAAATAGGACTCCCAGCCCGATTAAAGAGGTAAATCCACATATCGATTCTTCTTACATGGCCATATATATGTCACCTGGGTCTGCTTTCTAAGCCTCTTTTGATGGCTTTGGTTGAATTCGAGCAGTGTTGGAAAAGTAGGTTGAGATAGTTTATAGTGACTTGGTTCATACCTCGACAAAGAGTCAAGCTGCGTATGGCTGTGTAGACACGGATCGGGCAAGTGCCAACATGGAAGTGACAGGTGTCTACAGTGACAGGTTCAGACAACTCACCTGTACGGGTTCAACATCATTTGAAAAGCCAAATATCCAACAAGCAGATTTTCTCTATGTCGAGTGATATATCATGACTATATTACACCTTCCACAATAGTATCGTAGGTCTAGAAGAGAGGTGATTCTGCATTCCTTTCCTGTCGTGCACGCATAATAGTGCCGATGTTCTTGGTAGAATTATAGTTCTAGAGCTATACATGCAGAGTATATTTCAGAATGGTTTGACCTTTGTGTCGAATATGTCAGAATGACGCGTCAGAAACGGTACTAGTGACGATACCTCGAGACGAGAGGGCATAGTGGTGCTACACATACAACACTCGCCGAGGTTCCATCTTTCAATCAACTCGCTTCGAACTATCAATGAGGCTCTCAAAATCAATCTACCCCGAGAACTCAAGAGCCCATGTGCGTAGCTCACGCTCACCAATAACAACTTAGGAAACTCAAATCTCCTTAACTGCACCTGCAGGCCTGTTAAAAGACTACCTTGTCACCTCACAGCCCACAATGTTGATTAATGAACAGATAACTAACCTGCATGATCACAGATGCCGCCATAAGTACCTCGCGACAAACCCTTGAAACTACAAGGCAGCAGCTACCAGAGCGCCGTCCCAAGGCTCAAATTACTGATTCCTTGCATCGTATGAACCTGCAAATAATCAACCCCGAGTATCCGAGGGTCCTGTAAGAGGAATATCTCTTTCTTGAAAAAGGCAACAAAGTTATTCCTCCATCTAAAGTCACTCGAGCTTGTTAGGATTACTACCGACCCCGCATACACCTGTCAAAATTTATCCTTGTATACCCCTTGTGTTTGCCACGAACTACGGGCCATACTATAAACGAACGGCCACAATCTAGCGAGATAATCGTTGCTAGAGTCAGTACCTAGCCATACCAATACTTACGATACTCTTGTAGGTTTCACCAAGGTTGGATTCAGTTCCCCCGCATTGAATTTTCTACCTGAAACTATGACAGAGGGGGTAAAGGGAAAAAAATTACAATCTTGATTGCTTCTGACTTTACCTAGACTAGCTAACTTTAAGTTACAGATAACGAGTGAGAGACTATGAATCCATCCATCTGACACAAACGGTATTAGGGAGTACAAGAAGTTGATATTAGTTTCGTCCACATATCTAAGCTGACGGTTACACTATTAAGGGTCCAGCTGGGGATTCTCCGGGTAATCAGCACATGATATGCAGGTATCATATCAAACTACACCGGCACCCAAAATTTGAGCTAGAGGTGGCCTATCATGTAATGGCCAGGCCTAGGTAGTGTAACTACGCGTATATTAGTATACATATCCTTGTCTTTATCTTTATTTGTGTCTTACTTTACCAGTAAGCAGTAAGCAAGAAGGTGGAATGGCAGAAACCTAAAAACAAGGATACTGATGATTTCCATGCAGATAAATAATTCCACTCCCCTACCCATTATAGAGAGCTGATATGGCGGAGAAGAGGGCTTATGGTCCCTCTTACTGCCGCCACCAGGGCTAGTTGAGATTTGCCAAGAAACCTCCTGGGATAAACCAGGTTCAAAAAGTCGATATTTCCGAGGTATCGGAATTTGTTGTGTTGCACAGACCGTCATAGAGCAAAATTATTGACGATAGCACTGGCGTGGCTTTCACTAGGTACAGTAACCCGGAATCTGAATGTAATTAGTGGGGATGCCGATGCCCAGCTTAAGAAATCCTTGAGGTTGTTTATGAGTTGCACAAGTTTGGTTCTAGAGCTCACTCACTCTGTATGCCACGCCCAAAAAGCAAGAGGCCTTCAGATCGTGTTATAAACAACTTTGTTATTAACGATCGCATGGGATATCCTAGTTTCAACGGCACGAGGACCACTTCACAGCCGCTCACTCGCATCGATTCATCATCACCACGAAGATCTCGCGCCCCATCATCACATTGAAACCCTTTCTCGGTGAAACATTCTGTGGATCTCCCGCCCAGCAGTCCGAGTCAATCAAATCAGTCTCCAGAAACCAAGAAAAAAAAACCCAGGGAATCATAGGTCCGCTTACCGACCCACTGCGTAACAAGAAAAAGAAAGCGAAAAAAAAGGCGCAGATTGATCGCTTTGATGGCGCAGATTCAAGCCAATCGGCTGCTATCGAACCCAAAGAAACCTTACTGAATAGCTCGTTGATTCGGTGGGGCAAATTGCGTGTTCAAGGATAAGGTGGATGCAAGCGATAGGTATGTTTTTTTATCGATTCGCTCATAACTCCATGATAGCCGTTAACATGTTCTGCTCGGGCACTTCGTTGTCCTTAGTTTAGTCGGGAGGTACCCCAGGAAATACGTACAGCGGGCTCCGTCCCTCCCGCAATGGCGTGTGGTACGAATTACTTTTCACACGCGAGTTAATTTAATGCCCAAAATTACAGTAACCTAAGGAAAAGGCCCGCTGCCGCAATAATGATAATAATAACATTAACATTAATGAAAACATAAATCTTGCCTTGCATTGACAGTGGAATTGCGACGTGGAGATCGATACAGTGCTGACAAGGATATCCTAAAGATATCTCTACCTAGTTCAAAGACAGGAAAAATGAACGAACAGTTGGCCACCGGTGCTTCCTTTACATTCCCCGAGTGCCAGGACCACGTATGTACTTTTTTACCCCGGGTGTCAGTGTCGGTCTGTATGTCTGTCTATTTGTCTTGCAGCAGGAGCAATATCTTCTTGATACACTTTGCCACGAATCGCCCACGATTACCGGTAGCTAGCCGTCATCTAACTAACTGAGTAACCCTGGTCGACAAGACAAGAGACCGTGACTTCGTATGTCTGCGTCTGGGGTATGGGTGTAGAGCGCTCATAGAGTAAGATATATTGGATAGGGCCTTGGTGGTGGTAAATTCGCACTAAATTGATTGATCTACAGGGTGCTATGCTCGGAAAAGTGTAAAGACACGTGAGAGGGATTTCCGGGCTCAACGCTAAGGGACGCCATACGAGTCCTCGGGTATACCATTAGGCGTAGTGGGTAAGCGTATGTACCCACTGGTACGTTGCTACCAGCTTTTCGAAACCATTGATCTTCAGGGCAAGATGTTTCAGTCGAGCAGGTGATGAATCGGCAATCGATAAATGTGATACCTACTAATTGGCCAGTGTGAACTTGGGAGGCGCGGTGGGAGCTCGAAGTAGTGGGGGAAGGAAGGGAAGAGAAGTATGTGAGTGATACTCTTGTATGTCTCTTGCACAACAATTGACTGATGATGTTGATATTGGTGATTACATCAGTTGAGTCTCTAGGAGTACGTATTGAAATATAATTGTCTTTGGTAAGACAGGTCCTCGGACACAGGCCTACGGCCTTTGAGATTACCGGGCAGTTGAGATACGATGAGATATGCAATGATCCATTACCTACTCAACTACTCTACCCAAGATAGATAGCATGACATACAAGATTCTGTTCCCTACACAGCCATTATAATTATGGCATTGAATATGGAATTGGACACACACCACACATACACCCACAGACCACGACAGCACGCGGACACGCCGACATACGCGTAACTTGTCCGAGGAAGAAAGGAAGAGTGGGATAGAGAGGTGGCTGGGCTGGGCGGGCGAGCCCTCTCTTAGCAAAATAGCTTAAACTAGCCGATCCAATTCGGCCTTTCCTAACTACCGGTAGCTGCCGCACTGGAGAACACCACAACAAACCACGCTAGGCAAAATTCTAATCCCTGGTGGGCTGCCGTTCTGCATCATTATCAACTTCCTAACATCCTCCTGCCTACTTCTACCCACTCTAACCACTCTACGAAACCCGCAAACCCCTGCAACTGCCGGTCCCGGCTGTTCTCCGAAACACAAAGCTAGAGTAGAATGGGAGAAACTCCGACCTTTGGAAGGGAGCCGATCTGTCTGCTTCCAGAATTAATCGAAAGTGGCTTCTGGAACAAAATACACACGAGCTTGGGAGCGTGCGTCTGATTGATATCAGATTTCATAGGTGATAACAACCCGCCCGCCCGGTCCCACGCGCCTGGTCCCTCTTTCTATTGAACTGTTTTTCTTGTTTTTATTTCCTCTTTCGCCGAATAGATTACACCATTCAAATACCCCATGTGGTATATTCCTAATTGAAAAGAAGGGAAGGAGCAGGTCCAGGATATGGTACCCGCGGGTTATCGGTGATATGTGGTGATGGTGGTGTGGGTTTTGGGCCCATAAGCGCTAGCGACGACGTCGACAGACAGAAAGACGAGAGCCACCACCATGGCGCTTTCCCACCGATGTGCACGTAGGGCAGGGCAGCAGGAATGTCGGGCCTAGGTACAACAGTGATCTTGCACAAAGCCGAACCTTACTTTCAGGCTGTTCCTGAGGGAAAAAAAAGTGCTGGGCTGGGGTAACAACGATGTCGATGTAGGTCTCAATTGCTGTGCCTGGCACCCGCGTGTAAGTGCCAGAGAGAGTTGATTAGGCCCTAAAATCTCTCATGCAGATACTCACTTGAAATTTTACATACTCTGCAACAATGCTCTAACAAGAGGCTGCGGATTGTTGTACGTAAAGCTTGATTCTTTTTTTGCAACTCACGGTAAAAAAGAAAATGGGAGGACTTGCAATTGCGGGAAGAAACCGTTATTGTGCGTCCCCCCCCGCCCCCCCCACGTGCTCCCTTTCCTCCCCTCTCCTCAGAGTATCATTATCATGTCACCCACCGGCACACTTCCCCCCACCATAGTTGAAACGTGATATGGGAAAACCTCACCTCACACGTGTTTCAGATATATGAAAGTCTTAGTCTTTTCTGGTTTTGATTTCAAGTAATTTGATTGAAAAAAGAGTAGCAATTCAAGTTTTTAAAGAAGTGAAGAAACACGAAACAATTTGAAACAAGTGAATTGAGAACCGCAACCGAGATTACAGCTCGCAAGAAGAATAGAAAGAAATACAAGTAAAAAAGACTAAAGGAAACGCGTGGTCAACACGTCTTTGGTGAAAAAGAAGAGGAAAAAAAAATAGAGAAGTAGAAAATGAAAAATATACCAGCTCCCCCCCCCCCTCCTCTCAGCATCCAACTCATGCATCCATAAAGGCTAAACCAAAAAACGAGAGACAATGAAAAGAGAAAAAAATACAAACATGAAGCTTAAATGCCACCCAAAATAAAAAACGAATGATGAAATAAAAACAATTAACCCCAAGGTGCCCCGAAAAAGCGCAGATAACAAAACCAACCAAACCAGTCCGTACTGATAGTAACCATAGATCGATATAACCAGCTATCAATGTTTTTTTCCAAGAGACGCCCTTTTCGGATTCCCCGGCCGCCGTGTTTTACAAAATCGATCCCGTTCCCGAAAGGTCGAAGGAAGAATGGAAGAGAAAAAATCCCGACATATTGATTAAAAATCCCTTCTCCGTCTCTTGATTGATAGACAGTAAGCTAGATCCATGATAACCCAAGAAACCCAAAACCCCTCCCCCCAAAATCCTATCTTGCCCGTGTTTCCCCTCCTGCTCCGAATTCGAATGTAGTAGTAGGTGATGGTAGGATACCATACCACTCTCCCAGAAGTATTAAGAGTATATATGCTGGTTTTAAAAAAAAAAAGTAAATGATTTTTTTCGTGTCGCCTCGTGTCGTGCCGTCCAACGTCGTGAGGTATCTTTTTTTCCCTCCTTTGCAATCGGAGGTGCTACTACAAGTAGCACTTCAGAAGTGAAAGAATAGAGAAAATAAAGGAAACAAAAAAACACAATCGCAAGCCCTCCCCGCCCCAAAATATAAGCGCCTCATTAAGTTTCTTTTGTGCCCACAAAAATCCCCAACCTCCACCCGCAAATGTAAAAACCCCCTCGCATCTAAAATCCCAAGTAACGAATGATATAAAAAAACATTTAAAGAAAATTAAAAAGACAAAAAACAACAGCGCCGAACTCTTTTAAAAAGACAATGCCGCTCCAAAGGACCTATCTGAATCGTATCATTTACTCGTCTCGTCTCCTCTTTCTTCGGCTCTTCTTTGACTCTGAAGAAGTCGATGAAGAGGAGGACATCTTGTCTTTGATCCCTGATGAAGCCTGAGCAGCATCAACAAGCACGATGCCTAAAGGGCCACCCTGCTCCCCAAGCATGCTATCGGAATCATCTTCACCCATCATCTCACCGTCAATGAGAGCCATGTGGATGGTTGTGCTACCGTGAGTTCGCGCGTGCTGGCTGAGGTTGTCAGACCTGGAGAACTTTTTACCACACTCACCACAAGAGAATGGCTTGTCCTTGGTGTGGAGCGAGCGGAAGTGGCGCTTGAGGTGCTCCTGGCGGCGGAAGCGGCGGGAGCAAAGATGGCAGACAAAGGTCTTTGAGGGATCCTCAGTCAACGACTGCTTGCGTCCGCGGCGGACGACTGGGGCTGGGGCAGCATCGCACTGGGAGTCTGAAGAGTCACAGAATGAGAGCTCAGTGGGCGCGGGTGTGATTGAAGTCTCGATGCGTCCACCACAGAGAGGTGCAAGAAGATCGCAATCATCGTTGTACTGCATGTTGCGGGCACTGAGGACGATATCATCAAGCTCAGCCTCTGAGTCATATGACTCGACCTTGATCATCTTCCTCTGCATCTTTCGCTTCTTGGAAGGAGCGACAGAGCTGTCTCTGGATGAGTCTGATGGGGGCGGGCTCAATGGTGCAAAGAGAGTAGCAACATCACTGTCGAAGCTCTCCTCGTCATCGCTAAGGTCGACATCCTCTACACCCCATGTGGAATCCTCCTCCTCGTCAAAGCAATCACGGTCACGCTTGTTGCTACCGTTTCCAAGCAAAGCAGCTGGGTTGATGGTTCCCTCAGAAAGGCTCATGATACCAGAGACAAGACCATCATCAGAGTCGAAGTCAGACAGATCGTCGAGACCGAAGAAGCTACGGCTGAAATCCTTGTCCTCATTCTTAACACCCATGTGGCTCTCAGTGCCACTGAGCATGAAGTTGTGCTCATCGTCATCACCACAGATTGTTGGCAGTGTGGCAAGGTCAAGGTCTTTATCGGAGGCAGATGGGTTAGGTGATGGGTAAGTGAGCTTACGGGGATCACAGAAGTCAAGCTCTGACTGAGAAGAGCAGTCTGAAGCTGGTGAAAGCGAAGGGCAAGCTGAGACGAGTACTGAAGGGCTGCAGGCTGGAAGAAGGTTTGGTGTGTAGATGTATGCTATATCACAAATATCTTAGCAATGCTTTCCTAATTAAGCTTCCTACAAACTTGTCAAGTACCTGGTGTCATTGGTGGGCTGTTTTCCCAAATCTCTGACGGAGTTACAGTGCCGGAGCAGTCATCCAGCGACCACGAGGTGATGATAGGTGTTGTCATTGTGGTGCTCATCGGTGAGGTGCTGATGGAGCTGCTTGAAAGAGTGGGTGTCGAAGGGAAGAAGTACAAATCACCCCCAGCTGGGCCATCCATACCCATCATGGTCGGTGAAGAAGGTGTAAGAAGACCGGTGTTCTTTTGCAGCGATTCGGGTGAGAGAGTTCCAGGCATATGAGTGATCATAGTAGGTGGCTTCAAGTGTGAGGATGATGGTCGTGAGTACACTAATGCTGAGGGATAAGGCATATTTGAGCTCTGGTCACTTTGAACTGGGTGTGTTGAAGAACGACCATTAGGATGCGGGAGGAAATGACCGTGCTGCTTGGTCTGGGAGGTAGTGTCGGGAGTGTAGTAGAGGAAGGAAGATGTTGACTCCATTGTGAAATTGGTGGTATTAATTGGTATTTTACGGAACTATTGCGATTAAGTACTGACTACTACGAACTGTTGGCTAAACTAAGGCGTGTTGTGCTCGTAAAAACTGTATGATATATCCTTCTTGTGAACGTGACAAGATATTATTCCTTAAGACCGATTAATGAATGTGGTTGTAGTGAGTGTGAAGTGGCTCCAAAAGATGGTGAGATATTTCGTATATGGTCGAATTGAAGCTATACTGTAGAAGCAAGGCGACAAAATTATAAAGTATTAAAAGGTACCCGTGGTTGTAATTGTTGGTTGGTGTATAAAGAAGGAATTCAAGGAACAGTTGAAGAGTTCCAGTGGGTATATAATAGTAGTAGACCGGGGAAATGACCTTTTTTACTTTCGTCGACTAGTGCTATGCCTTTGTAGGAGATATTGGGAAAGTCCAAGCAAAGGAAGACCAAGAAGAAAAATCAAACAAACTCAAATGAAGGAATGGAAAGGCCGACAGCACACACAGTACGAAAAGAGGATCCTAAAGGAAAGAAAAGAGGGTAAAGTAGGAAGGATGGTGAACTGAAAACCACGAAGAGATGGCGGGACAGTGGGGAAGAAGAGTAAAATGAAGTAGGGAAGGTAGAGGGCCGCAGCTGGCTGCTTGTTTAGGGAAGGCTACCACACGTACCAGTAATGACCGTAAGGAAATCAAAAAAAGCAATACATGGGCAAAAAAAGATATGTATTCCAATCAATTAATTGATGATGATGGGAGGGTGTGGGTGGCATGGGTCGACATGGCGATGTGGTTAGATGGTTAGAACCGAACGATCCACACACCTTACACTCCATACAGGTTCATACATCCACCAGCTATCACTGCCTACCACCACACCTGCAACACCTACATACACTCACACACACTCACACACACTCACACACATACAACTCGCTCGCACCCCTCCCACCTCAGCATCCAGGCTTAGAACAGAATAGCCACGCTGCACGTGCTTGGATCGTCCCTATTCAGCCAATTAACGCTCCATAAGTGCGGTCGGAAGGGAACAAGGCCTTGAATCTGCAGGTAGGAAGTGGACAAAAACTGATTTATTTCCTGCACTTGACAAAAGTAGCATGTAGTATTTACGAGAGTAGTTAGATTGTCTAATAAAGCAACAACCAAAAAAAGTACGATGAGTGACAGACCTGAATCTCAGCGGCATGAGTGAAGCAGTTAGCAGCTGTGGTGTTGTTGAAAGTTTCTCCAACGGCATCCATACATTATTACCATACCATAAACCCATATCCATAACATCTGGGTATATGCGCCATAAACCTTGGTGGTGGAGAGACAAATCACCGCCGTTCCATCAAACGAGGTCCCATAGACGCTGGTCATTCAGTCACTGCCTCAGCAACAGTTTGGAATTATTTTCTCTTGTTGCCCGTCGCCGCTGAGCACAGGCGTGAGTGAGAGTGACAGTGCTCTATCCCCACGATCCTGCCAATCCAATTCGAAGCTCGGGTTCCGCCGCAGTCATGTTCGTGGGAAGTCAAGCAAGGGTTGTTGAACCCGAATCCCTTCACGATAGGCCAGTCCAAGTAGCTAGGTAGGTACCCCGATTACACTGATAGCAAGCTATCGCTATGGCCTCATCAGCTAAGCGGTCAGATCTCGGGCCCTGCAATCAATAATTGTCAGTCCAAAGAAACCCATTAGGCGGCGATTCTTTGTCGCATCTCCGCCCTCCTGCAACACCCATGCCGCGTTCCTTCGGCC